ATTCCGCGCACTCGTGTTTCAGTTTCTCTCTGATCAGCTTGGAGGACGCATACTGTTGCCTTCCGGACGAGTTGGGTGCATACTTGTACTCCACTGTCGTCGTCCGCCTCGTGTTGCTGTTGCTATTGCTATTGTTGTTCTTCTTCTTCGTCGACCCACTCCTGCCAGAGCCGTTGCCTCTGGTCTTGCTCATGATGGACGACTTGTGTTGGAAACTTGCGGACAAAAGATGCCGTAGCTCTCCAACCGTAGCTCAAACGAAGTTATCGTTCTTCGATATGAGTCCAGCGCGTCGATGCGCACCTATAGGGTATACTTGGACGTGTCACGGATGACGTCACGGATGACGTCACTATGACGTCACGTGATGATGTCACGGGATGACGTCACGCGATGACGTCACGCGATGATGTCACGGGATGACGTCAGCAAAAAACGTCACTGATTCCCGTTTCCGAATCGAGTCGCGATCGGAATTCCGGTTCGAGTCAAATGAGTCAATTTGACTCAATGGACTCAACGTGGTGTCAGCGAGTTTCTTCAATCGATCGAAAACGAAAGAAAGAAAAAGACCGACAATGGTGCTTTTCAAGCCGTTCGATGGTAACACCTGAGGCTTTTCTTTGTTATTCAAGTAGGAAGCCTTACTGTACTCACTCCTGCAGTCGTAGTGGTACCCTTGGCTTACCTGTAGACGGTCGGATTGGCGAGATTCGGACCGGTGAACGTTGCCGATCGCCGTATGTCACTGTTGTCTACTACCGTTCAGAGGCTCTGTAGCTCCGTTTCGGCTTGTTCCTTCACTCCTGAAGAGTACCTGAAGGTCTTTATTGTAACTGGTAACTGTGTATACAGCCCTTTTCTTTTTAGATGTTGATTAAACACTAGAGAGACTGTTTGGCCATGGTGAGCTATTTTAAAGTCAGTCTAAAAAGAAAAGTGAGGAATCGCTTTGGTGATCCAGTCGATTTCGAATTTCAGTCCCGGATACTCATGACTCAACATCTGGTCCATTTTTGACGGGTTCAAAAGAAGTTTGTTGAAACTGTATCTTTGGATCCTTGGATTAAACCAGCGGAGCTGTGATTACTTCGAATCTCCCCAATCCCCAAGTCTGGCATGTTTTGATACATTAATTAATAGTCTTCCCTTTCTTTTCTTGTTCTACTTTTTGTTCTACTAGCTAGTACCAGTACCGGACCGGACGCTGAACTGGATTTAGATTTGTTGGCAATCAATCCTTCACGAGAGAGCTCGCCTACGGTAAACTACATGAATTTGCTGGAACCCTTTGCTACCGTATAGTTACGAGCCCATCACATTTTCTCCTTTGCTGCTTTTTCCGTTGCTGATTGCCCACGATTTCAGTTGATACTAATAAATTACTTACTTGGAAGCAGCAGGAGGCCTCTTTCCTTTGAATTTGAGTGGATGCTTTTCTCTCATCATGTCATGCCACTTCCAAAACCGCGCCAACTCGGGAGTTTCCGTCTTGAATTCGGGAATGGAAGGGAAAAGGTTCACATCTCCCATGTCTCCGACCAACCGTTCGACCTGTGCATAGACGGAGAAATCGGCGGCTGTGGAGGTGTCGCCCAACAAGTAGGTTTGCTCCTCCGTTTTGAGGTAGGATTGAAAAAATGATAGTTCATCAATGAGCTTGGCACGAATCTGGTTGCGGTCGTTCATTGCGGCTTCGTCTGCGGACATGGCTTCCATGCTAAGCTGTCGGTATTTGGCTTTGATACTGGACAGAAAAAGGTCGACAATCATTTCGGATAGAACTGAGGGAAGAAAGGCAGGCATCATGGCCCTGGCCATGCTCCTTTTCATGCTGTTTTTATACCCTTCTGGATCGGCCCAGTTAAAGTACCTGATAAATGTGTGATAACGACCAAGACGCAAGAGAAAAATCAGTTTAAGAACAAAATTCCAATCAGCAATAACAGTTGCAATACAGCATCTCTGGATATGGCGTACCATACAGCACCTGCCAGAACCTTGTCGGAAGCCCTCACTGACAACTCGCTGGCTTCACTATCAGCAGGGAAATAATTGGTGCCCATGTTATCATCGAACCAATGCAGAATTGCTTCACTGTCTGGGATCATATGGACTTCACCATCCGCTGTAACAGCCTTGAGTTCTGGAACCAACGTCCCACCAGAGGGGATAAATTTTTTCCGGGCTTCTAACGGTATTGGAACAAACACACAGAAGTGTTCTATGGATCGAGCATCGACCGCCGCAATCACCTTTCCAGTGAACTGACTGCCTGGCAGGGCATATATGGTGATGGTTGTCTTGTTATCATCCTTGCCGCTGCCTGTGGCATCAGTAGTAGTAGCTTCCGCGGACGCCATGGTGGATGGAGTGATGGCAACGAAAAGTGAGAAAGATAGAAGGGTGACTCAGTCCCGGTACAAAAGATCTCTGTTGCATTCCCGAATCCTGCGTCGAGGATCTTTCGAGAAAAAAGAAACGGCAAGTTTTTGGGGGTTCTCACGCTACGCACAATGGCTTCTCAAATCCAAAAACAAAACCTGAAAAGACAACCTCAAACAAACCGAATTGCAACCATGAAGCTCTCTTCATTAACACTATGCATATTAGCAATCGGTAGTAGTCAGTTGGTGTCACCATGTCACGGCTTTCTGTCTCCCAGTTTGGCGGCCGCAATGCGCTGCACTGATATCACCCAGCAAAGAGGTCCTTTCTCACTGGCAGCTGCTACCGACGAAGAAGACTCATCCTCCTTAACAGCCACCCGATTCGTCGAAGCTGTTCCCATGCTATCTTCGGTGACAGACCCAGAAGCCATTCGTCTTCGTGACGAACTGCTACAACTAGCCGAAGATACCAACAAGGGATTCTCATCGACACCCTCACAAAAAAAGCGTGCCAGCGAAATCATTGCCGAATTGGCCAAATATAATCCAACTCCAGAGCCTGCGTTACCCTATTACACAGATAACAAGAATGACAACGACAACACGACTCCAGCAATTTCCCTTGCCGGCAAATGGGATCTCATTTACACGGATGCTCCCGATATCACATCGTTGGATACCAGTCGCAATCCACTCGCTACCGCCAAATTGGGACGGATCGGACAAGAATGCGATCCACCCTTTATTAAAAATGTCATTGAATGGAAAAAACCGGATTGGGTCGATCAATTGCCACTGCCGTTTGCCGGTGACAAGGAATCGCGCATTCTCCAAAAAGTCTGTACCAAGGCCACGGCCAGTCCCGACAACCCCATGTTGGTCAACTTGGAAGTGGCTGGAATCGATCTCGTAGCGCCACCAAAAAGTAATGGAAGCAGTGGCAGCAGCAAGCCGCTGCAGGAGGCCATTGAAGACGAAGGTCTACCCGTGGGCATTCTGCGAAACAATCCACTCGAGCTCCGAGGACCACTGACGGCGCCGTTTGGCCAATTTGAAATTCTCTACCTGGACGAAGAAATGAGAATCATTCGTACAGGTCAAAATTATTTGGCGGTAAATGTGCCAGCCAAGGATGATTGGTTCTAATTAGAAAATTTGTATGGTATGCCTGAGGCTGCGACCTTGATCCTTAGATAGATGGTGCAAAATGGCGCTCTTGTGTGTTTATTTGTGCTGTGAAGCGATAGGAAGGTGAACGAGCCATATAGACACAATAGAATGTAAGGAAATAATACTGTAAGGAAGGCGACTCGGAACTTTCGAAAACACCGATGGGTCCTCCTATGCGACGCTAACTCGGAGAACAGCGCCAGCATCCTCCTGTGGTAGGATTGTAGGAGACGGAAAGGCTGAAGAGTTTCTCTGGCAGCATCAGAGCGAACTTCTTCATAGTGCCAGGGTGTTTCCCACAACCTTTTCCGGTCACATTCCTTGTACAGGTGTTGCTCTTTCCACTTCATGTTTCACATCCTCTTGATCTATCATTGCGAGGTGGCAATAATCAAAATCTGAGAGACTGTCTATTACAGGGCACTTTCTATGGTTGCCTTGATAGCAACGGCCCACTGTCGTCCTTGGTCAGAGATTTCCATGGTTGGGTTTGGGTCTCTCTTTTGACTCTGATTAATATCCAACTGTGCTGTCCGTGCTGCTTCTGCTGGGTCATCATCCACTAAGACATCTTCTGGTTGGACTGTACAAAGTTATGGAATAGTCGTCACACGATGCAACAGTGGAGAGTATGAATCAGGCGTGACTTGGAACCAATGTTGGCCGGGGACGATGCATAGAGATTGGAGGGAAATGATGGAAAGACGTTTTTGGCAGTGGATTGATGTGTAGATGAAGGGTTCATGGTAGCTAGGAACTGTGGTGGAAAATGGGATGTGCGTGGGATGCTATTGCGATACTGCAAATGATGTAACAGGAATGCTCATTGCCGCTGCGGGAAGGTTGGCTGAGAATTTACACGTAGTTCATTGCCGACTGTGACAGTGGGAGGGCGCACAGAAACAGTGCAGGTGACTTGTGGGGGTGGAATAGGGCACACAGCAATGCCTGTTGCGTAACCTTCTTTCAGGCAGCACAATTGGAAGAATGACGAGATGGGCTTCCGGCATTGCCCAAACCTTCAGAGGCGGTTGAAAAGTTTTGGTTGACAGACTTCGTTTTGATAGGACCAAGTTGTATAATTTTTTCTTTAGGGTACGCTAACATACCGGTAGTTCAAGCAGTGATAGAACGCTGCCGTGAGTGATGCACGACCGTGATCCTTGTAGTATCGATACCACCACAAGTTGACTCTTTTACACTGGTAAAACCGCTCCTTCAACCTTCCGTCTTTGCACTTTCTACTGTGAAATTGAATGGGCAGCACTAGTTGTAGATATCCAGGCTCAAGCTTTCAATGAATGCTCTGACTGGGTCCACCAGCCTGGCTACGCCTTCATATCCGTCTCCATCGATCGCCGTATGAGCTCCAACTGACAGTGCCAATGGACGAAGTATTGTTTTCACCGCTTTTTCCATCGTCGTGGTTTCTAACGTTTTCTTCACAGCAGCTTTTACTGCTGCATGGTCAGCAAGCGAGACCAGGTGCCCTAGTGAGACTGTCGCCGTCGCTGCCGCAGCAGTCTTTGCACCAGCCTTCATGCCTTCGACGCGCTTGCTCTTGTCGGATCCAGCCAGCTGCCAACCTTTATGTCCACCTGCGACTCCTCCAGCAAGTCCGCCGTATTTGACTCCAACCATCGCAGCTGATTGAACCGCAACGGCTTCCGTACCGGCGGTAGCCAGTTCAGCAGCAACGAGGAATGCGGATCCTCCGGAAATCAAAGTAACGCCTATGGCAGCACCTACAGCTACACCAGCCACCAGTCCACCAAAAACTCCTGCCGCGACACTGTGTAACTTCTCACCATTGCTAGGAAGGGTGATGAAAACAATGTCGTAGCCATCATCAAGGACTTTCAAACCTCCGCCTCCGGAGTTGATTGCCTGGAGCATCTGACGCAAGTTGTCGCCGGAGCCTTCGAAACGGCGCCTACCATCTTGCAACACGAAATCAACTCCCGCTCTTCCTGCAGAAAGATACAATTCATCGATTATCTCGTTGTGAAGTGCGTCATCGTCAGCCCTCAACACAAATTCTTGATTGCCAAGATGAGCACAGTTGAATCGCTGGGTCACCGATCGGATGACAACAGGTATCAATGCAGCGTTAGAATTCGATGACGACGACTTCACACCGACACATTGATCGACGAACTGACTTTACCTGGGAGAGAACCATTGTTACTAGCACACTAACGCGTTGTCCTGCAACCACAGCTCGGTATCCAGATTTATTGCCAAGCCTTTTGTGCTCCCCTTCAAGCAAAGAAGATCTTCATCTCTTTTCACATAAAAACTTGAGCCAAACACTTCGAACTAATTTCCACGGCATGCCGGCTCTGAACACACCCACTAACTAAGGTTACGGCTTTTGATCAGACACGGATTGAGAAAGAGCGACGATCTGTTACCAGTACTGTACTACCAGTACAAGCTAGCTAGCTAGCAAGGAGTCTTTTAAAAAGAATGAATCCAGATCGATGAAAGAAACGCCCAAAATTGCACGACACCGAAAGCGCAAAGCTTCGCTGGACCAATCTGGACAGCCGTTTCCCTTCAAAGAGACCTACCAGGTACTGTGTCTCCATTGTATCAAATCACTTCTACGTTCAGAGGTCTCATTTGCTCTCAGATAATTGTGTCCGTGAACCATGGCAGATTCGGTAGGTGGCTCTTAGTGGATGTCTGTGGTGGTTTTGTTGGTTTCCCCCTGCTCACCATGTCCATTATCTTGTTGTATCTTCTGCCTTATAGACTCGGTCTACCGGCAGTGCAGCCAACAGCAACCACAACAACAGCAATGGCACTGCAACAGGCAACAACGCCAGCAACAGCAATAACAGTGGTGGCAATACTGAATCCTTTTTGAAAAAGTGGCTGGGAGTCGTCACTCTGACCCTCCGTATCGTTCTATGGCCACTGCGTCGTGTCAGTCAACTCTTGTTTCCATCGGGTGACTTTGACGGTCTATCAGCGCCCGTCACGGCCAAGGCCGCACAACAATTCGTCACTTATCTGCGCAACTTGAATGCCACGGATGGTCTGAGATTAACGGAACCGTGGACCACTACCGGGTTTGCGGCGCTTCAATCCGAAATGGCCGAAACCAATTCGGTCGTGTTGATCTATTTGCACAGTCCGTTGCATCGACAGGCTCAAAAATATGCTCAGCGTTGTCTGTTGGGAAATACCATGGTCAATTTCCTACGACAACCCAATCTACTTTGTTTGGGAGTTTCCATCCATACGGCCCAAGGAGCCTATTTGGCACAGATTTTGAACGCCTCCAGTTATCCTTGCTTGGCATTGCTTCAACCCAAAAATCCCGGCCGACGCAACAATAGCAACAGCAGCACGCCTCCTCCCATGAACATGGCATTCAAGGCAGAAGGAGCCACGCTCATGTCGCTCCGACCGGAACAATTGATTCAATATTTGAACTTGACGTTGCAGCGTCATCAGGCTGTCTTGGCCGAACAAGAGGCTCGTCGTATTCTGCGAGAACAAGAATCGGAATTGCGTCGACAACAAGATGAAGAGTACCAGCAGGCACTATTGGCCGATCAGGAACGAGAACGACAAGTGCGAGAGGTACAAGATGCGGAACGTCGTCGTGTTGAAGAGGAACAAGCCCTAGAACGGGCCGCACAGGAAGCGGAAGAAAATCGTTTGCAATCTGCCAAGGATGCATTGCGGGAACCACCAACATCGGGAGGGACCTCGGTCCGCTTTGTCTTACCCACTGGGACCAAATTGAATCGGCGGTTTCACAACGATGAAACTATCAAAGCGCTCAAGGCGTTTTTGACACTGCATTTCGCGGAACAAACCGATGCGACGCAAAACATCAGAAACATTGGACTATCAAGTAGCTTTCCAAAGAAGACGTATACCGACTTGGAGGATCAGACACTCGAGGAATCAGGTCTAAGTCCACAGGCGGTGCTGATGGTTCAGGATTTGGATGCATAAATCAATCAAAGCAGACAGAGTCTGGCTGCGGTACCGGTACTGTCGAAGGGGCGTCTCATGTTATAGAAGGAGTGCCCAGAAGTCACCGTGCGGTTACATGACCACTATAAGGCTAGGACAAACTAGAAAAGGTTTCGTGATGGATTGATTCGATTCTTAGTTTTACATTCTTCGTGGTACTTTGACTATTTGTGTGACAAAGGGGAGCAAGCCGATGTGCCCTCCTCGGGTGGTCTTTCCCTGTTCGCCGGCCGTAGTCTCATCTCCAGAACTGATCACTTTCTTCTCATGCCCACAGCCGGTTCTGTGGCGCCTCACGTGGTGGCAGAGAGTCATTGCGTGTTCCAAAAAAGGTGGCTTATTCATGGCTTGACCTCATGAGAGAGCATCTTGAGCTCGTCAGCATGCGACGAGAACAGATCCCATTGGCTGTGACCTGTCATGACCGCAGCATAGAAGAAAAGAACCTTGTAGAGTGGGATAGCGGACATGAATCGATGAAGGAGTCGAGCCATCACCACTGCAAAGCACGTCCAGAGCAAGACTGCCACGAAGGATCCCAAACAAATCTGTTTCCATGACAAGATAGTCTTGTCCAGGATGACAGGCACAAAGAAGAGATCATCCACTCCTGCCAAAACAGTCATCGAAATGGTTAAGAGTGCGGTTGGCTTTGCTACTGGCATTGACAGGTTTTGTTCTGGCTTATGTGCCTTTTGTGGCAGGAGAGGGGTGTTCAAGCCAGATTCCTCGTCGACGGATGATGATGAGGTTCCCACCTTTTTCCCACTTGCACTTTGCCGAGAACGCCAGTAAAACACACAAACCAACAGCCAGCAAACTAGAGCCCCCATTCCTCCCCATACCATATTCAAGGACTGTGCTTGTTCAAATGTAACTCCCTGCACACTCCCAATGACACAACTCGCTGCAACCAAAACTTGGTAGGTGACGAAGAAGTAAAGTGCATTGTAGTAAGAATGAGCCACAAAGGGTACCAGCCAAAAGAGGTTGTCCAGGGACCAAATGGCGAACATGTGAAGGGAGTCCGCAAATCCATTCTTTTCAGAGTTTTTCTTTGTGGACATTGATTTAGCAGTGGTCTCGTGAGCATTCAGCGCTTTCGTGAAACCAAAGTCGTCATCGAGCGAAATTGTTTGGTGGTGAATGTTCGGAGTGTGCTTCTTGATATTCGAGGTTCCAGAATGAACCCATTGGTAGGGTTGCTCTTGTCTATCATGTATGTTAATCGTGTCGTGGACTTTTTCTTGCGTCTCCTTGTCGCTGTGATCCTTTTCTGGTACCGTTGTTGTCGTTGTTTTTGTGCGGGTGTTTAGGAATTTGTAGTGACGATACTTGTCATCAGGATACAAGTGATGACGCTGATGTCGATGCACATCATCGTTCACTTCCTCTTGGTCCAAAAATGACGTCTCTTTTTTTTCCACCGGCTGAGACGAGGATGTGTGCCGATCATGAAAATCTTGACCTTGCAATCGATACTGAGAGCTCAGATGCAGATTCTTTCCATCATATGGGATTCTCGGAGCGGAAGAGGTCTCAGCGGCCACTGCCAAGGAGAATAGTGTGACAAAGATTCCTTGTTGGATCATCATGGAGAGTCTTTTGCTTGTCACGCCTAATTTTCAAGGTGCTTTCCTTCTCTCAAGGTTGTGAGAACACTAACAGAGTTGCTTCAAGCTCGTGGTTTGAAAATCCGAAATGGAATGTCATCGTCAAACGGCTATTTTACATTCGTGACTGAGAAGAATGACGTCATTCCCGTAATAGATCTTTTGTGGCACCTTTCAGCCGATTTTAGAAGCCACATGGCTCAATGCCACAATTCCACATCCACACCATCAGACAAACTTCGTCAAGCCCGCCTTGCAAACAAGCTACTAGGATAAGACAAAGAACGATGACCAGAAGAGAAGGAATTTTGGGCTTGGCCTTGTCGGTCGTCTTCATCGTTTTCTCGAGTCCGCTATGTCGAGGTTTCATACCTCGAGATCTCTCTGCTATCGTTAGCACGAAAAGATACCGTCATCTACCCGCCCCGCTATTAGCCACCTTGGATGACCACGATGACGCTAGCAACACAGTAACCACAAGCAGTACCAGTAAAGACCGAAATGACGTCGTCGTAACTGGTGTCACTCTCAAGGTTGCTTTTGACTCCAACTGGGGTGTCGCTGAAATGGCCGACGACGCTCCGTCGGTTCGATTTACGTGTGACCAATCCCTCGACATGGTCCATCGCCTACGGGGTGACAGCGATGCCGTCTTGGTGGGACGAGGGACCGTGGAACGAGACGATTGTTCCTTGACTGTACGGAGGGGGGTGACGGCTGACAAACAGCCACTGCGAGTTATCTTGGATCCTCGATTAACCCTCATCTTGGCGGAAGTACACGAAGGGGCGCAGTACAAAGTCTTGACGGATGGTCTACCAACCGTCATTTATCACTGTGTATCCGATGTGCGGTTGGAATCATTGAATTTGTTGGATAGTGTCACATTGGTCTACATGGAAAGCAATCTGCCCAATGACACGCAAGAAGACTTGCCAGAAGGAAATCGACCTGGCAGATACGCGTCTCCTGGAGCCGTCGTGGAGCATTTGCGAGACAATTTTGGCGTCCACCATTTGATGGTGGAAGGTGGCCCTCAAACAGCAATCAACTTCTTGCAGCCAGAGAATTTGATCGACCGCGCAATCCTTGTTCGTGCACCCATTAGTTTCCAAGAACCGTTTCCATCGGGCATGTCCACCGAAACACTACAAGACGCGGGGCTGGAACTGGTTTGCTCGAAAGAAAGCGGGGTAGATACCATTGATTATTGGGCCAGACCAGGGGAATCATGGCCCACGGACCCACCGGAAGATTGGCCATGAACCACTGCATGGAACGAAAATAAGTTGAATAATATTATCCAACAGGAAGAGGCAACAACAGTCCAACATTGCGCTGCCAACACCACTCGTGATAAAGCTATCTACTAGAATCTTGCTACAAAACAATCAACCATACAGTATTTATTTATTTTGACTCGCTACGTATGCTTCCATTGGGCGCTCCGCCTCCAAACAATCTTAGATTGATCGGTCCGATATCGTTGTGTCACCCATGTGTCTTCCATTTTGGTCAGTTCTCCAAATTGGAAGGCAAAGACTCCAGCTTGTGCAATCATGGCCCCATTGTCAATGCAATAGCGGTGATCCATGGCACACAAGGTTCCTCCTCGTTCGGATACCATAATGGACATCATGTCTTGCAGCCTTTTGTTGCATCCCACACCTCCCACAATCAGTACTTGATTCTGTCCACAGTGTGCCATGGCACGTTCTGTAATCTCCACCAACATGGCAAAGAGGGTTTCTTGTAAAGAGTAGCACAAGTCTGCCTTGGTGATTTTGTTGCTGTTGTCCTTTTCGCCATTCTTGCTGTCCTCTTCTTGGACCAACCGTGTCTTGGCCAACGTCTCGACATGCGTCAAAATACCGGAGAAACTGACATCCATTCCCTTGACTACATACGGGAGTTCCACATATTGGGCTCCTTCCTTTTTGGCTTCTTGTTCGATATTGTATCCTGGACTGGGATCATTGGAGAGACCAATTACACGGGCAAATCGGTCCAAACAGTTCCCAATGGCAATATCAATGGTTTCACCAAAAATCCGGTATCGTTGATCCTGATAGGCAATCACCTGTGTATTGCCTCCACTGACATAAAGTACCACTGGATTGCTGGCACCAGTCGCCAATCGTCCCATTTCAATGTGCCCCACGCAATGATTGACGGCCACCAGTGGGACCTTCCATAGCAGACTCAACGTGCGAGCGCACACGGCACAGGATTGCAAGGGACCCCCCATTCCAGGTCCTTTGGTAAAACAAATGGCATCCACGTGTGCTTCCGGTTGTTTGTCGTTGGGAAAGGCTTCCTGCAGAGCCGTGCGGACCAAGGCAACCACATGGGCTTGATGATGCCATGCGGTCTCACGGGGCAAGAATCCTTGTCCCGTTGGAGCAATAAATGTTTTGCGTGGATTGGACAAGATCTCGTACGTGTGATTGTTCTTTTGGTACCGCAATACACCCACGCCGACCTTGTTGGCCGATCCTTCAATGCCCAACACCACGGTCGTTTCTTTGGAGTTGATGGTGGATTCTGGGAGTGGCAGATTGTCGACAAGTGGCTTGGCTGAACAGGGACCGTCTGTGGCTCTGGATGTCATTGTTGTTGTTACTATTGGTAAGTGATGAGATAGCCAAAAGGACGACAGTGGATAAAGACTGACCCAAGTCCAGCTCTTCGTGTTGTTGTCGTTTTGTGTTTGGATCTGAGAGGGAGGAGGAAAGATTTGGCTGAAAACCTGAACCCTTTTGCATCTAAACCCGCCATTTCGACCTTCACAACTTCACACAAAACACAGCCACACCACTTCCCTTTGCTCTTGATGCTTCCTTTCAATTTCCTCTCTATCCTTTGTCAACCCCATTGCTTCATTGTTTGAGCCGTCTGACAGCTGCGTTTGGTAGTGTACTAACATATCTGACTGTGCAGCGTACTTTTCGCTGTCATTTTGGCTCCAGCAGCCTACTACTTTTTCTTGTCACAATTTCACACCGACCAAAGAGGACTGTCACTCTTTTTTTATTTGGTGCCATCTCTCTTTCCAACTGCATTGCCTGTCGAAGCGTCGTCAATACTCTTCCACGCATCATTCTTGTGTCTCATTTATTTGTGCACCAGAACCAGCCATAAATGACTTCCTCCGGAAAACAACTTTCTATTGGCGCCAATGACGCTGTTGCTACTACTGCGTTGGAATATGAAGTCCTCTACTTTGCAAGGTCCAAAAAAGTTCACAAGTCCAAGGGCGTCTCCAAATTTGATGGAGTTCTCAGCATCAATGTGACAACAGGAAGCATTCGGCTCAAGGATTCCACGGCGGATGATGAGGACGAAAGTGATGAAGACGACGCAGATGACGACGACAACCCAAAGGGAAGAAAGAAAAAGTCCTTTTCCAAGAAAAAGAAACAGAGAGCCAACAAGGCCATTCCTTTCAGTGGAAACGACAAGGCATTGGCACAGCGAGCCCAGGACAGTCTACAAGATGATGACACTATCGTCTTGGGAGGATATGAAGTGCAAATTGTGTCTCGCATGAGTGCTGCTTCGCAGCCGACCAAGAAACCGGCCACTCTCAGCTTTTCTTCCCGCAAGCGACCCGCAGGTCTCAACAGCGGCAAGACTGGCTCTGTATCCATCCTGTCCAACAAGCGAGCATTTGTGGCCAAGCCACTCAAAAGTGTCTCAAAACCATCCCTGCAGTCTCGTCAGCAGCAACCACTTGCCAAGAGAAAGCCTCTTTTGCCGCTCTCACAGAGCACCTCGCTCCATCCACGTCGGGCTGTCAATCCATCACGTGCCACCACTCAAGTGGCCAAAAAGCCAGCCGCCAACAATGGCAATGCGTGTCAAATCTGCCCTGGAATACCGTTGACCGGGCAGATCCGAAATGTCCTCTTGCCCCATCAAGTTGTAGGCGTGGAATTCCTCTGGAATGCCTTGGTCGTTGGTCCCGACAAGGGTGCCATTCTGGCAGATGAGATGGTAAGAGCACCCATTCTAATACCCATTCTAACGGCAATGCGTGTATCTGACCAGTCTGACATTCTTGTCTTTGATGCTGCAGGGGCTAGGGAAGACTCTCATGACGATAGCAACCATTGTGGGACTGCATCGAACGCACCGAGAAAAGGTGAGTGCCGTGGGGGGAGCTCGAATGATTTGAGGAGCCACAGCAACTCACGTTCTCTGCCGCCCGTATTGTCAGCACTTTATCGTTGTGTGTCCCAGTTCACTGGTATCCAACTGGGCCAAGGAATTTGACAAGTGGGTGGGCAAGGCCAGTCAACCCAAACGAGTTGTCATTCAAAGCGGAAAGGATGAATCCATATCTCGGCTCAAGGCAATCTACTCATCGACAAAGAGCATTGGAGGGCAGGTCTTAATTCTTTCCTTTGATATATTCCGACGTGTCACCCAAAACATCAAACAGAACATTGGTCTCGTCGTGATTGATGAGGCGCACAAAATGAAGAACAAGGACGCGCAAACCTTCACTGCTCTAGCATCGATCCCCACAGAAGCGAGACTCTGCATTACGGCGACGCCTGTCCAAAACAACTTGAAGGAGTTCTACACACTGGCCAACTTTGTGCGACCGAGTTGTCTGGGAGAAATCAATGAGTTTCGGCGTGGTGAGTATCACAACGAGAATGTTTGTACTTGTGCGCTTGTGCAAGTCAGACTAACATGTTGCTTGATTCCGTCTCGTCAGAGTACGAACGTCCGATTGCTGCCGCAAACCATAAGAATGCATCGACGGAGCAGAAGGCTCGAGGAAAGGAACAGTCCAAGGCACTAGACGCCTTGATCAAACCATTCATGCTGCGCCGCCTTCGAAAGGATATTCGCAACGATTTGCCTCCGCGTGAAACTCTTCTTTTATTCTGTCGTCCTACCCACACACAGACTTCCATGTACCAGGAGCTTTGCCGAAAGGCCACTTGGGGGGTCAGCGATGGTCGCTCGGACGCGCTCGCGACGCTACAGACCTTGCAGAAGCTTTGTACTCATCCAGCCATGCTTGAGAAGAACAAGGCGGCAGTCAATCTACTTTCCAATGAGAGTGTAGCGCTCTCGGGAAAGCTTGCAGTTTTGGAGACCCTGTTGATGGCTATTCGAGAGCAACGTGATAAGGTCGTAATTGTGTCCAACTTCACGACCGTTTTGTCTCTGCTGGAAGCAACGATTCTGCGTCCCAAACAGATGCCCTTTGTGAGATTGGATGGCAGCACGGACCAGTCGGATCGTCAGGTGCTTGTCGACAACTTCAACCGAAAGGGTGGCTCGGGATTTGCATTTCTCTTGAGTTCCAAAAGCGGAGGATGCGGCCTCAACTTGATTGGAGGTGCGTAGTGGGTACCTGTACTGCTGATGTTGCTTTCCCCGCCTCTTTCGTTGGTTTGTTCTTGTCTTCGCGCGAACGCCGTCACTTCGAGCTGCGTTTAGTGCCACGCCACGCAAATCATCCACCGCAACACCGGTGGCTCATCATGGGCGATGCGCAGGGGTATATCGGCCGGTGGACCTGGCGGGTGCCCCTTGGTCAGCGAATGACAAGCAAGCCATGGCTCGCATCTATAGACAGGGGCAAGAGAAGCCTTGTTTCATCTACAGATTTTTACGACTGGGACTGTGGAAGAAGTAACAGACGACATCAAGTGCTCTCTTTCCATTCGTGATTGATTTGTGAAGCGGCTTCGATACTCACCATCGTCTTGCTCAGTCATTCTACAGCGCCAGATGACAAAGGAAGCCCTTGAGGTGATGAATGGCAGCAGTAAAAAGTCGACTGAAAAGTTCTCGAAGGAAGAGATTGCAGACTGCTTTTCACTCAAGGCTTGTGACTGTGACACAAAAGACAAGCTGGGGCTGGGCTCGTCTTGGCCCAACTATGGTGAGATCTTGCAACGCGTCAAAGGGCATGAATTGTTTGCAGTATGCCTGTCTCTCATCTCCATTGGTTCTGATTGATTCTTTGATCGAATTTCTCTTGAACAAAAGTGGGCCCGGACAGTCTCGAGGCGCAGGGTAGCAAAGATCAAGTGTTGCAGAACGTGGCTGGAACAATGTCAGATGTGCTATCCTTTGTTCACTTGTGTGTTGAAAAGCAGGCCGAGGTAGATGCTAGTGACGAGAAGTCGAACCACGAAGAAAGCAATGACGGTGAAGTGGAGCCTGAGGATGAAGAGGCGGAAGAAAGCTCCAGCGACGAAGAGATGGAGTTCTAATGGTTGTAAACGGCGCTTTCGATTGTCAGAATCGAGGTTTTGCGGTTTTGCCTCTTTTCTTGCAAAACTTCGTTAGGGTTAGGAATAACTCGCTTCCATCCATATAGTCTAATCATAGAGCACCGACCGTCGCCAAAACCTTATTATAAGGGGGTTTAGAGTAGGGAAATTATCTACGGAAGCCAGCCGGGGCCAGGCTTAAAAGCAAAAAACAGTCGAAATTCAGGACTAGGTTCTGAGGGATCAGGGGCAAGAAATTGAGGACCATTACGGGGGGCAAAGGGTTTGGCTTTGCGGGATCCACGGAGACATAAATGGGTAGCTTTCACAAACCTTGTTGTATTCTGAGTAAAAGTAATAATGCCGTCGTCCATTTAGTATTTGTTTTTCTCTCTATCCATGCCAGTGGTCATGTTCTCAATCTTCCTTTCCTCTCTGGCTAGCCCTTCAATTTGATCCGCTAATTACGATCCACAAAGATGATGCAGTTGAAACATCGCGGCGTTCCCCATCTTCTCCTGTTTCTCGTGGCGTTGGCAATCTTTCTCGGCGTCTTCAGACCTGCACGCCTGAAGCGGCTGGATGTGCCGGAGTTGACCCACAAGAAGCCTGACAGCACAATGCACGACCAACTGTTGGAAAGAATGCGCAAAGAACCAGAGAGCGACTTTGGTTCTGTTGCAAAATCCAACGCCGCCAACTGGGAAAAATTTAGAGCCTCCATTGAGGCTGGAAAAGTCCCGAAAACGATGAAACACAATCTATCCTCGAAGAGAAAGATTGAACGTCTCATAGAAACCAGCACCAGCAAACATTGTTTGACAACTGCCTGTATCGATAAAGTCGCCACGCCCCTGGCTCGAAGTTTTCCCAATCGCACAAATATTGATGAATGGTGCTTTGCCAGGCAAGAAGGTGACGGCCACCCAATGCCCAATCTGGGAGACAACAAAGGGCACCAAGGGTTGATATTGGTCAAAGTACCCAAGGCGGCTTCGTCCACGACAGCTGCTGTCGTGTTGCGGCTGGGACATCGACTTGGCTGCAACATGAATTACATCCACTGGGACCACAAACCCGCACACAAAGGATACAACAGACGCGACAAAAAGAAATCCATCATGATACTGTCAGTGAGAGATCCTGGAGATCTTCTGACAAGCCATGTATACTGGAGCTTTGTGAGCTTGCGCGATGTTCCAGAAGAGGATGTGAGTCCGGAATTTCTGGTTGAAAAGGTTAAGGACTTTGGAATAGACTACGGAAGTATGAGAGATCGCCAGGGTGGATTCACACTGCAGTTCTCTTCGTTAGAACGTATACCCGTCGGAGCTGGATGGGACAAGGAGGAACAAGATTTGGTACACCCACAGGACGCTGTCAAAAGAGTCAAGGGAATATTGAATGCGTACGATTTCGCCCTAGTAGTCGAACGAATGGATGAATCCTTGGTAGCCCTTGCCCTCTTGCTCGGTGTTCCCGTTGGCGATGTCTTGGTATCTTCATCCAAAGTCTCTGCTCCAACTGGAGCTAATGGATCGGAAGCCGGAAAGACATATGTCTACAGCAAGAGGCTGAAAAGATGCCTGCCATTGGTGAAATCCCACCACCCTCCTTTGCTCCAGCGGTATCTGGATTCTGATCACTTTCGCTCTCAGAGTTATGGCGATTTAATTTTGCATGCAGCTGCAAACAGGAGTTTGGACTTGACCATTGAAAGATTGGGGAAAGAACAGTTTGAGAAGGCAATGAAGGAATACCTCTACTGGAAAAAGAGAATGGAACAAGAGTGCTCTTCTATGATTCACTCTCCATGCTCCAGTGACGGGAAATTGCAGCTTTCGAAATCCAAGTCCTACTGTTACGGTCATGACATGGGTTGTAAGTTGTACCGGTAGTTGTCTGAACTCAAGCTTCGAGCACGTCTGCATACGGAGGATCTTAACGTTTTTGTTTTCCATCCATCCATCCAGGTGGGCACAAGTGCATTGACAGAATGCTGGCTAATGGCAGAGACCAAACATAGTGATAGCACACAACAATACACCTGTTCGAAAGGACGATTGAGGAGCAAGTTGACGAGTAAAAACTGTTCTGTGGGGTTGTTAGGTTATGAGATGAGCGATCTCTTTTGATACAGTATGATATGATACTGCGCTGCAAGCATACAAATCAACCGCAGATATGCACCGTGGAGTATCCTTGAATACAACCGGTGCGGCTGATCCTTTGCGACCTCCCTGACCACCTGAAGCGGTTTCACCGCAGGCTTTGTCTTCAGAGCTGTTGGCTCTCTGTGTCAAGAATCTCATACTTTGTCTCCTCCTCCATGTAGTACCAAGCCATTTCGGCTGCCCTGAATGTGAGACCCGAGTTATTTCATCTGAATTATACAGACATGATTCCCGCTCTTGCTTCCGAAAGAGTCGACGTTTTAATTTGGGGATTTGTACACAATATGGGGGATGAAGTTTTCCAGGTAAGGAGGAAAGGTTGGATGTGCGCTGGAACCAAAGCGAGCTCATCAGACTACTCACACGTCTGATCCAACGAAGCAAGGAACCAGGACGCCGTTTCTTTTGCTCAGCCTTATGGGTATTCCGGAATTAGGACTGGAGGGGTACCTTTGGAAATTGCAGCGAGCTAAATGTTTGTGTATCAGCTTCTGCGGTTGGTAGGTTAGATCTTGTCTCCAAATTCCTTGCGCGAAGACGCCTTGTAATCCTGGAGACGGATGAGGAAGGATTTGCCATAGATGCTTTCATGAATGGGACCTGCAATGTCATGGCACTTCTCAACGCAAGGCATCTGGCAGTGCAGTCTGTCAGAAGCCGTGGATATTTCGGAGAGTATGCCAACGGCAAAACTGAGCTGTTGCCAGAACCACACACTGCCGTCACCAGAGCGGGAGACGCGCACTTTTCTGATTTCGTCAATGCTGTCTTGATGTCGTTGCAGTTTGCGCGGTCTGCCAACATTACCCAAGAAACGGCAGACAAGTTTCCCGAGACTGAGCTTTTTGGAAATGAACATAGAGCAATGTTTCAAAGGGCGATACAGGTGGTGGGAAACTTTAATGAAATCAGGTTTCGCTCACTGAGTCAGTCTCTCCACGCAACGAGTGGCGGTATCAGTGATCTAAACAACGGGAGCACAGGACTTTTGTATCCTTTCACTCTGGGGGCCATCGACACCGACTGCAAGGATCACCCTCTGAGCGATACAATGTTGGCAATCAAAGCAAGTGGGACCATCCGTTGTGGCATTGTGTTGAACCGCCCTGGGTTCGTGAGTTCTACTGGTGGCGGCGTGGAAGGCATGGATGTTGACTTCTGCCAGGCTGTTGCGGCCAGTCTTTACCGGGGAGCTGACTTGGTTACGGCTGGAGTGACAGATGGATATCAATTGCTGGCATCAGGAGAGCTGGACATCCTAGCTGGAGGCACGTGGACGCTCGACAATGATGTAAAAGAACCAACAACTGGCATTGGCTTCTCCTTTTCTACACCTTACTTTTATGGTTATTCGGATTCAGAGGACAACTTTTGTTTGGCGACCAGGCAGGATGATCATGACTGGATCTCTTTTGTGTACTGGGTTGTCATGGCAACGATTTACGCGGAGACCAATGACATTGGCTCGCATTCATCACATGGCATGCCCGAGGTTCTTGTCTTTGGGTCTGATCTAAAAAGAATGTTCCGTGATGCCATCTTGACTGTTGGGAGTTACGCCGAAATCTACGCGAGAAATGTTGAGCCATTCATTCCAAGAGGGAATCGAATCGGAATGTGCTGAGCGGTCACCCTGTGCAGACCCCTCAGCAATACGTTGCGCCTGGATTTGATGCATACAGGTCAACGTGACTCGACTCGACTCCTCGTTTACCCTAATCCAGGCCCAGTGTGGAAGCCATGCGCTTGCCAACAAGCTGCACAATGAACTAAACTAGACTAGACGGGGAACTACATGTACCACGATTGAGCCACCTATTAGAGAACCGAACCAAATACCTACATGTATTGTATAGGTAACGGTACCAATAAGCAGGTTGGTGGACAGATTTGCCCTACAGCACTGCAAGGTAAAGAATAGAAAAGCACTGTTCCTCCGACTAGTGCTGCTGAACGATCCAAAACAAAGCACTGTTCCTCCGACTAGTGCTGCTGAATGATCCAAAACAAACTTTAGTACGTACGGCAGAATGAAACCTCGCGCGGCAATACAAAGAAATGTTGCTGCAATGTTGTTGTTCCATTGATGCTACGATGTGTTGTTGATGAGGGCGTTGCGTGATGCGTGAACGGAAGAAATGCCTCGGAACCTCCTGAGACAGAGAACAACGAACAGGACTTGATTCGCAGATTGAATCGAATCATTCAGAGGGACCGATGAAGGGATGAGTGATACCGGGTACAACACAAAGACACTCCGGAAGATCCGCGGCTTTGGCTTTTTCGATGCTCGATGCTGTCGACAAACAGACAAGAGTCACGTTTACTCCGCAGTGAACAAGAGTCCGGCGTACCGAAACATCGATCTTCAATAGGCCCCCTCTTCCTTCATCTCGTGAGCATCGCGACGGTATGGTGATTTGTAGGTTGTGTCCTTGGATATGAAGTCAATGACTCGAGCCAGCTGGTCGTCGTCGTCGTGATTGAAGAGTCGAGCATCATGCTTGGAGCCACTAGGACAGGAAAAGCGCAACACCGAACTGCACACCGATTCGCCGTCATCGTCTGTATCGCTTTTCTTCTCATCACTAAAAATCATGGCGTTGACCGTTGCCAATGCCGATTCGCTGTAGGGGTTTCGATCAGGAGTTCGACGCAGCTCCAACATCTTTTTGGCTCTTCGGAGCTTGGTCTTCACTTCGTGGTAGCTGCGACGCAAAGCTTCAACGGCGCAAAAGTCGTCTTCTTGGGGTGGTCGACCATTCTCCTGTTCAAATCGAATGGCGAATTCGTCCAATTGATCCTTGATTCTTTTCTGGCGGGCCTTCAACACACCGATCGGCGTGTCATTGGCAATCTCGGTCGACACATGCTGCACGAATCGAACCGCCTTTGGCATCATCGGCGACTGCTCCTTCTCCATGGCCTCGGCTACTCGGCGTCGCGTCATGACTTTGCTCCACCAATGCTGGATTTTGGTTGCTGCATTTGCCTTCTTCAACTGGAATTGCTGCTGAAAGAAGATCATCGGCATGATCTTGTAGTCTCGATCCGTCTTGGGAAATCGACGATGCCGATCCAAGAACGCCATCTCAAAGCTCGATCCTACTTGACTAGTCATTGCTCCAATCGACAAGCTGCCTTCACCACAGCAGTAAATGGCAACGTCGTCTCACGAAGGGGCCGAGCTGAACTCGGAGAGTTGAAACATTTCGAATTTGAGTCCCTCCAACAACTCGGGACTCATGAGAACCCCAACAACAACCACGGGACAAGAACACCAGAGGTCTATGCATCGACCACAACCACAACCAAAACCATTGTGGAGCTCCAAGCAAACATCTATCGGATAAGATGAGCAACAAGGCTGCCAACACAGCAGTCAAGCTCTTGACGGCAACAACAGGCGTCGCAGGCGCAAGTGGACTATACCTGTTGTATGACTATAAGACTTGTCATCCCATGCGAAAGATCAAGTATGAACCGAGAGAAGGGCTCGTCAGACTGCACAACTCTTGTGTCAACCAGTTGCCTTATTCCGTCTACACCAAGATGTCTTTACGAGACCTGGAGTCTTTCAACGGCAAGAATGGCAACGGTACCTACTTTAGTGCTGCTGGAAAGATTTATGACGTCTCTACGTCGGATATGTTTGCTTCGGCCTACTCTCGGTGGGCCGGTAGAGACGCCACTGTGGCTCTGGCCAAAATGTCACTCAAGCCAGAAGATATCAGTAGGACGGATATTTGGAAATCTTTGGATGAGTCAGACCAAAAGTCTCTAGTGTCATGGTTGAGTTACTTTGATGAAAAGTACTACATTCGAGGACGACTGAAAGAGTATTACGAAGAGGACAACAATGGCAGTGGCAATCAGCAATGAATGATACCCGCAAAGGCACTCATCGTGAGGGCTTTCTCTTTGTCCTTTGATTCGGAAACTCTGCCTTTGTCAAGAACATCTAATATAGCAACAGATCTTTCCAATGGCTGTTGAGGATGTGGCTCACCCTGGCTTCACCGCAGCAAGTGTTTCGTCGAGGATCGCCAGAGAAACAGACTTTGTCCAACCTGTTTGCCCCATTTCGTTCTCAATAACAGAGACGATAAAAATTTGTGGTTAGAAGTGGCGGCCGATGCCAAGGGGGAACAAATAAATGTACTGTAGACAAACTGCAAGCGTGCAGCACCAGGATTGGTTCCTGTCTTCCCCCGTTTCTAAAGTAGCTGGTCAGTCGTCAACCGTGAGGGTGGGGTAGTCGAACCTCGTTATGAATTGAGCTTCATAGAGGTGCTATACTACCGTACTGAGACGGTGAAAGGGCGAGTGTGACTACCCAAATATGACAAATCATGACACCTGTGGTACATGTACGGCACAATGAGAGAACAAACAACCTATCGTATCATTCGATGAAACTATAGTCTAATCTCTATAGCGCCTCTAAGCTTGGCGCCTGCTGGCTTTTGTGCCTAAGCAAAAGTCAATTGCTTGAGTGCTACCGTCGCTTGCACTAAGTCTGCATCACAGACAAGGATCAGAAAGATACATAACTCTATTGAGACGCTGTCGTCCTCCACAGGCATGGCGGCTTAAATAAATCTCAACCTTATTTTTCGGAACACCAGCTCTTGCGGCTGTTGCAGTTCCGGGCACCTGCGTCATCTCTCCACCTCGGTGCTTTCCTGTTCTTTATGCGCGTTTTTGCGCACGGAACAGAAACAGAACTCGTGGCCCAGCGGAAGAGCTGCTGAAGTGATCCGAAGTGTTAACCGGTTCCTCTGGTGGGGTCACATTGAACAGCAATTGAACAGTCGATTGAGAGTAGTGACTGTAAAAATTCAAGTCTTATTGATGTCGAGACCTTGTCGAGTAACGGATGTTAACTCTCACTAACCCACTGAGGAACCTTACTCAGAGTATCCAGGACTTGATTGGAAGGTGAGCTAAGGTGGGAAGGCTGAAAGGAAGACCAGCGTGCAGCAGGCCTTCAAATCTACGTGGTGCTGGTACTCCAGCGCTCAACGGACCAAATTCGAAGGAGCCTCAGCCAATCACAACTGAAGGATCCAAAACTCCCAAAATGCCTCAAGAAAATGTCAATATCACTTGGGACTTATAAATCCCAAACCTCAGTAGAGTTCTACAGACATTGGTACTGGCACGGTGCCGAGGGCAATAGGTATGAAATGTTCCAATTCTCCATTGGTGTTCTTTGGCGCTCGAGCGCGGTACTGTTTTTTGGCTACTCACCGGTTGTCCAAAAGATTTTGCTAGCCAATGGGATGTTTTTCCGAAGGTGCCACCAACGCACTGGCAAAGCGTAAACGGCTCCGCAGCTATTTTTGTCACTCCTCGCTCTGAGCTCGTACAGTGAGTGGAAAAGGGAGTTGAGAGCGCAATCTGCTTCATTCGATTCGATTCCGCTGGCTGGGTGCTGAAGTGATCACAGCATTTTCACTGTAGATATCAAGGCACAACAATCTTTTTGACCACCAAGCAAAAAAGTGCTGGATATTTCATTATCTTCCTTTTCGAAGTCAGGCTCATTTCTTGAAAGATATCCACTTTCTCAGTTTGTGACTTTTAGCTTTCTGCTTGTGTGTGTTACATCTGCATTGTCATTTTCGTGTTCCGCTTTGTGTGCTACCCGTCGTGCAATTTTTCTATTACGTATCCGATCCGATCCGATACCCAACGCAACCCCAACTACTGTTACCATGATGCGCACTGCTGATTTCCACTCGTCTTCCTCCGCTGACTGGAGTACAACAATGACTCCCGGTGAAGTTTCGCTCAGTCATTATTCCATGGCGCAAGAGCCTTCCAATGATTTTGTCCTTGGTTCGTGGCAGGTGGAACAACACTCGGCGGGCAGTGAGAATGGGAGCTCCTTGCCCAGTTATGACGACGACGATTTAATGGTGGTGGATAGTATTAACATGGACTTTGACGATCATTTGGAAGATGATTATCCTCCCACTCCACCGGCTGATCGTCTGTTTTTGGAAGAAGCATTGGAAGATACGCTATTGGGGGATGGTAGCGACCACGAGGATGATTCCTCCTTTTTCACTACTCATAGTCAACCACTGATGGTAACGGCTCCTGCCACTTCCACCAGTTTTTTACCGTATGATCAGAGGTATCAGGCTACCCTGGATAAACTCGCCGAGAGCATGAAAAAATCACAAGAAACGAGAAAATCACTTCGCATCAAGACCTGCGAAACCATGGAGTACTCACGCTGGAATACCGTTTCGGGAACACTCACTTCCATTGAAAAATCTACCCAGCAGCTCCAACAATACTTGAAGAACAAGAAACCCGCTACTGCTCAGCAAGTTCTCTGAACACTGCCGTCCTCAACGGCCATCTCTTATCTTGATCATTCTTGTCTTGGGTGATTGGGTATACAAGACTTCAACTCTCCTTCTCCATCCCTTATTCCATCATATTGCTCCACAGTGATGGTGACTTCCTTCCCTTATCTCATCTCATCTGTCTTCTCTGATGATGTACCACTTTCTGTTATCCAACCACCATCTTATCCATCCAACGCCGGTTAACAAGGCCACCCTACCCCCACCAATGCCACCGACGAAATGGCATTGCTTCTCAATTTTCATATTTCTACATGTTGTCTACCATTCAAAAATCATCAAGAAACTCCAAAAACAAACAAACTATATCATTATTCCACAAGTCCATACATTCAATTCTTCTTTTACAATACCGAGAGCGACACAAGAAAACTGCAAGCTCCTACCTACATATTTCTTTTATCATCCAATCTTCTCTTTCTTTTTGCCGAAGGACATGATTCTTTCAAACTCCAGCAAATCTACCTCAACACAAAAACAAAAATACAACTATACCTACTACGATACTCTAACTACCCCTTTTACCTTTCTATATCGACAAGCGTACCAATATCAATCCAGCAAGACACACATACATCATTATTGCACCTGTTTTCATTCATTCATTTTTGTTGTCAAACACAGTGTAATGTCCAAGATTCATCATCTTGGTCGGGAGTGCACAGCCAGCAAAGAAATATGAAACAGATGCAGTGCGAGAATTTCCAAAGCTTGTTAGACCGTGTCATCTTTTCTGTTGGCCAGCCAATGACGCACAAAACCAAAGAAACCAAGTCGTTCTCGTCATTCCTTCTGAGTTAGTCGTCTGGGCCAACTCCTGTTATTTTGTAGCTTGTATGCATTCGGTTGCTATTTCCTTGTTCAACGAAACCACTGTTGTCTCCGCAATCTGGAAAAAGATTTCTTGGTTGTGCTTTCTTTGGAGTACTATTTGCATGGATTGTACCGACAGACACTCTGTTCTATCACTGTACAGAGGAGCTGGGGGGAACTTTCTATTCTCTGTTTGCTGGCTGTTGCGTTCCGGAACCGGAACATTGCTATCCTCGGGCGCTGGAAAGCTTCTGATCTCAAGAAGGAATATTGGTGGGGGGCAAGCAAAACAATTTGCTACCCTTGGCTTTCGAAACAAGATTGAGATTGTCAGCTGGACACTCAGCGATATCAACTAGGAATACTTTTGGGGAAAGACACTGCTCTCTTGGTTGGTTGATTGATTGAGCCCCCGATCCCAAGCTGCATAGGCTAGGCATCCAGAACCGCAACCTGCACAGATTTGCCCTCCTCTGGAGGTACCGGTAGTTTTTGAGTGGTTGTATGCCAAGCTAGCTGCATGGCATGGAGGGCAGGCTACAAGCAAGGTCCACAGCGTCTTGGTTTGACTTTAGTCCTTCTCAATCAGTTGATCCTCGAATGCCAAGTAAGTGGTGACAAAGCTAGCAGATTATCACCTTAAGCCCGGTGGCATAGCTATTCCAGAGTGATTCCCTTCGGTGGAGGCACACACCAACTGCCAGCCACAGCACCGATCGCTCGAACAGCACAGTGTGGCTTTCTTTGTATAGTCTAGGTTTTGACTATCCTTGGCACAGACTTATGGAGGCATTTGGGTGGGGGGCGGACTGCCTCCTTCGTACAATACCAAAATCCTCTGGCTTCTTGGCGCACAATACCAAGGGCACTACTAGGCACTAGTAATCTTGAACATGGCAAGAAACCAAGTCTTGACCGTGGTGCCGTCTGCGTCGAAGCGTCCCAAGTCTACAGTACCTAGCCTGGAGGTCCAATTGGACCTGGACTTCACAAGAGCATTCCCAGCGCAGGAATCTAGCACGTTAACACAACGCCCATACACCGCAGAAACAGCAAAGAAGCCGCCGAGAGATGAAGCAGTTGACTCTCCAAAACTACTAAGTGGACACGGAGAACATCCAATCGAATCATCTACAAGTACTAGCAGAATCTCTAGCCTTTTGCAACATTGTACTAGTGATAACTAGCTTTTTAATTAACTCCTCAAACTAGGCATGGCTGGGAGTGGGATATGACTGGTCTTGGTCTTGATGACTTCATCAATCAGTCCATAATCCAATGCTTCGTAGGGTGTCATGAAGAAATCTCGGTCCGTATCGGCGGCAATCTTTTCAATGGGTTGATCGCAGTAATCGGCCATGAATTGATTCAAGGATGCCTTGACAAACAAGATTTCCTTGGCTTGAATTTCGATATCGGCGGCTTGTCCTTGCGCGCCTCCTAGAGGTTGATGAATCATGATGCGGGCATTGGGCAAGGATTTGCGCTTGCCGGGACTTCCGGCTCCCAACAAGAATGCGCCCATACTGGCGGCCATGCCAAAGCAGACGGTCTGAACATCGCAGGGGATGAATTGCATGGTATCGTAAATGGCCAATCCGGCACTGACGGAACCTCCGGGACTGTTGATGTAGAGTGTAATGTCTCTATCGGGTTCTTCATTGGCGAGGTAAAGTAACTGTGCGACGAGCACATTGGCGACTTCATCGTTGACTTCCGTTCCCAGCAATAGGATTCGATCTTTGAGCAGTCGCGAGACGACATCGAGTTGACCGGATTTTCCATCGACGGTGGGAAGTGGTGGTGGACGAGGTGGTTGTCTGGGAGTTGGTTTGTCAGGTTCGTCTGGATTCTATATATTATTTGAGGATTGTTGGTTTGTAGTTTTGACAGAAAACGGTAGGGTTTGGACCCAATGATTGGTGGCACGGATATTAGCTAGTGAGCACACAAGAACATTCTGTTTCTGCCTTTCTATCTATCATACTGAACTTCGCTTGAGTCGACTCACCTCTTCTGGCATCATGAAGGGGCTCCTCATGGAGAGCCTGCGTGGAACAAAACATCAGAAACGAAGGAAGGATCTGAAAAAACCACATGAGCAAGCAAGAGGACTACTCACCCAGTCACCTCCGAGACACTGGAAGATTTGGAACCCATTGTAAAGGCCTCTGAGAACGATAGATGGTGTCATGGGAAGGAAGATGAGAAAAAGATGAGGGATCAGGCACGAAAGATCCACCATCCAGTAAAAAAGTCAAGGCACTCACCAACAGAGGCACAAAGGCCCAAGAGGGCAGTCAGATATCTAAGCTGAACCATCTTTTACTATAGTAGATGGTTAGAAATCACTTGTGGAGCTACCTGCTACCGGTAGCTTGTTGGATACCGAGTAAAGTGCTGCAATCCTGATGTCGACGACGATGATCGGCATCCAAGGCAACAGATTGCAATCATTCTCTAATTTCTCGATGGCTTCCACAACACTGACGCCATTCTCAGAGCCCTCTTCCACGTGTCAACTGGATTGGATCACGAGTACTGGTCGAATCACGGATTGTGACGTGAAGGCCTCATAAGCTCAGCCTGTCCTCGTCCTCGTTTTGGAGGGAGAAAAATGACAAAAAAAATGGAGGGCCATCAAAGCTCTGCTGCATTTTTCGCATGGACGAAGTTCAACGCGGGGCTGCGTGCGTTGCATCTATAGCATTGCTTCTTCTTTGCAACTTGCAACTACAACCACCACATTTTCAAAGCCACAGTAGCTCTCTTTATTACAATTTTAAATTAATTGAGGAGGAAAGACTTTTTGCTTGGTAGATTGTGTTTGATTTATTATTGAGGTCGAGTCGAAACGTGCAGAGCCACCCAAAATAGGAATCGGAAGGGTATCACAAACAAGAAAAGAAAAAAAACAGCAGTCAAGGAAAACTTGAGAAGCACAGGAAATTTTGACCATGGCGGAGTCCGACTGGAGAAAAGCAGGTGGTGGCGGCGCCGGCAATGACAGAGGAGGAGGCGACGGTGACAGAGGCGGAGGAGGTTATAATGACAGAGGTGGAGGCCGAGGAGGAGGTGGCGGAGGTTGGCGCGATCGTGATGGAGACCGAGGAGGCGGTGGCGGCTATGATAACCGAGGAGGCGGTGGTGGTGGCGGCGGCTGGAGAGACAGAGACAGTCGTGGTGGTGGCGGTGGAGGTTACAATGATAGAGGAGGCGGTGGTGGTGGAGGTTACAATGATAGAGGTGGTGGTGGAGGAGGAGGCTGGAGAGACAGAGACAGTCGAGGCCCTTCCGGTCCTCCTGCCGGCGAAAGACCCCGTCTGAATCTACAAAAGAGATCAACCCCCGTCAATAATAGTGCTGGGCCATCAGCTGGAGCCAAACCGGCTGATTCCGGTCCCAAAGTGAGTATTGACAAGGCTCCACGGGAAGAACCTCCTCTCAAGGACGAACCAGCAGCTGATGGAGAGAAAAAACAGCAGGAGCGCAGGGAGCCCGAAAAAGTCAATTCCAGGGCAGCTGCTTTTGGTGATGCTCCTGCTGCTGGAAGCCGTGGTGGAAATCAGGTAAGTAAATTCGATTCATCAAAAAAGCAAATTCATGCATGTTTTTATGACAAAAAGTGAATATGAACTGAACCCGATCCATGTTCCCGTTCTGTTCCATTTTCCCGTTATATTCTCCAACCATTTATCAGCCACGAAAGGAGCGTCCCGAGCGAGACAACAATAGCAACAATAGTGGACCACCACCTGTTCTCAACAAACGATTTGAAGGTTTGGCGGAAGAAGAAAGGAATCGAAGCCGAGACACCCGTAGTGGTGCAGGATTTGACCGAGACCGCGACAGTCGTGGTGGAGGATTTGATCGAGACAACCGCGGTGGAGGACGGGATGCAGGACCACCCCCCGTCCAGAATTCTCGCTTTGCAGCTGCTGCCGAGGCGGATCGTTCGTACAACAATGATCGTGGAGATCGCGGCGGTCGCAATGACAACCGTGACCGTGGACCTCCTCCCATTCAAAACTCACGATTTGCAGCCGCTGCAGAGGCTGATGGAGCTCCCGCTCGTAACAGAGACTACATGAACGAACGGGGGCCACCACCCACGCAAAACTCGCGATTTGCTGCCGCTGCCGAAGCGGACCGTTCATACAACAATGATCGTGGTGATGATCGAGGAGGAAGTGGTGGGGGTGGCTGGAGCGATAGAGACGCTCGTGGCCGCTACGAAAACCGTGGACCTCCACCCACACAAAATTCTCGATTTGCAGCAGCTGCCGAAGCTGATGGAGCTCCTGCTCGCAACAGAGATTACATGAATGATCGTGGGCCACCACCCGTTGCCAACTCTCGATTCGCGGCTGCTGCCATGATGGCAGAACAAGAAAATGCCGAACGAGACGAAAGACGGAGGGAACGATTCGATGATCGAGGTGGTTATGACGATCGGCGTGGGGGATCTGGATACGGGGGAAGAGACCGCTACAACGATCGTGGCGGTGGTGGTGGATTTAACCGAGATGAGTTGCCTCGTGGACCCCGAAGCGTCATGGATGACCTTCCTCGTGCGCCTCGTGGAACAGACATGTCACTGTCTGGAAACAAGAGATTGGACACTTTGTTGAATCCCAAGGCACGGAAAAAGGAGGACATCTTGGTTATACCCAAAGAGAAAATGGCTGCAGAGCATGCAGCTGCCGTGCTAGACTTTCCCATGAAGCCCATGAAGAAGAAGGACGAACAGGAAGAAGAGAAAGCGCCTGAAAAAGCACCCGAGCCTGAACCAGAACCCGAGCCAACTCCAGAACCCGCTCCTGAGGTCCCACAGGTTGATGAAGAAGAGATGTTGGCCGAATTCGCAAGCGGCAATAAACAGGGTGATGATCTCAAACAATGGGTGACAGAGAATAGCGCTGTGTTGCCGTCAGTCGAGAAGTTAATTTTCCACTATCTCGAAGAAAAACAACAACTGAACCCTGATGTTTCTTGTGCGTGGGCTGCTCCTGAAAAATATGGTGCCGCCCTTTTGTTTCTTGTGGAAGACAATCTTGCCAATCAGATGCAAGTTCTATGGGGTGTCCAAAAGTACTGCGACAAGCTTGGTTTTCCAAAGCTCAACGACGAAGCGGTCGTGCAATCCATGTTCCGTTCGATGTACCAGTACGATCTCGCGTTGGACGATGCATTTGCCGAGTGGAAGGAAGACGAGTCACCAGAGCACGAAGCGGGCAAGCTGAAGGCTGTTATTCAAACTGTCAATTGGTTCAACTGGCTGGAAGAAGACGACGAGGAAGAGGAAGAAGAGGAATATGGCGAAGAGGAAGAGTAGGCACCCACTGCGCGATTGCCGGTGTAGCTCGCATGCATATCATTATAGTTGGTTGTTTTGATTAAGCTACGTTTATGGTCAGCATCGCCTTTTCGAAGGTTTAGGTTCTAATGGCCAAGCTAAGCAGGAAAAAAAAACATCACCTGTTGTTTCGTCTACGTAGGTAGAGTAGATCACCACTATCGTTCTCTCTTTTCTTTCTTCACTCTCGTTTTATCTCGAAGAGCCCGCTGATTGATGTCAATCTCCTTGGAATCTTCAATTCCTTTTCGGAAAGACTTGCGGTCAAAATTGATGGCTTTACGTTTTCTACCAGTCCTCAGTTTGATTTCATGCTCTTTCAACACGTCTTCTGCCACCTTTTCCCCGTGATCCACAAGAACAATTGCTGCCTGCTCTTCTTGTTCAAGTTGATGCAGTCGATTGTTGAGATCATCCCCTGTCACCGTTGCTGGTTGTTTCAGGTTTTTAGAAGCATCTCCATCCGCATCAGAGCTCTCTTTCGCTGTCGTGGACTCCCCGTTTGATTCTTCTTCGTCGTCTTGGTGTGTGGGAGCACCATCATGCCTTTGAGCCGCGCTACGTGGAAACGAGAAACTGGGGCCATCATTGTCGTGTTCACTGTCGTCCAAAGCTTCTCCTTCGTCGTCTTCGTCATCACTCTCCTCGTATGCTTCTCCTGTCGAAACCGCCAACCTGGCCCGATCTAACTTTCTCTGGCGCCGCTCGTCTTCCAATTGAAGGTTCCTGTTCACTTCCTCGGAAATGCCATTGACAATCCCAAGAGCATAGCTCAACCTGGCACTCTTGGTGCCGATATTGGTAGTGGTTCCTTGTTTATTGTTGTTGGGTGTGTACTCGGCCGTCATTTGTGCAATTCGTTCCGTTGCCACACGAAAGGCATACCCGGCCAGCTGGGCATTGGTATAGATCCCATAAAACACCACTGTACACCTGTGACCACGCCGTACTTGGTTATATACCTTGACCCCAAAGTTTTTCGCGACTGGACTGCATAGGTTGGATATCCATCTTGCATATTGTGCTGGTTTCCTCGTTTTTCGATTGACAATTTGAACTTTGACCATGCCACCTTTTAACACTTCGTCATTAGAACCAGAATTATTGTTCTTGGCCTCTCGTTCCTTGAGTAAAATAGCTTGAGACAGGTTGTGTTTTCGCATGAGCCTCTGTGCCAACTTCATGGCATTGCGTGCTTCATGTTCGTTGCTTTCTGAGTGGAATCCAGTATTGAGTAGTTTGATGATTCGATCCTTGACGGCCCGGTCTGCTTTGTTTTTGCCGGCACCATCCACCAACGTGGAGGCTTCTTCCAAGCCACCATTATTAGTATCGTCTCGTTCCGACGGTTTTCCAGGAGCTGCCGGTACATCTTTTTCGTCCATGAGAACCTGAAGGGGTGATTCGGGTGGCGGCCGTCGTTTTTGTTGTTTTTTGGCGGCAGCCATTATTCCCTCTTCTTCTGCATCAAAATCTGAATCTTGACTGTCATCGTCTGATTCTTCCTCTGATGACGAGGCTTCCCACGCTGATTCTTGATCATTCACTTCCTCTTCATCCTCACTATTGTCATCCTCCTCGGAATCCGAGTCGGAGCTCAAGGCGATTGTCTCCTCCCGCTTTTTTGCCTCTTTTTTCTGTAACATTTCCTCGGTAGCGTCTTGCACGCTATCATCATCATCATCATCGTCGTCCACATTTTCAGTCGGTTCCTTCTTGACAGGTCGAGACAACTTTGGGATCAAGACCAAAGTGTCTCCATGCTCAATTTCGGAGACCTCTTGAACCTCGGCATCCCCTTCCAATGTCAGTTGGTACACTTCTTGGATGAGATCATTATCTTTGCCAGTGATAACATCCAATTTCGCCACAATTTTCCTCAACAGAGCCTCAAAGTCAATCGATGGGTCGAAACGCAAGAGTCTCTTGGGGCCGTCGTGGTTGTATTGGATCTTGACTCGGAGCATGCTATGGTTGTGTTGTGGTGTTGTCACCGTCATTGTCGAAGGAGTGAGCGTGGACATGGTGCCTTTGTTGGAAAATGGAATGAGAGCATTGACTAAATCCTTGAGTACCGGTATCAACCTCCATTCTGACACGTTTAGAGATGACGTGGCTTTCTGGATTCTGGATCTTTGCTCAAACCGGTACCAGTACCTGGTACCAGTACCACCTAGAAACCCAAGACAAGCCCTCGTGACATTGTCGTCATGGCACATGCAACAGCGGGCAAGAGTCTCCTTCCCTGTTTTGTTCTTTATCTCGAACTGCCTCAGGCTGAATAAGCACTGCCACTATTACTCGAGTACAATGAACAACAACAACAATAACTTGCGAGATCCGAACAACAATCAGGAAGAAAATGATGATGATGAAATCCACAACCACAACAACAACAACAATGAGGAACCCGTGGCAGCCGCCATTGCTCACCAAGTGCTGAACGCTGCTGGCGTCAATGCGTTGCAACCATTGGGACCCTCCGATCAAAGCCGCATGACGCTATCTACACAAGAACGCGAATGGGCCATGGCCATCAAACAAGCCATTGAGAGCAATCCGGAAGTCGACAACGAATCCGACTTTTTCTACGCCGCAATGGCTCTGGTGGAACAGGGCAATGTGGAAGCGGCTGTGCGGCGCACTCACAATCTGCAAGAGATTCGTCAAGAATACGACATTGTCGATAGCTTTGAACGAGGACGACGGGCACTCCATCAGTCCTTTCAGCTATATCCAGAGCACTTTTTGTCCTTTAGCTACAGCTATCAATATGGAAGCTACGTGCTCGTGGTGGATTTTGCCAAACAACCCACGGTGCAACTGTTCCACTCACACATTGAAGGCATGAAACCTAAACTGCGTGAAATTTATTACATGAATCAAATTGTTTCTCCCGACTTTGAATCCATTCGCAAAGGAGCCATTCTCGTGGCCGAATGCGGGCGAGTCGATCTCGTGACGGGAACCAAGAACATGACACTCTTTCGACACATTTGGCACATTATTCTGGCATTTCCATCCAAAATGCAAAAGGTCAAACATTTTCACACGGGGCTGTTTTCCAATCTCCTCGTGTCGGCTACCAAGAAATTCCTACCTGAAGAAATGTGTTCCTCCTTGGAAGTCGGATGCATCTGTGAAGCAGGGTCGCTCGACCGGCTGTACCTGCAACCCAACTTGGAAGCTGCCAATCAACGTGTGCTCTGTCGTCTCGAAGAAACGCTCTTGAGGAGGTACGAGAATGAAGCAAAGTTTAAGCTGTAGCGAGAGCAAAAGAATGCAGCAAATTGTGGATGAGAACCTAGACCAATAGACATTGATGAGTGGACGATTTGCCTCCAATCCCCTGCCAGTTCTTTATCCCCAGCAAGATGGGCACACCAAACACTAGCACTGGACGTTTCCACTCTCACCTTGCACTGCATCTCCAATGCTCATTAGCCTCAGCCTCGTATTCTTTATATCCCTCTGGAACCCAGCCTTCCACTAACAAAGGTGGGAACCTTGCCGTATTCCTGCTTTTGTGCCAAACATACCATGTAGGCACAGTATCAAAGACATGGAATGGCATTGATTCTCAGCTTTGTGGCACAAAAGCTGTGTATTACAGAAGCAATATCTGCTGGTTCTTCTGAAGTGCCCTTATGATGTCATCTTGTTCTATAGGAGCATACGGGCACATCACCACTCCATTGCTGAACGTATGAGTCACACTCAGACTTGGCCATGCATGACACATGTGGCAACACACAAGGGGGGCTAGATGGACTGCATTGGATCTGTCTCAACAGCAGCATCAGGAAAGACGTGCATTCCATGGGGGCATGCATCCCTTTGCCAACCTTGCAACCAACTGCTGCAGAAACCCGGATCACCGGGAAAAGGCTTGGTGCTGCACTGATTCAGACTCCTGTTGGGAATACTCTGACTCCTCTTGGGAATACTGCAGCATGCATCCGGGCTCAAGAGGCAACCAGCACCACTTGAGGAAATCTCTCAAAAAGGCAGAGTGACTCCAGTGGAATGACCAATACTATAATCTGCAATCTTAGCTGCCAGGCATGGATAGGCGGGAGCCACACAATCACAAGTTGATCCCGGGTAATGTCGAGTTGGCTGGACTTGAAGGGAACTATTGCTGTGCTCCTGACGAGCTGACAGTTGGGCATGGCGCTACACCATGTCACCAAACGTTCTTTGGCGGACGCGAGCAGTTTCTTATCAGGTGGCTATTATTTTTAATGAGAGATCTACCGTCGTAAGTTGGTCGTTCCGGCCATGCTTATTCTTTCTTCTTGCTAGACTCGGTACCGCTACCAGAAAACCAGCTCCCAATGTATTTCTTCCACGTCTTCTTCACAGCGTACATGTACGTTTTCTTCTTTTTCTCTGCCTCTTTCGCCTTTCGAGCTTCACGCAATCGAATGCGCTTCTCGTTCACGCGAGCCCTACGGCGTTCCATCTCCATGTAGTCCGCTTCATCTTCCTGGCGATGCAGTTCGTATTTCTCAAGCATTTCCTCTTCGCGTGCCTTCTTGCGTGCTTCCATCTCACGGGTCCCGCTATCGAAATGCCAATTCAAGAAGCAATGAACAATGAAAAACCTGGTGACTAGTGGCAGTAGGGCTTGGAGGTGGACAATGATAGTGACCTCAGACTCAAACAAATGGTCAACGTCAAGACCAAATAGTAGCACCTGCATTTGTTTCCGTGTCAGTACGGAAATCATCAGACACGATAGGAGGCAGACAGGGAAGAGGACGTGTGTCAAGAACTGGAAGTATTGTTCCGAAACATCGGCGAAACGAGAAAGGGTGCCATTGACCTCGTCAATTGACTTGCAGACTTTTCCAGACATTTTGTCCAACGCTTTGGCGCGCACCTGTGCAGATCGTTCCAAAGAACCGCCCAATGAATTCATGTCATACTTTAGCTGACGGGCACATCGCTCCGCCAAGACGTTTGCGTCGTCGGTGGTAGAACGATTGTTCTCGTCCTTTGAGCTACCGTTCACCAGGTAACACTCAATCTCCTTCACGGAAACACCGCTTGAGTTCGTTTCGGCCATTGTTGATTCCTCAGCGGACATGTTTCAGATGGAGTGCACGTTAGCCACTGTTCTTCCCAAGTTATGCAATGTTGTCGAGATGAAAAAGAATGAGAGCAGCCAAGTTGTTGTGGCAGAGGCAAACAAGTGAAGAAACGGCAGAGCGTCGCGCGGTTACTGGCCAATCAAAAGTATCTTTTGCCTCTTACGTAGCGCTTCTCAAAACAAAGTTGGCTATCCGTCTATTCTAATCATGAAGAACATCAGGTAGAGCCAGCCAGGATTCATTGGTGTGCTGTCGATGTTGGGCAGCAGGTTGAAGAGCTGTGTTCCGAAACGTAAAACTACGACTGTGGACGTTCCGTCGATTTAATGTTCCGAAACGTAAAACGAAAGGGGCTCCCGTACGGTACTGTAGATAGCAGCGATAGTCCACTCATCAAACGAGGGGTAGGCTGTGATAAAGATGGCCTTGTTGTGTTTACTGAATTGCTGTCCTGAGATACCATGGTCTTGACGTCACCGGCAGCGAAGTCGCACCGTCCCCGTTGCCCTGCCTTCCGACTACATGGCGTGCCCTTCCGACTACATGGCGTGCCCTTTCGCTGCCGTCGACCCAACTCGAACGAAAGAGCCCATGTAAGCATATCCGTACTGGACTTGTAATGACGGGTGTTTTCGGGGGATCCTCTACGATTCGTTCGTTGATGCCTTTCGGGTGCGTTCAATCTCGAGGCACTCTAGCTAGTCGTCTCGACTGTCACTCGACTCGACTCGTCGTCGCCATGAAACGAGTTTGCATCATCGACATTCGTTTTGATGTCCTCATCCAACAAAGATTACGAAAGAAAATAGATTCTCTGATTACTGGTACAAGATGTGTTCGTATTGGTCCATCTGGACCACGACGTGGTGATACCGTACTGTAGCATCCTCGAACCGGAACATTGCGGGGAACCCTGATAAATCGCCGCGTTGTTGCAGCTCGAGGCCAAAACTCAGCTCGACTTGACTCAACAACAGTACCGGTACGGTAGGTGCAGACCCTCAAAGCAGTCGAGAGCAAAGGACTATCCTCCAGAACAATGGTTTTGGCCAGTGAAGGTTCGACAGTCGTAAAGGTAAGTGCAGCACGAGGAGGCTCAACATGTAAGTTTCAACATTACGTTAGGGTTAAGGCTTATGGTCTGGCCATTCCCAGATGACCCTCGCGGACAACCAAAGAAGACAGACGACCACACTAACACCAACCACCAAAACTACAGCGTTGAAGAGGACTTCGATAGAGGACAAAGAACCAAGACCACTCTTCTTGATTTTCGACAAAGTCACAATGGCACCTGCTCTGACGCTTCCTCCTCCCCGGAACGCTCCACCCGGTACGCAACAACCAGCAGCCACCGCCGGCAAGAAAAAGGCACCGCCCAATAATACTAAGCCTCGCAGCAAGGCTCCATCGTACGCCGAACGGTGTTGTTTGGCCCGTGAAGCCGCTTCCAAAAATCCCGAAGAACGTCGCCGAGGACCCAAATTGTTTGTCCCCCGGTCTCTGCAAGACTTTGACGATGGTGGAGCCTATCCGGAGATTCATGTGGCGCAATACCCGAGACACATGGGAAATCCTCATTTGAAAAAGACGGCCGGCAGTGGCGCCGCGGGGGCGCAGACCACCAGTAAGGCCATTGTGAGTGTCCAAGTGGACAAGGACGGTGAAGTGAGCTACGATGCCATTGTCAAGGGAGGGACCAATTCGGACAAGACGGTCTATTCTCGCTACGAAGATTTGGCCGCCAAGGAAGCCAAAGAAGAAGACATTGCCTTGCCAACGGCCGAAGAAGAAGAAGCCACCACGGCCAAAACCAAGGCAGCTCTGGATATGATTTTGGGAAAACACACGGCACTGGACAAGCCATCTGGAACCGCCATTATCAATGCACAGACGTCGCAAAATCAAGAAGCCAAGACACAATTTATCAAATACACTCCAAACCCCGATGCCCCTGGCTACAATCCAGCCGCGGCACAACGTGTCATCCAAATGGTGCCCAAACAAGTCGATCCCATGATGCCTCCCAAACACAAACACATCCAAGCGCCACGAGGACCCGCCGAAGATCCCGTGCCGGTCCTCCATGCCCCTGCCAAAAAATTAACCAAAGAGGAACGAGAAGCCTGGAATATTCCATCTTGTATTTCTAATTGGAAAAATACCCGAGGTTACACCATTCCACTCGATAAGCGATTGGCGGCCGATGGACGAGGATTGAGAGAACATACCATCAATCCGGATTTTGCCACCCTCAGTGAATCACTCTACGTGGCGGAACGACAGGCACGGCAAGAAGTACGATTGCGAGCGCAAGTCCAAAAGAAATTGGCATTGCAGGAAAAGGAACGACGAGAAGAAGAATTGAGAGAATTGGCCAATCAGGCTCGTCTCGAACGGAGTGGAGTCGTGGTGGCGCCTCCCAAGGGAGGAGGAGACGAATCGGATTTGGATGACGACGGCGAAGATGGCATCAAGGTACGAACCGTCCGTGACACTACTAATAATAGCAGTAGTGAACCAAGCAACGCACACAAAATTCCAGCGACAGACGACGAAGTCGCGGCCGCACAACGAGAAAGACTCCGTATGGCACGAAAACGAGAGCGTGAAAAAGAATTGCGCATGGAACAACAAAAGAAACAAAAATTCGAAGACGAGCGCGATGTTTCCGAACAAATTGCTTTGGGCGTGCACCAAGGTACTGGTGCCTTGGCGGGAGAAGTCGATGCACGCCTCTACAATCAATCTGCCGGAATGGACAGTGGATTTGGACGGGAAGATGAATACAATACGTACAGCAAGCCTCTCTTTGACCGAACTGCTGGAGTGAGTGGTGCCAGTATTTACCGACCCAGTCGAGATGAACAAGCCAATGCAGATGATCAATACGCCGAGCTCAAGGCGGGTGCCACATCCAAGTTTCAAGCTGGAAAGGGATTTGCGGGAGCCGAAGGGGGCATGGCGGTCAGTGCGGGTCCGCGTACAGGCCCTGTTCAGTTTGAAAAGAACAAGTGAGGAAACGGGTGGCAAATGGTGGGGCCTCGTTGAGTGGACTCGTGACTAGTAGCTAGTAGTATGCTTCCTGAAGTGAATCCGATTCTTTGATGAATGCATCTATTCATGCCGAAGTCTTTAGCTTTATTCTAGTGTATTTCGATTTATATTCTCAAACGTAGGAAGTGCTTCTCCCATCGTGATGATAATCGGAATGACTTGAAGTGTTTGAGTTCAGTAGAGCACATCGACGAAGCCAGGGTTTTCATTCACTGTGGGGACTGTGGGGGAAGCGTTCCCCTCGCCCTCGTTCACAGCCAACGAAGGTGATGCTATCTTCTTGCGTCGAAACCCGAGCACTTTGCGAATCCAGGAAGCTGTCCGGCCACTGTCGTCGCTGGCAGAAGGACGTGCGTGATACAAGTCTAACCATTCCTGAGGCACAGCTTCCGGCTTCGATCCCGAGGACCCTGGAGTGTAAATGGTGGTTTCGGGTGCCGTGTTGGGATGGGGCGTGTCAAAGCAAGAGGAGTAAGCGGTGGTCACCATCATCTTGTTTCCATAGAATCCCACTGCAGGTGATCGAAAGGCACGTCCTTGACCTCCCACGGTGATGGGAGTCTTGGGGGGTCGTTGATTCTGCTCTTGCTGTTGCTTGAGACCGGGTGATGATTTGGGATAAGGAGTCTTGCGAATACGGCGCATCTTGTTGTGGCTGATTGAGGCTGGGGACTGAAGCAGTGCTTTCTTGGGCGTGACAAACAGGACCTTGCGTCGAGTGGCGATATAGTTGGGCTGTGTGGGAAACTTTTGAATTGGAGAAAACGTGAGCTCGCGCTTGGTCTTATTTGTTGTGGTGGTCGTGATGATGTTGGGCACCGGCAGATTAGTTCCTGGCTTCATCTTGATGCTGTGAGTGAACGGAGTAAGACCCACACTTTCAAAGCTCGCGTCGTGATGGTTCAGACTCGAATCCTCGACCTTGAAGATGCCGTCGGCTTCCTTTGCGAGACAATCGTCGTCGTCGTCAATGTCTGGGAGGAAGATCTTGGGCGAGGTTGAGCATTGAAGAGTGTTGTTGTCAGCACTGTGATGATTCAGGAATTCCAGTTCTTCAAAAGATAGGTTCGTGTACTCGTCTTCAAAGCGATCTTCCATCTGCGCCATTGAAGATACCAAAGACGGCGACTCCGTATTGAATTCCAGGTTGGCGGCCATGGGGTTGTCGGGACGGGGCGGCGGGGAGATGAACTCGTTGCTATTGCATTCGCACATCATGGTCTCAAGGAAGGTCGTAGATGGATGGATGAAAAAGTATTGACGAAGAGGGCTTGCAAGTTCTCGAGAAGAGAAATTATGAATGAAATGAAGGACATAAAGGTATGCAACTGAGAAACGAAACCAAAAATGAAACCACCATTTCCCATTTTGATTTTAAAATCTGAAGTTAAACTTCGTCGATCAGGGATCCAAGAAACCGTTTCTCTTCTATCTCCTCGTACCAGTCGTCTAATGATATTGTAGCCATTTTTTTTACTGTTGTGAGTTTGAAGTGTTTCAATGGCTTTTTGAAACAGTTTGATGTGGTGGCTTGATCACAAGGGAACTTGACTGTCACTCCTGCAAGCAAGCCTTGTAAAGCAGCTGAGCTGCAAAATTTGAGAACGAGGACTGACTCAGTCACCTGGGATGCAGATCGGACCCCCCAAGAAGAAAGGGTTGCAAACCGCATCATCTCTTGTGATTGTTGATGTCAGAATGATATAGTCAATCACAAGTTCGGCCCTCAAGAACAGCATTTGGCAGTAGCGGAAGAGTATCTGAATGACTTGATAGCAGCTTGATAGGATTCTGTTTTTGAAGGCTCGAATCTTTCGGAACCCTTCTGCTTTCCTGTCTTTACGACCCAATCTTCAGTATCATGAATTGTCGACGCCCTTGTAGTTTTCTTTGGGGCCATATTTTGCTTGCCGCTGCTGCAATAACACTGGTGAGCACGTCTAGAATAGGTTGTAACGCCCTGAGCTCTGCAGTTCTCGATACAGTCAGAATAGCCAGGATGCAGAACAAGGAAGAAAAGCGTCCACAAGTTTCCTTTTCCCATGTCCACCTCTATGTGGACGATTTGAAGGATCTGGAAGTCTACAAGGACCTGGAAAATAGACTGAATGGTTTTGTAAAGGGCTGCAAAGAGCCGCTGGGCCAAGACATTCCCACACAACGAAGTGATTGGAAAGCTTTACAACCCGACCATTTTTCGTCCGACAAACCAACGGCATTTGTTCCACAGAACCGGGATTTGGTCCAGCAGCTCTTGTCCGGCTTTGGCTTTCGTGTTACGGGAGCTCGCTATGCAACCAATGACGCCTGTAATACTCGTTCTGTATTGATCACTTCCAAGGATCCATCAGGTGTTCAATTCTTGCTGACCGCCAAGGATCCTGCTGCCGAGTCCAAGGAACACGATTCGTATCATCATTTTGATGCTGGTAAGGAGAACCTTCCGTGGCTTCATAGCGAGTTCTTGTTGCATTTTGCCCTTACCTCTCTTGATCTCTTGCCGTCGATTCTCTAATAAGACTGTCTCGATCGATTCTACCAGTGCCATGCTGACCGTCCAGGAATTGCCGTCCTGGCATTTTTGGTCGAAGATGTGGATCTCATACACCAACGCTACCAAAAACTCCACCCCAATTTGGTTGTTGGCATGTGGGATTATCCCCAAGACCATGTCAAGATTTTGGAAGTCTATGCTTATTATGGCAAAGATTTGGAAAGCAAACAAGCGGACAAGGGCACCATCTTGCGGTTTGTCCAAGACAACCGACAAGGTGCCAATGAACAGGCTGGAAAGATTTGCCCAGTGCCTGGATTATCGCAAGTAGATGCCAAGTTTGATGACTTCACCCAGCCAGCCTATTGTGATCACTGGGTTTCTAATGGTAAGGCCAGTACCAGCCAGCTTTTGAGTACGTGGAAGTTGCGCATCTTTACAATCTTATCCTTTGTTTGCTAGTGTTTCATCGCAGAGAGTTCCTGGATACCCTATTGGATACTCTAGACTTTACTCCAAAGGTATGCCGCTGGGTGCTGAAGACTGCCCGTTCTGTGATGTTGATTCTAATCGATTTACTCTTTGCTCGCGCCTCTGACTCAATGCCAAGGTGGACTTTAATGCGGGAGTTGTGGCGGCCGGGGAAGCGCAAATTGAGAGTACCGTCACTGGAAATGATGCGGCCACTCTCGTAGACAATCTGAGCAAGGAGGAAGCTTTGAGGGATCAGAGCCAGGTTTACCTGCCCATCAACAATGCGCTGTCACAAGTAGGGTAAGTAGACCCACAAGAAAGGGCAACCCCCCCAAGGTTGATGTGAAAACCTGATAGATTCCCGTGCGTTCACCCTCTCTCCGACACCAGACATGTCCATGGCTTCCTTGAAGAGCTGGGACAAGGTATTCAACACATTGCTTCCAGAGTGGACGATCTGGTGGCGTTTGTACAACGAGCCAATGATTCGCGGAAAATTACCGGCGAGGTGAGCGCTTTGAGCAACTGCTGTAACTTGCTGTGTCTCCTGGATTACTCACTCATCATCGGTCGCATAGGGTTTTACGTTCCTCCGCATTCCTCGGAGCTATTACGGTGTCGTGACTATCCCATTCTTGATCAGTCAGGTTGGAAGCACTCAGTCGTCAGGCGAAGGTGGGAACCCTGGATTGTCGGAGGACAGTGCACGGGCTATCCAGGAAGCCTGCATCAAGTCCGATGTAACATCGAAGGATGGAGCAGTTGATTTGGAACTGACACGACAAGAAATCTCCGACCGGCTTAGCAAAAACATGGCAGAAGAATACTCGAACGACTTCAACATTCAGAAGGATGCAGTTCTAGATGCCATTCTTCACTCTCGGTATTCCAACCTCTACAGTTTGCTTCGCCATCACGTGACAGAGGAGACCTATCTTGGCATTGTCCGCAATCAGATTTTGGTGGATGTTCAGGTAAGACTGGTTCAAGCTGGATCAACTACATGAGTGGCGTACGGATTGCATACTCACCACCAGACCACGTCAATCAAACAGGGTGACGATCTTCTCTACCAGATCTTCACAAGCAACGTCTTGCAACGTAACCCAGGAGACGAGGCTCCGTTCCTTGAATTCATCCAGCGAGTTTGCTCCGTTTGTACAGAGGAGAACGGCTGCGCGCAGAAGGTGAAGCCAGGTTGTGGCGGGTTTGGGTAAGTCAAAAGCCTCGGGCGCAGTCTCGTCTCAACTATGGCCTACTTTTCCATTTTCTCATCTCATCTTTCGATCTCGACAATTGACACTCATGGCATTCGTAGAATTCGCAACTTCTTGACACTGTTCCTGTCCATCGAGGTGAGCAAAGCGATGCAGGAGGTCTCGGAGGCAATGGAAGCGGGCGACCTTGCGCGTCAGCAGTACGCAGAACAAATGGTGGATGCTTTCACTCGGCAACTCAATGAAGCCAACCCAATCTTGACAGCCATTTCCGATGCCATGACCGACGAAGGGCGCATCTTGGAGGCTGTGGAGAAAGCTGTTGCCTCACAGGCTCCCGACGACGAAATTGCTGCCTTGCAGGCCAGGATGGAAGAGGCTGGGAAACGAAAGCAAGCCGGAAACGATGCCCTGATGGTATGCAGCGCACGCTACAATGAGCTGATGAAGTCTCTTCGCGAGGAGAGAGCCAGCAAGTGATTGAGCGTTCACCTCAAGCTGAGACAACCCGTTCAAAGATTTCCTCCAATGCTGATATATGTACAGGCACGCTAGCAGAGAGGACTACATCCAGAACATAGAACAATTAACAGCTAAAAGCAGAACACCAGCACGAATTGAATCCTTGACTTCGCGTTGCCTTGTGTAATCGTCTGCACTCCTTCAGGCGTGAGGCCATCCATGCCCGATCGAAAGAGCCCGCTGCAAGTGGTGCTAGCTAAGCTACTAGTACTACTGACGTAGCAAAGGATTCTACATGAAGTGTCGCCAAGGTAGCGGCTTTGGAGGCCAGGGCGTTCCTGGTGAGCGGTTGAGGGTCTGAGCTACTGCTATGCTACAGCTACCCTATCCTTCTCTATGAAGTAAGAAAGGTTTTAGGTTGATTGGATTGGGGGTTGTTTTATTGATCAGATCAGAATCACTAGAAGTCTTGCACCATTGATGATTGCACTACTAGTAGACAATTTAACGTTGTGTGCTTCCTTTTCCTCCTCTGGATCCCTTTCCTCCCATGTGCTTGGGAACCTTTTGGAATGAGTGTGGCTTGGAACCGGCACTGCTGGATCCTTTTCCACTCTTGCCTTTGTTGGCAGCCTTCTTGGCCTTGAGCTCCTTGAGGGCAGCATCTCTCTGTGCGGTACGGACTTCACTCTTTTGGGACGCCTTTTTGCGGATCTCCTCGAGGGAAGCACCCACGACGGCTCTTTGTACCTTTCCAGTTCGAGTTCGCTTCTTCTTGGTGGTGGTTTCAGTGATACCCTTCTTGTGCAGACGACGCCAAGCTTGTGTCCATACCAATTTGGCGGCCTTTTTACGCTGAATTGTCAGACTGAATGCCTTGGAGGAACCAAGCCAGATGGGCTTGCCATCACGACGAATCATGAGTTTCCCATTTCCAGGGTAGATACGGTACTCGGAAAGAGCACAAAGTTCCGCTGCAAATTGACATTACAGAGAGAGAGAGAGATGGTTAGACGAAGACAAGCACGTGAATCTATATCTACGAGTCAAGTTGGATGGATGCTTGCAAGATGACCTTTGGCAGTGCTACCGTTTGAAGGCAACTCCACAAAGTCGCAAAAGCCTAGAGACCAGCCTAATACATCCCCTCCCATCCTCATCAACGCCGCACTAGCTATTTCAGCAACTCACTGTTAATCACCATCTTGACCGCTTATCGTTGTTGTTACCAAGAAGCCGAGAAGGATGAAGCAGCAAGCATCAACAACAGCCGACAACGCAAAGCTGAAAGTGACAATGGCGGCAGTACTAAGCTCAACGGGTTAAATGCCGTAGAAAACTCAAGTAAGAGGTAACACTAAGTTTGTCATTAGAGTTTGAGCTATATTCCATCCCTGTGGGACTCGACTCGTCACTCGACTTGACTCAAAAATTGCTCGAGCAGCACCGAACTCGCTTCGTCTTCTCGCTTTTGCCCGCCTTTTCCCGGCTGTGGTAGGAAACTGCGTACAGCGTAGAACCTACGGCACCGACAAAGATCCAACCTCGATCGCCGGTCTGCAATCTGATTTCCAGGAACCTTGCATCCCTCCTCGAGGGAAGGATTCAATAATTCCTGGTGCGCTGCCAATGGCGGAATCAAAAATTTACTTTTTGGTTCCGACCATGACGGCAAAAGCGCATCGATGGGTTGTCATTTTAAAACTCCATCGAGTTTGTCGAGATGTCAGTCAGCCAATGGTGGTCAGTGTTGCATCCGAAAGGAGATTGTAGCGGCAGCTTTGTTTGCCTTCCCGTTCCGTTCTAATGGAAGGGATAGGGCTAACTTGGATGAAGCTGCATCCCCATTGGGATGATCGCTTGACCATGAGCATGCCGCGAAAGACGGCCATGGCTAGCCTGATTCCCCGTCAATCTTGTTGGCTCCTACATGCACCTTCTTGCCGGCAGTTACTCTTTGCCTACACAAGCTCCATCCATCTTTGATTGCGGCTCTGAGGTCTCTCTGGATTCAGCCCGACGATGTGGGTCTCTTGCCACTGTTGTGAGGCGCCGACAGTCCCTTGATTCGCTTAGAGAAGCAACCATGAAGGTGCATGCGGTTTGTCTCCCTTTGCTGTCTGGATTTGTACTGGCTTTCTTCGGAGATGTCGCTGGATGAAGTCGAAGCTTGATTGGTCCAGCTGGACACCATGGGTTTTTGGCAGCTCCGTGCATGTTATGGTAAAGGTCTTGGCGTGACATTGGTACGGGCAAGCGTCGAAAATTCCAAGGTGTCGAGCAAGGACAATCAAGGGAACCACCCAAGGAGCAGCAACACTCCTTCGTCGAATGATGGTGCTCCAAGTTCCGAAGAGATTGCCTCCAACGATGAAGATCTGGAAGCGCTGCTACGGAGGCGAGGCCATCTCACCATCCTTCGCTGCAGCAGGCAGCCAGATTTTCATCGTCCCCGGCAATCTTCTCAGGACTTTGGTGAGGCGGGCGGCACAACAAAGGCAAGCTCTTTGGTTTGATTGGTGGCACAATCTGCTCTTGTGTCATTGGTTTGGCCTGAGATCTTGGTTTCTTTCTTGTGTTGTCGGCTTAGTCAGCTCTGCACTCATCTCTGCTGTGACTTGAATGGAATTGAATTGTTGTGGGTGCTGGATGGTTGCCTCTTGTTCAAGCAGTGTGCTGCATGTACTTATGCTGTACACATGCTAGGACCAAGGAAGATATCCATCCAGCAGCTCCAGCTACACTCTAATCAACACCATGCCATGAGGCAAGGATGACATTGTGCGGCAAATCTTGTTGTGCCTTGGGGTGGTGTCTTCCAGCCGGTCTTCTGAGTCCGTTCTATTTCTCTCAAAGTGCTGGTTGTCTGTTTGTTTGTCTGAGATGACTGAAGAAGATCTTCTATCTTCCTTTGTTTCTGGCCAGCAGATCCACCACCACCTTGAGCGAATAGGAGCAGTGGATAAGGCTACATCCTTGACACAAAGAAGAGGCAAGTTCTTTGGCTTGATTGGTGGCACAATCTGCTCTTGTGTCATTGGTTTGGCCGGTCATCTTGGCCTTTTCTTTGTGTGGTTGGCTTTGGCAGCTTTGCACTCATTCCTGCTGCGACTTGGAGTGTGGTTGTTGTTGGTGTCCCAAGAGACGGGACTGGAGAGACTCTGGAAGCTGATGTGATGGAAGCTGCAATTTGGTGGTCAGGGAAGCTTCTGTGACTTGATTGGCGGTACAAGTACTCTCAAGGTCACGACTATGGCACACAACTGGGGACAACTATGTGCATCTGAGTGTGGCCTCTCCCTTCCATTCTTGGTGGAAAGGGGTTTGCTCTACACTTGACTGCATTTTGTTGCCCCCATTGACATGCCTTCCATCCATCCGCCCTCCACTCTCGAATGATCTACCTTTACATGAGACCTTTGCAGTGTTCGACTTGGACCTATGACCATGCTTTGAAGATGACAGGGAAATGGCGAGATCTTCATGTGACTTGATTGATGCTACAGCTTGCGGCTATGCTGTCAGTCTAGACGTTTGACAGATCGAGCCCTTTCCTTGTGATACTTCTGGAGTCATGTGCACATCAGTTGGTCTCATTTCTATCCTCAAGATGCCATTGTTGCCATTTTTGCTCGTCTTCCAGCGAAGGTTGCGCTTCAGAGGATGTTTTGGCAGAGGCGAACACTTTGTCGCTCTGTCATGCGCATCCAAGTAGCTATGACCCTTCGCTGTGGTCGAAGGGAATGCTCTGTGGGTGACCCAAGATGGAGACACCTGCAAGACATCAAGGGATCCCGTTTGTCAACATCTGCTTTCTATGCTGACTTCATGGTCCCCTCGTTGATGGCTTGTTGATGTTTCCATTGTCTGGTGATGCTGGCAGCGAAGAGATCGCTCAGCCAAAGAAGCCAGAGTGAAGAGACACAAGTCATGGCACCGTTTTCCGCTGCCATGAGAGGGTGTGTCCTTGACTGATCGCTTCTTTTGCGATGAAGTCTTGGTGTGCCAAGAGCTGGACGGCAGAGGTCCCACCGGTACGATTAAGAATAGCAAGCCAAGATTAGATGTATGTATCTCCATATATTATTACCGTAGTTGTTTTGTCTTTTTGTAGTGGTAGTGCTATGCTTCTAACTCCGACCATCCCTAAGAATGGGTAGCCAAGAAGCTAGGGTGAGTGTTGTTGAAGGTCGGCCGCGACTGATACTGCTGGTTGCGTGGCTGGAACTGCATCTCCAATGCCACTATCGTCCTTGCCATTGATATCCACGACTCCCCCAGTAGATTGCTCTCTTCGTCGTACATTCCATGTCAAGAGTTTGTTCAGGGCAGACGTGTATGCACGTGCCGAGGCGATGATAATGTCGGTATCGGATCCCATTCCCGAGAACTTTCGGTTTCGGCTCACGCCACTTTGTGAATGAAGAGACAAGGAATCGTTGGGTCCACCTTCAATGGGGGTGATCTGGACTCGGGTGGTTGCCAAGGCCTGCAGTGAGATAGAATTCGAGAAAGAAAGCGTGAGACAAGAAAATAACCCAAACCAGCCTTGTACAACAATCAGCTGAAAACATAATCTCTCTTACCTCGATACCTTCCGTCACAGAGCTCAACTGATACGCTTCCAGATTGACCGACACTCCCGTGATTTGATCAATGGCCTTGTAGACGGCATCGACAGGTCCGGTTCCCGTGCATGCCACGTATCGTTCCACTCCATCCGGTCCTAGCATTTTCACCGTGGCAGTGGGGATTCCCGACATGCCCGTGGAGACTTGCAAGCCCGTGACGGTCCACAACTGATTGGACAATCCCGCTTGATCGGAAACCAGAGCTTCCAGATCATCGTCTTCCAATCCACCCTTTTTGCGCTCGGCCACTTGCTTGAATCGTTTAAAGACGGCATTGAGTTTGTCCACATCCAAATCGTATCCCAATTCCTTGAGACGCGTGCCCACGGCATTTCGCCCGGAATGCTTGCCCAACACAATACCGGCACCACTCTGTTGTTCTCCGCGCATGAGTCCAATCGATTCGGGTGTCATGATTTCGTAGGTGCTCTTGTTCTTGATCATGCCATCTTGATGGATGCCGGATTCGTGTTGAAAGGCATTGGCTCCGACAATGGCCTTGTGTGGTTGACAGGCCATGCCAGTGTATTCCGAGACCATTTTAGAAGTGGGGGTGATGTGGACGGGATTAATGGCCGTGTACAATTTGCCGGAACCAATTCCCATGCCTTCATCGAAATGGGTACTTCCCTTGAGGCTCAAGGCCATGACGATTTCTTCCAGAGAAGCATTTCCAGCACGTTCCCCAATTCCATTAATGGTGCATTCCAACTGTCGTGCTCCATTCAAAGCACCGGCAAGAGAATTGGCCGTTGCCAATCCCAGATCATTCTGACAGTGGGTACTAAAGATGACATTCTCAGCACCCTCTACATTTTCACGCAGTTTGTTAATCAAGGCACCAAATTCCCATGGCATGTTCCATCCCGTAGTATCCGGGATATTGAGAGTGGTGGCACCGGCTTTGATGACTTCCGACAAGATGCGGTATAGAAACTCGGGATCGGATCGACCGGCATCTTCGGGTGAAAATTCGATATCGGTGCATCCCAGGGATTTGGCAAATTCTACGGCATGAACGGCAATAGCCACAACTTCATCGGGTGTTTTGTTGAGCTTGGTTTCCATATGAATGGGGGAGGTGGCAATGAATGTGTGTACGCGGGGTCGAATGGCTCCCTTGACGGCATCCCATGCGGCCTGAATATCTCGGTCATTGGCGCGACTGAGACCACAAATGACGGGAACGTACCCATCGTCAAAGACGTCGTTTCCAACGATATCGGCAATTTGCTTGACGGCATTAAAGTCATCGGGAGAGGCAATGGGGAATCCAGCTTCAATGATATCGACTCCCAAACGAGCCAAATTTTGGGCAATTTCCAGTTTTTCTGCTGAAGTCAGGGTAGCGCCTGGAGATTGTTCTCCATCACGGAGGGTAGTATCAAAGATGCGGACATAGTCGGGATCGTCAATTCGACCAGGAATATACTCGGGACGAGTTTTTCTCTGGTACAGGGCTTCATTGGCATCCACGGCAGCCTTGAGGGCAATCGAGTGTGATCTTTGGGTAGTCGCAGAATCAGAAACAGATGGCAGATTGACGCTTGGGGTAATGCTGGAGGGCTGCAGAGCACGAGGGGTGAAGGCCGAACTGGGGCATGCCAAACAGACAGCGGCAATCACTGAGGCGGTGAAGGAAATCCTCATGGTTGTGTTTCTTTACAAAATCTCTGGAAGAAAAGTGAGCAGAAGAAAATATCTGGAGCAGTATGGAATCTTTGGAGTTTGTTGACGTATGTCCCTCACGTTTCACTTGCTACCGGTACTAACTGATAAGCTCTTTGGTCTCTTGCTTTGCTTTTGCCAATGTGTTCTCGATTGGATTCCAATTATTTCAAAATCCAACTTGTTTTCCAGCGAAACCCGGAGCCGAGTGAGGTTGATGTTGAACCGATGTGAGGACGCGTCATTGAGTTGCTGCCATTCATTTTTGAGGGACGGCCAGACCGTGTTGGATGCAATTTCAATGTGGGAGGTTTGGGCACCCGGAGGTGTTACCCTCCGCCTCGCCTGCAATGTATCAGTCTATTTAGTATTTGTTTTTTCTTTTCTTCTAGCTAGTAGCTAGTAGACTGGCTGGGGTAGCCGCACCATCGATTGACAAGGAGATACTAGTACATCGTACCTAGCTAGTATTGTACCCTTGTCGAGGGAGTTTCTCTGAGAGCTGTTTCAATGATTAGACATGGTAGAAAATCGCATTGGTTTGTGGAGGTTGTTGCCAAGGGTAACAGTACCAGTCCTGTACCTGTACCGGTACAGCCTGGAGCTCTTCGTATCACTCACTCGCCTTAGCAGGGGTGAAACCCTAGAAGCCTTCGAGTGCTCAGGCAGACCTACCACATCCCCTACCCCTACCGCCTTTCCGAGACTGAACTAGGTTTATTCTAGCTAGAGTGGCACCAAGAAAGGGATGGCTAATACCAAATGCGCAAGAGCAGAGCAGAGCCTCCCAAGGTGCCAGTGAGCTCTATCGAAGCAAGCTACCACGGTAGTAGCTGGCCGGCTAGGTAGCCAGAGATACCGTATCGGTGTTGTACACGTACCGGTACCGGCAGATATAATAGTCTAGATTTGTCATCTTGATCTTCTGCCTGTCCCTCGTCCGTGCTGGCGTGTTCCAAAATCCAGCCGCCAACAAAAGCAATCAGAAAAGCCATCACCCAAACCGACATCAATCGCCTTCGCCTTTTTGCGACCACGAATCTCCCACCATTGGCTTTCTTCAAACTGACATTGGATCTTCCTCCTTGACATTACCGTGTCGATAGACTAAATTAAAAACATGACAGGCAGACTATCTATATTCCTTGGAGTCTCCCTGGTGATAGTCTCTTCGGCCTTTGTGCCCTTGACACCACAGTTGGCGTCCAATAAACACGCCGTGATTGCATCAGCACAGAATCCTCCATCGACGACGACAACATCACTCAATAACGGCTTTCTTTTGGACGTTCCCGATAGTTTCTTCACTGTCACTTTTCTAGGTGCTGGTATTCTGTTGGGTATCTCCCGTCAATTCAATCGCTTGCGCATGGAAGAACGAGCCTGGGAACAACGCCTCGAAGAGGGACGGCGTCGTCGTTTGGAACAGGATCCAACCCTCACCGAGCTGGATCTAAGACGAAAAGAAGCGGAACTGGAATGGTCTGCCTATGGCAAGCCACGTATGATGCGTGAACAAGCCGAGCGAGAATTGGTGGGAAATAGTAGAAGAAAGCGAGTCAAAGTGTTGGAACGCGAGGAAGATGAAGACGAAGAAGATGTCTTGCAACGACAATATACCATGACGGATGATGAAATTGATCGATTCGAACTGGAATTTGGAATTGATTACGATCCCTACTACGATGACCCTTACACCGAAGAAGAACTCCCGGAAGGAAGATTCAACTTGGACAAACAGTATGGTGATCGTATCTATGACGACGGAGAAATCTTTTACAAGGACGCAGATACGGGCCTTTACTACAGGCAAGGGGCCAAGCCCAGATCCATTAGCTTCTTTGGGCCGTAGCTGTGGACGAGCTATGCGGGCTAGCCGGAAATCTTAATAAAAGATATGGAACCGGTCGGTCCCAATACATGTAATGTACGATTCAAGCGGAATGTATGCATCGAGCTACCGGTATGGGACCAATATCTGTTTGAAGGACCAATATCTTACGACGTTTACAGTTTTCAAAGGAGCTTGATACTGTAAGCTACAGAATCCGTCAAAACATCACCCAGAGCAGTCTATGACAATTGAACCAATTTGTAGGGAAAAGGGTGATCGCTATAACTATCCGACTAATGTTTAGAAGAACTGTGCTTTTGGTAGCCACTAGACCTAGATTATACACGAGAGCAGCGCCGGAAGCACTAGCTCGTTGGGCAACTTTCCATGCCGCATACCCGGGGAGAAACCAATGAAAGAAACACTGCCAACTACTAGTAGTCTAGGCGATGATAGTGAACCAATAGATGAAACATCTAAAAGTTTGCCTCCAGCGTTCTCCTCTGGGACTCTGGAACGGACAACCAGTATGTACATAATGAATCGAATCGTCCACGATGCCACGGCCAACAGTAGCAGTGCAACACTGCAGCAGAGCGCATGGTTGGTGGCACGGTGACATGGTCACGGTCCAAAGAAAAGAACCTAAAAAGATCGGACAGTCACTGAATGCCTGCTTCAAGTGCTACTTCAGGTTTGTTCCCGCGCTGAGGGCCCCCTTCGTGCCGTTGACAGCTAGTGCCTACTAGTAATAAGCAATATAAGCAGGGAAAAGGGGTTCACGCACTGCAACGTTGCTTCATGCTTCATTAGCCTGTAGCGGCGCAGTTTCTGCAAACAAACAACCTGCAAGGAACGCAACGATGCTTGCATACCGTCCCTGGATATGTCTGGCTAGCTCATGGCATGCACCATCCAGGCTCACAAAACGATGGAACCACAAACAAGCTATTTTTGCTGCTGGACCTCCAGAAAGCCACATGTTTCTGTCATCTCCAACAAGCACAAGCACAAGCACAAGCACAATTTCGGTAGTTCATATTTGTGTTGCCTGTGTTTTGGTAAGGTACCGCACGAAGGAATGTACGCTATATCCATGGACTCCTTGAAGTACTAGTAGGCAAACTGATGTTAAATGAATAGTTCATCAGGACATGATCCAGCACTGTCAGGATGATTTCAATGAATTTTCTATTTCTAAAGAAGGTACTAGCTAGCTAGTACATGCACCAAAATCAACTGTGTGGCGCTTCATTCATAGATCGTTTAACAACAACATCATGGCTATACAATACTTATTTACGTTTCTGAGTTGTAGAAATCGATGCTAAGGGTGCTCTAGTATACAAACATAAATAGCTGTCGAGCTTCGAGATGCTTCCTTGAAAATCCAAAAGCTTGTAGGTAGCTCTGCCGGTAGCTTTGAAGCGGCGTTTTGATTTGATTCTTCACTCGACGTGGTCTTTCTAATGCCCCCGTTCGGTTATTGACTCGAGTCGGGAAGCAAGAGAGAAGGGGGCATGCGCATGTCCGGTTTAGGTTCTCACAGTCCCTTGCTTACTGGCATGGTGGGCCTTGACGGTGTTGCTTGGCGGAAGCATCACTGGTAGCAGAATTGGTGCTTCTGGTGCTGCCGGTGTCTTCAAGCAGATCATCATCGATGAGGGCAAGCGTAGCCTCGATAATGGCATGTAGCTCCCCCATTGTGATACCTCGTCGTTCCTGCTGCTGCGAAGGACCGGCCGGGCGCAGGAGGCCAGTCAGTCCGTTGGGGTTGGGTGGTGGGCCTGTTTGCTTTGTCATCTTTGGTACCACAGTAGAGACAGATGATAAGTTTGTCGGCAAAGCCTTGTTGATGGAAGCAGCACTCTTCAGAAAATTGTGGCTTGGGCTGGCTGATACACAGCGCGGTGTGGATCTGATGGGGGATGTCGAGGCTGTGGCTGGGTGGTGGCTGGGTGGTGGCTGGTGTCTTTGCTGTTGGTGGTGTCTGAAAAGTCTGAAAAGTCTGAAAGCAACAGCTGGTAGCTGCAGCTGTTCAACCGAAGAACACAAAGGTGCATAAGAGCGGACGAATTTATTTGATAACAATTAGAAAAGTCTCTCAAGATTGACTTGACTCGACTCTCGACTCAAAGCAAACCTCCGCCGCGGACACAACCTTTCCGCAACACTGCCCCCGCAGTGTGGTCTGGTCATCGTGAGTCGCAAGGTGTTTTTCATTATAAGGTCAGAGATAATTCACATTCTGAATACTAACTACGGTAGCTAGCAGCTAGCAGGCCAGATTGGCCTTGAAATACAGACACTAAAAAGCGAAAAGCAGGAAGTAGATCTAGTCTAGCCTATTGAATTCATTCCAATCTCATCAAGCAACCCTCTGCTATGGCCTTCCCATCAAAATGTGCCAAAGCAATCGACGCTTTGATGTTGGATCGCCGGCTGCCGGTGCCGTACTAGCTCAGCTCAGCTTAGCTTCCTTGTACCTATGCATACATCTAGCTAGTGCTAGCTATGAAGTAGTTTTTCGAGTCCAGCGAGACCCCAGCACAGAACTACCAGTACATGTACTTGCACTGTAGCTCTCCAGCGACAGAGTAAAAGTAGACCTTGTTTTGAACTTTGAACAATAGACATCCCCAGAAAATGGAGTCCGAGTCATCCATGAAACCCCCGTAAAATTCTTAATTAATCATCCCACTCCAGATCTGTAATAAAACCAGTTCGCGTACGCACTGCTACGGTACACTTCAACTGTTGCACTTGGTCCTTTACGGTGAGGACCAAAATTGAACCATTGCTGCAACGCTGCAACTGGCTACTGACAGAAGCTTTACGGAGCCTCCAAGCACAGAACGTCATGCAGGGCCAGTACTCCAGCTATCCTAGCTAGCTACTAGTACTAGTGGGCAGGGTACCCATACCGCTACCGGTACTACCGTACTTCACTGGGCATCCAAGGAAGCTACGGAACAATCGCATCAACAGACCACTCCAGTTCTTGCTACATGTACTATCCCGCAGCAACAGTTTGCTTCTCACAGGAAATATACGCCGTGAGCACATCGAAGAGTTTCGCTTCAGAAACGAAGAACGATGCATGCCGTCCAGGATCGATTTGGCATGGTTGCTTGCTTGCTTGCTTGCTTTTGCTTCAACTGTTGCTGCGATGCAATGTTCAAAAGCAGTTGCTGCAGCAGTAGCAGTTCACTCACTCGCCAATTTGGGCAAGCAGCTAACCAGAATCTGATTTGCCAACAGCCAGATGGCACACTACACCACTTCGTCCATTCCTGGATGTTTGCTCTTTGCTTTCACGACCCACTAGCTAGAGTATTCCACCATACGCAGTTCGTTGCATTCTTGAGCAAGTTTGAAAGCAAGCAAGCAGGATAGGAGGGAAGCAAAGTCTGCGGCTGCAGAAGCCGCCCACGAGCGAGAAATATGATTGTCGCATTGCGCTCATCGACGAAAACTCTTACGGTAGTCTAGCTACCGGGTGGCAACTTACTAGCTGCTAGATGCCACCACTTGTATTGATTCAAGTGCATAACCTGTAGAAGTACTAGTACTGCGAGAAGATCATTCAAAGTTTGTTCTTTTCTTCTTCTGCTGACCCTGTCGCAAGCACACAGTCTGTTGATTGCTGCCTTGTGTCGTTGCTACAGTACCTTTACCGCTGTACTATTACACGTAATAATGCATTCACTTCTGTGGCATTTCAGACGTGTGACAGTCCCCACGTACGCAGAAGAGACAAAAATTACGTTCAATTTCTATTTTTCAAAGCCATTTTTCAGATTTCTAACAACCATTCTTTTAGGTACGGTACCGGTGCTGACTGTAGACGAGGGTAGAATACTAATACGCTTTGCCGATACTTTGACTATTCAGGAGATTGCTTTTTTACAACTTTTCGATGGGTCCAACTGAACGATGACGTACTTCATTTTTCTTTGGAAGTTGCCCTCGGCTCGATGGCATCATCGCGACGTTTCCCAATTCTACTCCCAGCCAGTGAGGAGGGCCGTGTAACAGCACGTGGAAGCTCTTGGTTTGAAGCGAGGGCTCAGGAGATGCAAGTTAGCCTTCTCCGCTCATTCCAAGTGTTTCGTGGCGTTCTGTTCTCAGCATACGGAAAGCGGAAAAGTGTGGTGTGGCTGCTCTCACGTCTATCAAATGATTGCTCGGGGTGCAACTTAGAATTCTAATGAAGTCCGAGCCATCATCTCTGAGTCAATTCGAGTGTCAGACCAGACGAACAACAACTCTCTTTGTTCTCTCTAATAGTTGTTGTTGGTTGTTGCTAGAAATCTCATAGACTAGATTGCTCATCTTATTGAAAAGAGCATTGTGACCACCATGATGAGGATTTCAATGACACACGCCGCCGTAGCGGCTGTCATGCTGTTCTCGGCGGTCGCCTCTGCCTTCACTATCAAGCCTGGTGATAAGGTTCCCTCTGCAGACTTGCACTTTGGTTTCCCACCCATTTTTGTCGACACTGCCGAGTACCTCGCCGACCGAAACGTAATCATTGTTGGTCTCCCAGGTGCTTTCACGCCAACGTGATCTTCAAAGCAGGTCCCGGGATACCTTGAGGCTGAGGACGCCCTCAAGGAAGCCGGGGTCGACGAGGTGTTGGGTAAGCGTTGCTTTTGTTCTGAAACGTTTTGGTGGTTTGAGGTTGGCGGTACCGTACTGACGATTGCTTTCTCTCTTCTTTTGTTGACCCATACAACCATTGCATCTTGTATGTCGACACCGTACTGCAAATACTCACAACACACACCTTCAACAGTCTACTGTGTCAACGATGCCGCCGTCATGAAGGGCTGGGCATTGGACCAGAAGACCGAAGGCACCATCGTCACCATGATGGGTGACCCCCACTGTGAATTTACCAAGGCCTGCGGCATGGAAATGACCCACCCAGGACCACCCAGTGTAGGAATCATTGGCCGATGCAAGCGTTGGGCCATGTATGTCGAGAAGAACATCGTCAAGCACGTTGCTGTGGCGGAAGGCGAAGACGGTATGTTTTATGTTTGGGTTTGATTCCTATGAAGCTCCGATCCCAAAAGGGATTGCATCATTTGACCCTTTTGTTTCTGGTCTGACCTACACTTTTCTTGTCGGGCTTGCTGCAGATCCTGCTGGTGACGACGACCCGACAGTCACTCTGGCCCCAGGCATGCTCGAGGCTGTGAAATCAGTCGTTGTCTAAACGAACCGTTCGGGTAAACACTCAACGTAGTTGCTAGGTAGTTAGTTAGAGGCTGCACCGAGAGAATTCTGACAAAGAACACGGGTTCATGTTGAGGGTAGGAATGACGTTGCTCTCTCTGGACTCTTCCCCGTTGTTGGGAAGACATGCTGGTAGAGTGACTGACAATGGCCTTGGTGATCATCGATTTCAGCGTCCCATCCTATGCATCTTGATGATCTTGGGGTATCTCCAACTGGAACAGCTCTTTTTTGGAAGGATTCTCTTTGAGGAACTGCTACGGAGTACCGTAGATTGAATATTGTAAACGAATCTCTTTTTTTGTTGGTCGTTCCTCTGCTGTATGATCCACCGGCCCCCCAAATCCATAGCGACACAACCGAAGCCATCAAATTTCTAGTTAGGTCACGGGCTACCCACCCGTAACTTCTTGAGTTCTGTGACTCTTTCCCGTCTGTTTGCTGAACACTCCGGTGCATGCGATGCTGCTCGAAGGCATGAAACATCATCAAGCATCACTGCCACAATAAACAGTTCGATTCTACTGCAGATCCTCAACTACTGGTACTGACCCAACTGGCAGCAATGAAGAACGGACCTCCATTACCATTTTTTTTTAAACCAGCCTGACCCTATACCGGTATTGGTTTGTGTCTCATCGGTCCTTGTTGACCTCTCACCAGACCGGCCTAGTAACATGGGTCGCAGCCTGCACTTGATGGTTGAGATTGTCTACAGCTCGTACCCTGTAGCTCCAGGTATTGGCTAAATGGCCAGATACGGTCCAACCGTGCCGTACGAATATGTGGCTCGATCTATTCAAACTCAGTTGCAAGTTCACGCTATTCAACTTTATGTGAAGTCGCCCAAATACGCGTATAAACTTCTGCCCATCTCTTCTTTCGCTTGCCTGTATCCTATCCATAGCCAAATCCAACAACAGCACGGTCCCTGACCGTCTTTTGCTTGCCTGTCAGCTACGCTAGCCAGTCGTAAAACGAATTAAGAGTTCAAAGCTTTCTTATAATCTCTCAAATTTTTTACTCTATTCGTTTTAAAAGCGGGGCAACGAATCAGTTTCCTACCATGCTTTCGCCATTGATGTATCCTGAGTGGCCAACACGTCGTAGATGCAGGACTTCTTGTCGTCACCAGATAAGTGACCACATGCCTTCTCCGCAACATCCTCGGATATTCCTTCCGAGAGACGACGCCTACGCGCAGCCTGGACGGATGTTGAGGGCAAAGCACACCCATGGCCAGCCGGGACAACCCATTCCTCATCGTACGAATGGAACAGCTTGGGCTCGTCGACGGCAACTTGCCACTCTTGTCCGTAGACATTGACATTCTCAATGATGGTCTTGCCATCACGAGCAACGCGCTTTCCTTCGGGGTAGGTTCCAAGCAATCCCTTCGATCCAGCAAGAGTCGAAACCTTCTCGTTGACGAACTCAACGCGGAGGAATTCATGGAAAGACTTGATCATCAGGACTTCTCCTTCTCCAAAATAGAACCTGGCTTCACGGTTGCTGGCGTGCTTGTGTCGGAGCAAGAATCCAGAGACATCTTCGTGATGGAATTCGCCGGCCTCACGCTGATCAAGGGCTTCACCATTGAGCCACATCCATTGATCCTTCTCCTTGTCTCCAGTCATTTCGAAAGTGGCATCCCCAATCTTGACGACAGCAGACTCCACATAAGACCACCAGGTGACAATGCGGGTACGAACATGAATGGTCAAGCCAAGGCCGTTGTGGAAGTCAGGATTGTCCAGGAGGACCAAGTCACATCCTCCATGGTAATCGAACGTCTCGCCTCCATGAGTCTTAAAATGAGGATCACCGCGAGTTCCCGGACCAGATGTAGCGGTCGGCGTGTCATCAACCGTTGGTGCGGGATCCGTGACGATTGGTGCGGGATCGGTTTCAGCAGAAGGACAGGCAGCGAAGTCACAGTCTGGGAGAGTTCGGGTGACCACGGTTCCATCAGCACAGGTGAACTCTTCCGAGGCACACTGGAAGCCACAGTCCCCGTCCAGCATTCCAGAGTTCTTTCCGGCTCCGTTGGGGTTGGGAACCGACTTGGTTCCTGGGAAGTAGTCAGGTCTCTTGTTGGCTCCTGGCTTGTTGTGATTGAAGCCGGCATGGCCATTAGTTTTGGTGGGATCAAGGGAAGCACGGGAAACAGTTTGTTTGTTCCAGCCATGACCAGCATTTCCATGACAAATGTTCACCTTGTGACACTCGCCCTTGTTGTTGAACAAGCTTTGACCTTGGAGGGGCTCTTCTTGACCAAGACAACCGCAATAGGGGTAAGGGATGTTCTGGGAAGCAACTTCATACAGGGTGAGACCAAGCCAAGCGTTGTCGCCACACGAAGTGGGGGGTGCATTGGTGATGGGATCAGTGGGGGGAGCATTGGTGACGGGATCAGTGGGGGGAGGGTTTGTGACGGGGTCAGTGGTTAGTGGCGTCTTGTAACAGTCTGCTCCTACACAGTTCACACAGACTTCAATGTGGCTGATGTCTGCAATATTGCCTCCACCGTTTCGACCGGTAATGAAGTCACTTCCATTCGTACTAGCATCATAGAGGGTTCCACCATTTCCTCCCTTCATCTTGATGGCCACATTGGAACTGCCCTCGCCACTCCAGGAGATAGTTGCAGACTTGTCCGCGTTACACTGAACATTGAGCGTGATCTTGTCAGCAATGCCACAAGACCCCTTGATCTCTCCACCAGTGTTAAGCGTGTAGGTACCAGAAGTGCAACCAGTCATCTTCCATCCAAAATCAAATCCAAGGGGAGTATCAGATCCACCCGAGTGACACTGGGGATTGCCACCATATGTTCCATAGGTTACAGAGGAGGGAACAGGACTGGCTCCACAGGAGGGATCCTCATTTCCAGACCTGGTTTCAGGTTGTTCGGTCCCGGGCGCACACAGAATAGCGTATTCACACGCGTCTCTCTCCTGCGCAACTTCCTCTACATCCCAGTCCCTCTTATAGTTCTTTGGCAAGCCATCATCGACATTCTCGTCGTCCTCCTTGCCCTTGTCCTCGTCCTTGCCCTTGCCCTTGTCCTCGTCCTTGCCCTTACCCTTGCCAAGACGGCGTTCATCTTCCAAGAGGCGTCTTCCCTCGATACCATGGGATGTCCACTTGGTACCTTCGAGTTGTCTGGATCGCAGGCGACGGCGCTCATCAAATCCATCAAACCAAAGATCATGCATCAGCATTCTCGTGCCATCAGCCAGTACAGCATACGACTTGAGGTTGTTATGGATAGTGTTCAGAGCAACAATACCAAAGTGACCCAGTGTGAACAGCTCACCAGCATCATCATCAACGACAGTGGGGTTGTCAAGCTTGAGGTTGGAATTCTTGTCCACCCAGATGTAAAGACCTTCGAGTTCCTCGCCAGTGAGTTTGTTATCACAGTTGTAATCGTAGGTCTTGAGCTTGGCATAACCATCAGTGTACGTTCCTGCCATGTCTCCCATAAGATGGTCTCCTGTGATGATACCATTGCTGTAGTCATCCAAACCATCAACGTTGTGAGCATCAATCAAGATCCCTTCAGTTGGAGCAAACCATTGCTTCAAGTGTTCAATCTCTCCATCACCGGTGATATCAATCTTGAATCCATTTGTTTCATCAACAATGTGCCCAACAGTTCCATCCATTCCCAGATCAAAGGCAATGGGGGAATAGGAGCATGCTTCCCACGCTCCAGGTCCATTCTTGCTGATGTATCGGAACTTGAATCCTGTTCCTCCCTCATCTGGTTGATTCCAGTAGAGAATATCATAGACGGTCTTGTTGAGGACAGGGACATAACCAGTACTATCAGAACTGGCCATTTTCCCGTCACTGGATTCCCAGTTGGGAAACAATGCAGGATAGAATTGGAATCTGGGATAAGGGGGTGCGTTGAGCTCAACTTCAATGTATACATCAGGCCTGTCTTTGGGAAAGTTGGGTTCATACTTCAAAGCCCCACCTCCTCGCTTCAACTGACACTTTGTAATATCAGGAATACTCGTATCCAAGTCCACACCGTCCTCAAAAACCTTGTGGTACATCTCGCATTGGTGCAATTCCCGGCGAGGGGGCAGGGGATTGGGAGTAGGACATTCTTCGGCGACATCAATGGTGCCTGCATCACTAGTAGCTACCTTCCCATAGGAAAGTGGGGAGTCCATGGAATAGGCACACACTTCATCCTTGGTAGGCAGAGTGAGCTCCTTGTGCTGGCAGAAGCCACTGGCGCCCGTGAGGGGGTTGGTCCCCAGTGTTTCAACTCCGCAAAAGGGTTGAAGAGGCACCTATAAGAAAAACACGAAAGGAGGCATACGTAAGATACTCCAAAGTGCCAAGAGGACAACAACAGCTGGATTCAACACGCAACAATCTTACCACGCCATGGTCGGCTGCAGCCATTTGGGCTACCAAGAAGAATGAAACAGTCTGAAGGAACTTCATGGTTTGTCGCTCGTTTATGTTTTTCTGAGCTTTTAAAAAAGAGGATAATCGTATTAGCGCTTTAGAAGGCTGTTGATTATGAGCTTTCAAAGGCTTTTGTTGCAGCCCTCTGCATTTTATTTTGGTTGCGTCCAAGCTCTTTTTCACTGGCCGCACATAGCTCTGATTTACACCTAAATTAACCTAGTATGACCGCATGGAAAGCAACCAGATGACCGATTTTATCAGTTAGTTTGAAAGAAAGAATGATTTCTTTGACCAAATAAATGCTCGAAGTAGTCTACTTATTAGGAGAAATAAATACCGAACCAAGTTGGGTGAATGGGTGGATCTCTCGCACTCCAGTATCTCCAGTACTTTTCACTTGCGCTGATTGCTCAAATGACTCTACACACTGCAGTATCTAGTACTTTTCACTTGCGCTGATTGCTCAAATGACCGAATTACGTCCATCACACATCACACAATCTCTAGTACGTCTATTAGTATGAGATACCGGTACCGGTACCGGTATATGCACAGATAGATGTTCGATTACGACAGTGAGCTAGCTAGCACACGTACTCGATAGGTGGCCCTGCCAAAAAAGCGACGACCAATAATGACAGTAACTGGTTACAGGCTGAATCTTTACTATCGAGACAAACGCAAGCCCGCTCCCGGTACGACATTCCAATGCGAACCGGAACTTCCAGAGTGGTTCGGTGAAAAGATTTATGGGACATATAGCCTTAACCTTAATCTCAACTGACATCACTCCGATCGATTCAAGCCGCTCGTACACCTCTTCTTCCTTTACTATTTCGATCGATACCTCTATCTTTCCTCTATCAAGATGATGCTTCCTCCTCTTCTTTACAGCGGCTACTCCTCTTAACAAAGGCTACTACTCACCACCATGACAGTCTCCTCTTGATTGGCTAGGCTTGAAAGTGGCAGCGGCAGCGAGTCGAGCGATCGATCGGCTGACGGCTGACGGATCGATTCGGTCGATGACTTCTTTCACGGAGCGACCATGATGCCTCCTCTTCCACAGAGTGACAGACGACGCCTCTACCGCTAATGCAACAACAAGCGACCAGTACTACTAATTGAACAACAAGCGATGGAAACAAGCGTCTTCCGTTCGACGGATCCATTGCCTCACGGAGCCTCTGTTACGGAGCAACCACAGGATCGCTCCACGGAGCCATGGAATGGCCGTGAGCCTTTGACAGTGCTACTACTATTGCATGAAATGGCAGCTACACTACTTCTGCTGTCGACTGATTACAAACATGAAAATCTGCCCAATTTTGTGGCCATCAAGTCAACAATTCTCCTTTGAATCTTTGGGATGGGTGCTCCAGTCTTCATGCAAAGCCAACCATTCATTTACATGACTTTACAGTGCAGATTGAGTGCTGAGAGTGAAGACTGGAGGACCTTTCCCAGGAGAAATCCATGGCCACATGACAACAAAATGTAGTCCAAGCCTGATTTTGCCCAGAAGCTCCATTGGAAACCTTGGAGTTGATCAACTCTTTTCAAGGGGAGTGTCTGTGAGTGTGTTGTTGAGCTACTGCTAGCAAAGAATTGATCAGATCCTTGTACCGGTATTGGTAAAGCTAACAGCCATTTGGTCAACACTGTTGCCATGGTGATAAAATTCATTTTATTTGCTTCAATCTTTTCTTTATTCCAACTAGTCATTTCAATGCAGGATTCGCGAAATGACCACTTCCAATAGAAATGACCGCTTCTGATTTTGGTTTGGACAAAACGAGAATCCATTTTGACACCTGTCAGCGGTGTAAAAAGTCATCCTGTACACATGGTTGGGCCCGATTTCGTGACTTCGTGACCACCGGTTGGCCAATAAACAATAAATATGTGGAAAAAGGAGCTATTTTAATAGTCGAACTTTATTAAGTGCATCCTTGAACCTTGAATATCGACCTATAAACTGAAACATACTGGATTTATGACTTCATCCTCCTTCTTTCCCGGTTGCCCATGACTTTAATTAGGAGAAACATAGGAAAACTGCTTTCAAGTTGCCATTCAAAATTTGCACGACCATCAGGCACCTGGCAGAGCTCGCTGAGTGAACATTTAATTTTATTTTCAACTGTTTTGTACTAGTAGTCTACAGTACAAGAGTAATGGATAAATCCTGCATACACTGTCTACTGAGTACAGTACAGTATTTAATAGTAGCGGTACATGTACGCTCCACCGCTAATAATCCGTAGTTCCACCTTTCCAAGTACTTATGGTCTGCATGTCTGCATGTACGATAGCACATGTGTACGCTGCTACTCGGAAGACATATTATACTAAAAACCATGAAGACTACATCGTACTAGATCTAATGGGAACGAGATGATGACCAATACCACCAGGTACCGGTACTCCAGTAGGCATGCAGGCAAGCTTACCTGCGAACAAAGAGCGAAACTGGAAACGAACACCACGAACAGCCAACGATGCCAGTAGATCGTTCAAGATGTCTTCAACCTGAGAATGACTCTGATAATATTTAATAATTCACCAATTCTGTGAAAAATCATTTAGCGGTAAGTAGACTAGATGCCAGTGGACGCTTGAAGATAATCTGGCAGGCTTCGCCCTGCGGTCATCACCGATCGGGGTTATACTTGGACCGTCGGCAAAGTCAGTTACTCTACTGTACCAGTACCACCATACAATGTCATGTAACCGCACCTGACCCTTTCTGTCAACAACAGGTTGTGGAGCCCGGTGACGTAGCAGGAGGCACTGGGCAAATCAAAGTCAGTCTTGTTTGGATGCCACTAAAGCCAGTCGAGTCGAGTCAAGTCGAGTCCAACAGTCAGTCCAACAGAGTCGAGTCCATTGTCGATGTCAATGAGTTGGGAGGTCGGAGTTCCAGGTTGGAGTGATGCACCCCGCACCAATAGCAAGAGCAGACCGTTATCCAGTTCTAGTAGCTAGCTACCAGTACCGTACTAGCTAGTAGGAGTTGGCTGACTGTGATAGCCACCGACCACTGGCACACTTCGTCGCTTGTCGGACGATGGCTTTGCAACTCTTGGTATCCTGCACGCCTGTCGATCCTAGAAGTGCTCGTGGATGTTCGATATGGGTAAGCGAATGATGAATCCATACGAGAAAGCCGTACTGTGTGTGGCTTAGTTCGTTGTGTGAAAAGTATGGCAGACACGGTGATGTAAGGCTGGTGAGCAGACTTACTGTGCGAAAGACGTTGGCCTTGGCTATTGGGCGGTCCTCAAGCACTTCTTGTCTGAATCCGTTAATAGATTTGAGTTCTTGTTGTATCGTACCCCTACGTGAGTCCACTGCGGATGGGTGGACTATTTCCTGCGCAACTGGTCTGTTCTAAACTGATTCGTCCATGTAAGGTGAGACTCTTTCATTGTGAATACCAGTTGTAGCAAGTATCTGATTTCAATCCTCTCAACAGGTGACTTTCATTGGCATAGTGAAGTGACTCGCTCCATTGCTGATACGGCACGTACCACTAGTCTACTAATCTAGGCAAGGATTTTAGCACTGTCATATGCAAACAGCTGCCTGCCTCTGCAGTTAGTCCAGCTCACGAAATGAGGTACCAATGATACCTTAGCCTGTTGCATTGATACAAAAACATGACAAAAGTTTATGATTGAGCCCTATCCAAAACTTAGAAGTGCAATCACTGGGAATCGAACCCAGGACATCTGCTTGGAAGGCAGATATTTTACCACTAAACTATGATTGCATTTTGATGTGGAAACGAACAAATATATTTCAATATACAAGCATTATTCAACATTATTTATGGTACAGCACCGAACATAACCTTTCAGTTTTTTGTCTTCGTCATGGAAGTACCAGGTAGTAGTACCGGCACGGCACCAGTACCGTACAGAAACAGAAACCAGCATGGAATGGCACCAATAGCCACAAGGGAGGATACCGGTACAGTACCGGTAGCATTGGGTGTCGGGGAAAGCTAAATTTGACTCCAATATTCGCTGCGAAAAGGCTCAAGGTAAATCCAATCTATGGAATATAATGTGTGGGAACGCAGGCAGCTATGCTTGCACAGAGAGATACTAATTCTACGCTTGATCGAAGCATGGCATGTGAAAATGCTATTCAATTATTTTAGATTCTAGTCTGTGAATCGTAGCGGGTAAGTAGTGAAACAACTAAATACTATGCAACAGTCGCTGGCCAAATAATAGCCGCAACAGCAGCTGCCTCCACTCCTCCATGGTTTCTTCTTTTCTTCTTCGCCTCCATCCATCCATCCATCCATCCTGCACTTGCATCAAAATTTTCTTGCGCAACCTCTTGGTGCTTACGCCTTCTTGGCATGGATGACACCCCACTTGAAGACACCACGGTCAACTTGTGTGACACGACGGGCCAAGTTTTCCTTGTAGGTGGTCAGGAGGACGGGATCAATTTTGGTTCCAGCAGCAATCATCTTTTCGACCTTCTTTCCCATGAGCTGGAACGAAGTTCGAATGTCCGAAGTCAAATCGACAAAGGTGACATCGGTCCATCCGGCTTCTTGGGCCACCTTGACGTTTTGGGCTGGGGACAACCAGTCATTGACCATGTTGGTCTGGGCAAAGGTTTCCAGTTCTTCACTCGACACATCGGGTCCATCGCCGCACATCAAGTCACAGAAAATAAAGGCTCCTCCAGGTCGGACAATTTTGAGGGCTTCCTTGTAGGCCTTGAGTTTGGAAAACGCATGGACAAAGGCATCCTGGGAAAATGCCATGTCGAACTCGTTCTCGGCAAACATGTGAACATCTTCGTAGGTGCCGGTTTCGACACGGACGCGTTCTCCAATGCCCTTCTCGGTGGCACGGGACTTGGCGAGAGCATTCTGTTCGTCGCACAAATTCAAACAGGCAGCAGTTGAAATGAAGTCATGCATTTCCGTCAATCGAATGGCGGCGGCACCGGTTCCGCTACCGAGATCGACGTACTTGAAATCCTTGGCGCTCTGACGAGCTTCAGGAGTCAAGGAATGGGCCAAATCGAACATGTAATCGGTCATTTTTTCCGATGCCTTGCCATAGGCACCCTCTTCTTCGAGATCAATTCCATCCCACTTTCCGAAATGAATGTTGGCTGTTCCATCTCCCATGACTTCGGCATAGAACTCCAATTTTTCGGCGGTATCATATTGCTTCTTCACTCCCTCCAAGTGCTTGTCCACGTTTCCAGACTTGGAGTAGATTTCAGGGTCAACGGCAGTAGAACTCATGGTAGAAGAATGGATTATTGTAGGAAATTAAAGTGTTGGCTTTTCAATGAAATTATGATATTTTGTGGCCAACACCAGGAAAGATATTAGCCGTAACCCATTCTCATTCAACAACTCGCGTTCAACATACTTTCTTTGTTTCTTGGTCAACAAAACACAGCCAATGACGATCGATGACGAACGAGGGAGGAGACCTCTTGACCTTCTCGGACAACTGTTTCCTCTGTTGGACGACAACGTGGCCAGCTTTTGCATGATTCGATTCCATTCCATCCATCCGGAAAAAACTTCTTGGGCCACACCACAGCACAACATCCACGTATGCAAAGAGGTGGTTGGGTATAAAGTACCGTACGGAAGTAATGTGGTGATGTATTTGTCGGCAGTCTTTCATCCCGTGTCTTTGAACAACATTCACGCGATTAAAATGGTTCTTTAGCTGTTCCTCCTACCGGTACCGTAGTAACGCAGCCTTTCCGGACACTTGGAACCATGACCCATTCAAATTTATGTTCATCTCGTTGTTTCCGTATTAAAAAGGCGTAAAGCCATACACCTTCTAAAGCTTCGTGCGTGGTGGAGCGAAGTTAGATGGTTTAGAGGTGGCCCTTCCGAGGTCAAAAGTTGAACTATCGCTTGAATGGTTAAAAATAAACCTCGTGAAACGCAAATGGTTTTCGCCTTGCAACGTCACCTCGAAGTTGGTGCACTCAGGGCTTATGAACAAAAAGGCAACCTAGAAAGGTACCGGTACCGGTACCGGTACCTCGTGGTCAACTTTTGCTCTGGCTGGTAAGCTCCAGATATCCTGCAGCAAGATCTTTGGATCTCCCTTTCCTTTCTTCCTGGTTCTAGCTAACTGAGTAGTCTACTCTCCTGCTCTAGCTAGCTAGCTAGTGCCAGGTACCAGGTACCACGATCTCTTCTACGAGTATCTGGTTGATTGTATTCTTCCATAGTTTAATCCCAGTGGCTGATCACTTTTCCTTCGCCTTGCTTCTCTTGACAATCAGTTATTATAGAATTCAGTTCAGTCTATGGATCTATTACCATTGATTCCAGCTGTCTAGCTGGCTGCTGTGCATGGAGCTACTGGTACCATTCTATCTGGCAGCCGGTGAGAGGTTGTTTTGTTTGGCTGTTGGGTTGCGGGGCGTGACAACGCGAACGAAGCGGGAAAAGCGATGCGATCTTCTAGCGTATCTTGTTCTGGATCTTTCAACCCGAACAAATCCACCAGACCAGAACAAACTTTGAACAGCTTCTCTGGCTAAGCCTACCCGACGCACCAATTTTTGTATCTTTGGTGCCGTCACATTCACGATCCATTGTTCTGTGATTCACAAGTTCGCTTCTCCCATTCGGAACTGAGCTCGGAGCTCGCGAGACGACCTCCCCAAAATAAAAGCATTCGGCCACGTACTCAAACACACCACATACATGTTCATGTACGGTACCAGTACCGCCCAGCACCCAAGAGAACCACATCATCCTCTGCAAACCTCTTCGGAAGTGCTCCGATCGTAGAATCTCCCTTTTGGAATCCTTCAAAACCTCGCAACACTTTAGACCTCATCCCAAAGGCTCGTACTTGGAACAAACAAACTGAGCTCACAAATTCTCCAAATCGCAGCTGCCGATCATCTATCCATCTTCGACTTCATCTTTGTCTTCAACCAAAACCTCCGACCATCAACATGACTGCTGGAAGCCCCGTTGCCGTTGCTGATTCCTTTCACTTCTCCCACTACTACTGGAGGGAGATTGAGCAAACTGGAAGTCAGGAATCGTCTGATGATGAAAACAGTACAGCTCCCGCGTTCAAGCCAAAACCCGTGGCCAGTAATTCCATCAAGCTCAAGTTCTATGCTCAAGGTGAGTGTGATTTCAATCGAGATAACAACAAGGATGTTGGAGAAGGCTTTCTTTTTAAAAAGCCTTCATGTCGTTACCTTGTTCATTATCATGTTGCTGTTTTATCATTTGACTGACATGATTGCTCGCATTGCTGCCTTCTTTTTTTCTTTGCAGTAATGGGCGATGCTTCTGAACAAATTCACTTTGGAAAGTGGAACAACATTGATGAGAGCCAACCAGATGCTTACGGCAAAGCCAGTGAGGCCATGACAGACTACATGTTTGACTTGGCCAAGAGTCTCTTGCCTCATCGCGTGGACGAAAACGACTTTACCTACGTCGATCTGGGCAGTGGTACAGGAGCTGCTGCCATTCGGCTGTGCGAACACAACCCCTTTATCCTTCAGGCAACCTGCCTGAACTTGTGCCATGCCCAAAATATGAAAGCCATGCAACGAGCCAAGGAAGCTGGCTTGGGCAACCGCTTGGAGATTGTCGACGGATCCTTCGAGGATGTGCCAACTGCCAACGATGTCTTTGACTTGGCATTCTCACAGGATGCCTTTATCCATTCCGTGTCCAAGAAGAGGACGTTTGCTGAGGCATACCGTATCGTCAAGCCTGGCGGTGCTTTGGTCTTTTGCGATCTCATGAATGGAGCCGACCCCGATGTCTCCGTCGAGGAACACTACAACTTCACCAAAAGCAATGTCGTCAACGATTGGCTGACGCCAGAAGAGAACATGCAGGCATGCCGGGATGCTGGATGGAGGGATGTCCAATGGGTTGACTTGACCACGGATATTCGTATCTCCTTCCAGCGTATGTTGAAGAAGGTCACCTTTGCTTTGGAGCATGGACATGCCATCTCCAACTCGGACCGTGTCCAGCTCATGGACTACCGAGACAGCATCTTCACCCGCATCACACAGATTGACCGTGGACTCTTCAAGTGGGCAGTCATTCATGCACGCAAACCTGTCTACATGGAGTTGGCCTGCAAGCCACCGGTGCCATTTGTCAACACCAATGGTTTGGTCACCGATCTCAGCGCCGAGGAGAGCAACGATACAGCTGAGAAGTCCCCCAAGGGTGACTTGAACGTGGTGGTGGTGGATATCATCACCAAAATGCCCAAGGCAAAGATTGACGCCTTGCCTTCGACGGTCGAGCTCTTGATCACCATGTCCGCTGGATTGGATCACATTGACATGGAAGCTTGCGCTGCCAAGGGCATTACTGTGAAGCAGTCCGGTCGCGAGTCCATCACAGAACATGTGGTCCAATACGCTTTGGGTTTCCTGATCCTGGCGCTTCGTGATGCCTTCAACCAGATCAGCGTCCCATTCCCAGCCAAAGGATGGAACCTCAACTGGAATTGCGAGGGCAAACCAATCACGGACAGCACCATTGCCATTGTGGGAATGGGACTCATCGCCAAGCAACTTGTCGAACAAATCCGAAAGATTGCTCCCAACACTCGCATCTGCTACCACGTCCCGGCATGCTTCAAGGATGTCGACGCGGAAGAAAAGTACAATCTCGAGTACTGTGCCACTTTGGAAGATATGGCAGCAGACTGTGATGTCCTCTTGCCCCTTTGTCCTTTGAGCAGGCATACCGAAGGCATCATTAGCCGCGAGGTCCTGAACAAACTCAAGCCCACTGCCGGTTTCGTCAACATAGCTCGCGGAGGGCTTGTCGACCATGAGGCCCTGACGGAGATCCTCGAAAAGAACGCCATCAAATACGCCCTCTTGGACACTACCTTCCCCGAGCCTCTCCCTGCCGACCACCGATTGTGGGGACTGAAGAACTGTTACATCTTTCCCCACTACGCAACAAACACCATGGCTGTCCGTGAAGCTTTGGTCAATGAGATCCAGCCCATTATCGAAGGTAAGATCATGCTGCTCTTCGAATTTATTTTTAGAACGACATCCGGCAAGTACTCACCCAATCCTTCTTCTTGAACTGTTTCAGAACACTATGGCCTTGGCCACTCTGATGAAAAGCTTCGCAAGGAGGAGTGTGCCCTCCGATACGACTTGGCTGTGGCCCACCGTCTGACGGCAAAGTATGGCATGGACATGTTGGTCTGGAATCACATTTCGGCTCGCTTCCGCACTGGTTGCCTCATCACACCCGGACGCAAGATGTGGTCCAAGATCAACCCATCGGACCTTGTCTTTAGCTCGTCCAACGTCACTGCCGACATTATCCATGATGCCATTTACGCCGCAAGACCCAATTGCAAGGCCATCATCCACTTGCATACTCCTGCTGCTACTGCCGTGTCTTGCTTGGAGTCTGGATTCATTCCCTTCACACAGGATAGCGCATACTTTTACGGCAAGGTTGCCAACTACGAATGGGACGGTGTGTCTGACGACGCCTCAGAAGGTCCTGCCATTACTGCCGCCGTTCGGTCTGCTCCTAATGCCAACACTTTGCTCATGAACAACCACGGATTTGTATGCTTCGGATCGTCCGTCCGTGAGGTTTGGGTCTTGGCCTACTACTTCGAGCGATGTTGCCAGGTTCAGCTCGATTTGCTGAAGACGGGCGCCAAGGTCCGTATGCCGAACAAGGCTGTCATGGAAAAGGCCGCCGCAACAAGCTACCTTCCCGAATTCGCCCCCGGTGTTTGTGAGTGGGAGGCTCTCTGTGAGGAGGTTACCTTTGACGAGTAAGCACCAGGCTGCTCAAGGCAAGTTATCGGAGCGAGACCACACCTCAGCGGCTGCCAACAAAAACCTGACCGAGCCGACGGTGCTAGCTAGCAAGAACACATTTTTGGATTTCTACATATTATTATGAATAAACACGTATACTCTGATAGAAGAGCTTTTATATTCAACTATCTTTCAAACGACAAACCAGCCACACGTAGCAAGGTCGCTGTTTGCGCAACTTCATAGTCTTGAAAGCATTGCAACATGACCTCGTCTGGAGGCTCTCGCCTTCTCTTGAACCACCAATAGACTTTTTGTGGTTGCGCAGAATGGTGCTTTTGGAGGCAGGTGAAGAGGCAAATGTGCATTGCTTTTGGACAAGAGCATAGTTCCTTCGTTGACTGGCCACCCCAGCAGCTTAGATTTGGAAGCCCCCACAGTAGTTCCACTATGTTCCCACTTTCTAGTACTGGCGCCTACTTTGGCATGCTTCTAAAGATAGTCCAGACCTCCGGATCAACCTGGGTCTGAGCTCTTCCCTTGTGCGCTTTGGTCTACATGTACTAGCTAGCTAGTATCGGTACCGGTACGATGTACGGTACTTCGTTGCGTCGATCCTTTTCGCTCTTGCAGTAGGCTTAGGGTTAAAATTGAAGATCCATCCACGCATGACTGAACTTGGGCATTTTCCGATGTCGAGCTCCGGAACAGGTCCTCATTTGTCATGCATGCTGCCTCTCATTTCCTTCTGTGAGACACACAGCATCAACAACGCTAGACTACTCTACCGGTACAGCAAAGCTTGTGTCACAGCATCCGGTACTCTTGCATTGCCTTGAATGGTGGAGAATGCGTCCAAGCCATCATCTTCAGGTTCTTGAATTGTTACTACACAGTTTTAAAAGCCTGGTTCATGCCCAAAACTAGATGTCGATCAACTAATACATTAGCTACCGTAGGACAATCACATGCTAGTAGGTCAATAGGATTTGTATACTGATTCGATTCAATTAAAATTCTGGAAAAGATCACATTCAGAAAACTAGGGAAACATAGGCCACAACGGTGGACTGTTCATGGTGGTGCTGATCCCACTCAAGCCATAGATAGTACTTGTATAATAGTAATGAAACATCCATGCGTCCAACAGCCCCTGAGACACACACCTTGCTGCTGCTGCAAACACCTTACTGTTTTTTCTTGGAAGACTTTTTGGTGGTGGCCTTCTTCTTGGTTGTTGTAGCCTTCTTCTTGGGCGCAGGCTTAGCTTTGGATGCGGCAGCTTTTTTGGGCGCAGGCTTTGCCTTCTTTGCAGTGGTTTTCTTCTTTGGAGAAGGTTTCTCCTTCTTGGCGGTGGTCTGAGATAACGAAGAAGATTATTGTGAGGCAGATCATCTCACTTGTCAAACAGTTCAAACTGGTGTCCATACCTTCTTTTTGGCAGTTGTCTGTTCGTTGCACAATTGATTTGAAGACAGTCAGATCACTGAAGCACACAAGCAAAGCATCAGCATTGACGATGACATACCTTTTTCGCTGTAGATTTCTTGGCCGTAGTTTTTGCGGTTTTCTTTTCTTTCTCGGCCTTTTTCGCCGGTGCTTTCTTGGGCTTTGGTGCCGCCTTTTTGGCGTCAGCGCTGAGTTTGTACGAGGCTTTGACTTGAACGAGTGTTCCATCCTCAACGCCCTTCTTAAGGGCGGCTTTCATGACATGTTTCTTGATAGGTTGCTGGTCAGGTATAAGAGAGAGATAATGTGTGAGTTTCAAGGCTGGCCATGGTGTGGTTGGTTCAAAATCCACCATCACATTTTCGCCCTACAAAAATGTACCAGACGCTCTGTAGAATGATAACAGCAGCTAAAGGGAGCCCAAAATCCACCTCAGACGCTTCAAAAGCCTCACAAATGCACCAGAGTATCCATGTGTATGAATACCATCAGTGCTGCTGGTCTTGTATCGGCAAAGGGACCGCTGCAAGAGATTTTTCACCAAGGCTGCTCCGCAGATGGAAAGAACCGCCGCTGAAATCACCGCGGCTTCTCTGAGATGTATACCGGCTTACCTTCTTTTCAGATTCGATCCACTTGTTGATGGCAATAACAGATGATCCCGAACGGTCTTTGAGAGCCGCAATGGCTTCTTTGACAATCTTGATGGTCGCCATTGTCACTAAACTCTCTCTCTTCTGATGATAATGATGATGATGCTGATGCGCAGCTGGTGTTCGAATGTGAATGTCTTGAAGTTTTGAGCCCTTCCTTCAAAAGCAGTCGCCAAACGGAAGACATGGCTTTATTTTGACAGCTCTACCGGCTGTATTACATAGATGGTCTGTCCAGCGTTCGGAGGATCCTTTTGGCATTTCCCAATTTGCAATCCCCACGCAACTCTCGACACTCCACGCCTTCGACCATTGCCGCCACCAAACAAGCAAGCTCCTTCGCTCTCTCTTTGGGTAGCAGGTTGGATAGATTGTTTGCTAGCACGAAAAGGATCCGCCATGAGTTTGTTATGGAATTCCGCCAGAAAAGCAGTGACAACCAAGAAACTACTACGCCGAGGCCCATTCCACAGAACATGGCATCCACAGCGCCAATTCTCCCTTGGATCCACCTGGGCATCATTTGCGACGGATAAGGAAAATAATCAGGACAACAAGTCACATTATCCAATCAGCAGCATTCCAGCCAAACAGCAAACTTCTTTTCGAGATGGTCTCTTTCGAGGAAATAGAAGTGATGTTCTGAGGATGTTGGCAGCCAAGACACAAGCACTCTTGGATATTCCCATTGGACGATGGACTGCCCAGCATAGGCGGGATGCCATTCACCTTTTGGATCATTGGACCGAAGGGAGCAGAGAAAATGCCAGGAAAGATCTGAGCCGACAAAAACAAGAACAAAGACGGAGAAGGCCTCCAGCGAAAATTGACAGAAACAGCATCTCTGGGGCAGCTCAGAGTGTCCTGTCATCGTTTGCCCTCTTGGAGCGACTTCTTGTGGAGCAACAAAGAGGGAAGGGGGTGGATTTATTGGAGCGGGAGCTGATTCACACTCTTATCTTAAATGGTGTGATCCACAATTGGTCTGTTTGTTGGAGGGACATTCAATCCAAGAATGACAGGAATTGCCCGGAAGCAAAGGGCGATGCAGAACATTTGGCCAAGGTTCTCTTGGAATACACTCCCGAGAATGTCCTTTCAAGGATCAATGCTTATGCAGCCCGGTCGCGAGGACGTTTGATTCCGAACAAATTTACCTACCATTGTCTTATGGAGGGCGCTGCTGCTAGCCAGACTACTTCCTTTGCCGTCAAAGTCCTGGACATAATGTCCAAGGGAGAACCTACTAACAACACCAACAATCTACTGGAGGAGGATTCCGACAATGCTTCCTCCTTCGGCATGTTAGACCGTGAGACCTATTCCAAGTTTATCAGAATCATGGATGATCCTACCCAGGCAGAAGCCATTTTGGAACACATGAACAGTCAGTTTGTCAAGACAGGAATGTCCATCTTCAAACCAACGACTAAGGAATTCAACGCTGTCATAAAGGCATGGACGCAAAATTGCAATGGAAATTACAAGTATGCCAGTGATCGTGCGCAGAGTATTCTCCGAAGGATGGTGGACTTGTCTGCAGACGATGGCCCCCTAAAGGATAGCGCAGATCCTGATTTTCGCACATACAGTTTGGTTTTGAGGTCAATGGCAAATTGGATTCTTTCAGTGAAAGACGACAACATGACATTTGCAAAGGACTATCAGTATGTCGGAGAAGTTGCAGAGAGCCTTCTGGATGACATGAAAGAAGAGTTTCGCAAAAGTAAAGGCGGCAAGAAGCTTCGTCCAGATGTCGTCAGTTACAATGGAGTTCTCTTTATCTGGACTCTGCTCGGTAACGCCGAGCGCGCAGAAGCCTTGTTGGAAAGAATGTACGAGGATTACAAAATTTACAACAATCATCGTGCAGAACCCAACACTATTTCCTTTAACTCCGTAATGAATGCCTGGATCAATAACCAGAGAGCAAACCTTGACACCACTTCCGTCCAGAGCAGCATGGACGGATCAACCTCTGGCGCCGGGGAACGGGCGGAGGCTATATTCCGCCGCATGAAGGAGCTACATCAATCTGGCGCGCTCAAGAATGTCAAACCAAACTTTGAGAGTTACTTTGCTGTAATGAGGTGTTGGGGAGGCACAAAGAGAAAAGATGCTGGTGACCGCTCGCTTTCGATACTCCGGGAAGCTGAAGCTGCTCAAATCGAGACGGGAGACACATTGCTTCGTCCCTCATCATACGGGGCTGTTATCCATGCATATGCCAATGCAGGCCTTGCCCAAGAGGCGGAAAGGGTTGCGACGGAGTTTCACCGTCAATTCTACAAATTCGGAAACAAGTCCACAAAACCAGAAATGCAGCACCTTGCAATGTTGCTTAATGCTTGGGCAAAGTCTGGTCATCCTGATGCACCTAAAAGAGCGGAGACAATCCTTCGCGAATCGGAAAGGCTCTATGATGAGGGAATTATTTCAGAAAGGCCAGACACTGTATCGTACACCAATGTCTTGGAGTGTTTTGCCAGATCGAGTCAACCTGGATCCGCTGAAAGGGCAGAAGCTCTCCTGAATGAAATGAACCGAAGGGCCCGCAACGGGGAGTCACACTTGCAGCCCAACCTTGTCTCCTATCGCCACCTCTTGCATGCCTACTCAAGTCTTGGCTTGGTTAGAAAGTCAGAGGCACTGCTGGGGGAAATGGTTGCTGAGAGCAAGCGAGGGAATGGAAGCTGGAAACCCAATGTGAAAGTAATGAACCTCGTCCTCTCCGCCATCTCTAATTCGAACTACCCGGACACCGGTCAGAGAGCATTTGCTTTTTTGAATCGTATTGAACATCTCATCGCCAAGAATAAAGTCGACGGGAAGCCAGATGTTGTCACCTATACCCTCCTGCTGAAGTGTCTGTCCAATTCTGACGACCCTGACGCAGGGAAGCAGGCTGAAAGTGTTTTGGACAAGATGGAAGCGAGAGCAATTCTAGGTGAGACGTCCGTGGCACCTAACACGTTTACCTACAGCACAGTTATTCAGATCTACGGTCGTGCTGGTAAACCGCAAGAAGCCGAAGCACTGTTGGAACGAATGCATTTGAAATACGGCGAAGGAAATGCAGATGTAAAACCAAACGTGAGAACTTTCACGAGTGTGCTCCAGGCTTGGTCTCGTTCTGACGATACGAGAGCACCTGAAAGGGGGTTGGCCATCTTGAGGAGAATGCAAGAGCTTGACACGAAAGGCGTTTTGGACGACGTCAAGCCCAATGGCTTCATATATGCTGCTGTTCTTGGTTGTGTTAGTTCCAGACAGGGCAATAGCCAGCTAGCTTTGGAGCTACTCGATGAGATGGAACTGCTTGGCGAACGCGAACAAAAGGCAGAAACTCAAGTGGTTTGTTTCAACAACGCGCTGGAAGCATTTGCCTTGGACGGTGATGGGATTGGAGCACAGCAGCTCGTCGCCAGGTGGCACCATAAACTTGAGAATGGGAAGATTGCCGCAAGACCAAACCTGACAACATGGAACAATCTGCTGGAGGCTTGGTGCAACTCAGCCGACCCGAATGCTCACATAAGAGCCGAATCGTTGTTCGATCGGATGCAAGCACTTTGCGAATTGGGCGAGCTTGTTTCTGGTCCCGATGCTGCTTCTATATCGACCCTGCTGGCATGCTATGCTAAAGCTCCTGACGGAGTCAACAAGAAAAAGGTTCATGCCGTCTTGGACCAGTTGTCACTTCGAAGCGCATCGGAACTGTCCATGTATGAACACTTGATGATTATCCGCTCTCTCTGCCAATTGGAGGACGGTGAACTCCTAGTCAGGGCCGAGCAAATACTTCAGAGGATGCTGAAAGAGTACCACCACGACAGTTCAAAGTGGAATCCAAAGTCGATAAGAGCCGCATTTGATACTCTCGCAAGAGCTTGGGAGAACTCAACCGAAACCCAAGGATCAGAGTACGCACGTAGACTGCGACAGCAATTGAGGTCGATGAATCTACAATTGAAGCGTTGAGTTGCCAACGCCGCTGTTGGAATGAACCAAGAAAGGAGCTGTGTTGTTTCAACGGAGTCTCCACCATGAAAATGGTAGCCCTTGGAACGCAATAGCTACTTGGTCATCTAGAAATGCAGAACTTGGCTCTTGACGGGGAGTGCCCACGGAATGTTGAATGCTGCCAGATGCCTCTTGGTTGCAGAACAAGGCCACGGAAAGTTCTAAGATGGGCTTGTGAACATGATGCCTTTGGGACTCTTGGGACTCAACAAACAAGTGAAGTGGCTGGAGATGTCCATATTGAAATTCTCAGGCGGGCTAATGGAAATGGATGCCCTTGGGACACAAGAATAGTTCAGTTGCAGCCAAAATTGATCATGCTGACACGGGTTTACGAGAAGGGGTGCCCATGAAATGAAGGACGCCTGAAGAAGCTGACAATTTAAAAAGGGGGTGAACGGCATGGGCGCCGTGGAATGCAAGACAACAGGTTTTGCGCTGCTAGCTAGCTAGATATAGTTATTATGAATATACTGATATGGGCTGCAATGGTGACTGAATTCTCAGAATGAATGTTAATACGCACTGCAGCTGATTCAATGCCAGCTACCGGTAGGCCCCTCTACATGACTTCGCTATTCCACTGTATTCTGGATTTGCGACGGGATACAGCTTACAATTCAGCTTTACAGCTTTACAATTGGCAGGCTTATTCTAGAAAATAATCAATAACTGCTCACTTATTTGGAAATACAAACTTTACATCTCTTAGATCCCTAGATTAATCAATGCACAATGGTATTGTCGCAGGATTTGCCCACCATGATTCTGCAAGCTAGCAAAAGGATGACACCTTTCATAATACTTTTACGGGTCCTATGTACTACCTTCGTCCTTGCGTTTCCAAATCGTAAGATCATCCTCGTTGAGCCACATGGAAGGAATGCCAATCCGTTGCTCCAAGTCAAACCTATCTTTCAGTGTGTTTTGAAATTCTCGTGTCGCCGAAATCCCCGAATCCGAAATTCCATACTTGTCTTGCAACACAGTCTCCCTCTCCCCGACAAACACCACCCGCTGTCCCCCTGCATTCATGTAAGCACGCAAACATGCCACGTCCCATGTAGGTTGTGATGATAGGCTCTTGTCGTGTACGACAAATTGTGGATTGTCGACGGGATCCGGATCATTGGGCCATATCAATAGGAGCGTGTGGGTTTCGGCGAGTTGTTGTGTATGTTGAAATACCGTTTCACAGTCTCCTTGGTGAATATCCTCGGTATACCACGTATCGTAGAATTCGTGGTCTTTGGATTGAGCCCCCTGCCGATCGTAGGCATCCACGTGTATGCCGGCATGTCGGAGCAGAGCGGTCCAATAACCACTTCCAGCTCCCATTTCGACAATGGGTGTATGGAGTTCTTGGAGTGCTTGAATGGCAGCTTTGTTTGGAATGGCAAAGGACACGGTCAGTTGCATGGGTCGAATGATCAAGTGATCCATGGCCTCGGCCAGTATACTCATGATTTGACCACGAAAACGGTAGGACACTGATGTTTCTGACAGTACATTCGTCGTTTTCGGGGAGTAGGAAATCGAATGGATGGCGGCCAATGTCTTTGCATCCTGTTGGCTGGGTAGATTGTCGTCCGTGTAAATCTTGAGCATGGATTCGGGAATGAGCTTTAAAATGCGTGCATTCAGTGTTTCCAGCCAATTACCATCTTGCAGTGTCCACGATGTTCGTGTCCGTGGTTGTAGTAATTTGGGATCCATATCCAGACTTTGTAGGAGTGAGGCCAAGGCTCTCCGCCGTTTTCTGTGAAGAATGTCTTGCGTCTTTTTGTGGTTGTAGGCTTCTGTCAAATTGGTAAATAAAAAGTCCAGAAAGGCTCTGGCTTGTCGCGTCTCCACGTCCTCATTGTCATCACACAGCTGGCATGCCAAGGGGCATTCCTTGGCCATGAATTCTTGGTATTCTGGTGCCGAGCACTGACCACGCACCACCCAGAACGCACACAACTCGCCATGATTGATGCAGGTGGGTCTCAAAAACCGATACCGTTCATCCTTACTAAAATGGGCATAATAGGCGTTCATGTCACAGACGGTTTGTCGCACTTGCTGCACAATCTCGTCGGGTATCTTGCCTTGACCATCGTTCTGTTCCACCCCCGTTCCTTCCAGATAGTCGTCGCATTTTTGGTTGGGCTTGCATGTGTCACTGGTTTCGTCGTCCGCACACTCATTCTCCTCGACTGTTGCGTTCGTGAGGATGAACAAAGAAGCAGACGAAATTAGATGGACCAGGAGCACCAATCCAAACCACTTCATCTGGCCACACCTTATTCATTGAAGTAAGTGTGGTTGTTGGGTGTTGTCTTTTTGGATCTCGTGGAGGTCTTTTGTAAATTTGCTTGGATCTTGGATCCAATCCATGAATTCGCCAAAATCTAAAAAGTGAGAGGAAACCATCAGGCGGTGTATATTTTGCTGCGGCGTTGAGATTTAAAAAGATCAGAGATCTTGTTGTTAATTACTACGGGTACTTGAGTACCGGTGTGGTTGCCCTACTTGTTAGGGAAACCCTCATTTTGCACATGTATCATTGTTATTTGTTAATTCCAAGTGGTCACCTCAGACATTCGAACACATCGCCAATTCAATGGTTCATGGTTGATGGTTGACCATTCTTTGTCCTCTCCTTGAAATTTTACTCCTGAATTGTCTCCACATTTTTGTGCTCTTCATCATACTTTGGTGTTGTTGGTGTGTGCTGTCTCTCGAGCTCGGAAGACAGGATAGCTACCACGGTAGCTCTATAGTGACTGAACACCAAGCTGTTCCTTTCTACTGAAGGTCGGCGCTGAACCCCTCACCATATACAGTGTAAGATGCACCAAGGCATGACACCCGCCAGTGCCGAGCACCAGTTGACCGTTGAACAGCAAGCCGAAGTGGCAACAAATGAGGTGGATGTGGACGAGCTCGAGGTTGATACTTCCACAGAAGAACTTCTTCCACCGGTTTCCAATGACATTAATAAGTGGGACGACGATGAGGAGCCAAATTCTGCCATGATCGACGATAATGCATTGTTTATGCCACCAACACAAAATAATGATACCCAAGAGGCTACCCATACCATAAATCACGAACCTACCCATTCAATCGATAGTGGAGACAGTTTGAAGCAGGAGACTTCCAGTGATCCTCCAAAAGAACAACTTGCTACTGTTAGTACCGAGGAAGAGGACATTGTCAATCCAGATCAGAACAAGGAACCAGAACAAAGCACAAGAGTTGAAACACCCGAAGCCATTGCCCCAGAAGAGGAAGAAAATCCAGGATCTACTAGTGGCGCCGTCGACCAACAGGACACTCACAACAGCTCTACAGAATTCAAAACACTTGTTCCCCCAGTAGTGGAAGGAGCTGACACAATGGAAGTCCCATCAGAAAGTAACACGGCACAAGCAGCGTCACGTGAAGAAGATGCACCTCTTTCCAGTGACAATGACAATGGCAACGACACACCAGAGGACAAACACAGCGATGCGACCGATCAAGCAGAAGACTCGGAGGAATCTCTAGCGGACAACAACAATGAGCAAAAGCAACAAACGTCTTTGACTACATGTACTGAAAACAATCTTCCTTGGTGGTACCCACATTTCCGTGGTCGACCAGTCTTTTACGGGACCAAGGAAGCATTGGGATGGGCCTGTACGGCAGTGGGCATGGCCGCGGTCTTGATTGGGACGGGGGCATTCATTCTACCCGCCATGGCCAAGCTCGCCAAGGAAGAAGCCGGATGCGAAACCGAAGCTCCTTCGTCGAGCGACCCCATTCCGCCCTGCGAGGGGAAAGTATATGGTATCAAACCTAGCTCGCTCTTGACCGTCATGTCCACTGTCGTCGGATTGGCGTCGGCATTTGTCATTCCACCCGTGGGTGCAATCGTCGATTACACGTCACACCGGCGACTCATTGGACGGTGGTTGTCGGCATTGTATGCAGTACTCATCCTGTGCATGGTATTCCTCAATGAGGATTCCTGGTTTGCCCTTGTCATCATCTTGTTGTTGGCAATCTCCATCGGATGGGCCATTTCCATGCTCTTTAATGCCTATCTGCCGGAACTGACGGACGACGAAAACAGGTTGAATGAGTTTTCCAAGGCATTTACAGTTCTGATATTCAGTGCCATGGTGGTTTACCTGGCCATTGTCATGGGGATTGGATTGGCATTTGGTGTTGCCGATGATGATGTCGCGCTTGCCAGAATCGCGGCTATTGTCGCCTTTTGCCTCAGCAGTGTCCTGTTGTATGCATCCTGGGGACTTCTCTTTGAGGAGCGCATGGCCTCTCATGAATTACCACCCGGCCAGACATTGTGGGGAGCCGGATTTCGGCAAGTCTATCGAACATCCATCAAAATCTGGAATGACTACAGGGCGTTGAAGTGGTTCTACATTTCCATATGCTTTGGCGATGCCGCGATTCAATCCTTGTCAGTCATTGCCATTACATTCATTACAGATCATCTGGAATTTTCATCACAACAAGTGGGTGCTGCAGCGCTCTTGCTGTTGCTGGGAAGCATTCCTGGTGCCATTGTCGGGGCGTTTATAAACAAGAAGTTCAATCCAATCAAGAGTTCCGCATTGGCAGTCTTTGGCATGCTAGTGGGCACTGGCTTGGGATCCATCATACTCAAGGGACCGGGACAGGAGACACTGACCTACATGTTTGCTTTTTCATGGGGTTTTGGTACTGGGTGGTAAGTGGGCTGTTCGCACGGCAATCCTCTGCATTGCCTGTTTTCTTCCTCCTCTCATTTGTTCCTTTGGCTTGCTTGCTTACTTACTTGGATGATTAGGAAGTACACTGGTGATAGAGTACTTGCCGCCGGCATTATTCCACAAGGGCAAGATGCCGAGTTGATGGTAAGAATTGGAACATTCAAACACAGCTTTTGGGGAAAGTGACAACCGTGACATTGAATCATGGTGATGGATCAATTTCGACTCACTCGATTATCTTTATCCATCGTTAGGGTTTCTACATGTTTTGTGGTCAAATCTTTGCTTGGGCTCCCTCTCTGGTCTTCACCATTCTAAACGAAGCTGGTGTATCTCAAAGAATTGGACTCGCAACGCTCTGTGTTGTCTTCCTGGGAGCGCTGTTGTCGTATATTATGATGGGTGATTATGCCGAAGCTGTTGGGGCGGCGGATCGTCTCCGAGTTGATACCATTCCTTCTGTGGCACATCGATTCGACAAAGGCGAGAAAAGCACTGAGATATCGCCAGAGGAAGTTGCACTGCCATGATGTCGTGGTGTCTCGCAACCATATTATGTAACATGGTTGTACTTTTAAAACTATCACAGCATGAAATCTCTCAGCTAGCATGCATCTTCTTTCTATGCGGATCGCATATCGTTCAAAACGCCTCGAAGCCACCAAGCAAAGTGGGGTTACCTTTGCACGATCCGAGGCAGACGAGATGGATCATCGTATAGTGCGCGGCTGAGGTTAGAGATCAAGATGGAGGTGCAGGTGGCATTGTTGGAGATGATGATGCAGTTGGAAGTGTGGCTAGTGGTGCTGAGGATGCAGTTGGTACACGTAATGCAATGGAATGAGTTTTGGCAAAACTCATGCCCACAATGAGGGGATACGCAAACTTGGAAGTGCAGTTTTGGAGGTGCTTGGGAATCAGATTGACCACTTTCGTCCTTTCATTGGGTACACTCACAAATAAATATTCATTGCTTGGCCAATGCGATGGCACTGTCGCCATATCGATCAATGAAATTGCTTTACTTGGCATCCTCTGCCACATTCAACAGCCGACCATGGAAGTTGCACCTGCAGTCCGTTTGGAACCGGTGCGTAGACTACATGTACCGGTATGTATGTACCGTACCTCCGAGGTCACAAGCTTCAAGCCATTTTTTGGTGTGAGAATCTTTATTCATTCCCATGCACCGGGCGGTCCTTCTTCCTCACAATTTCGCCCCCTTCCATTCAACGTCACCCCACCATGACGTAGCAATAGCCAAAGCACAAGAGGGCATTGCATGCATGCATTGGCCCTCCTTGCTTCCGTCTGCAGCATCGAAAAGGACAAGAGGCTAAAGAAAAACGCGGCTGCCACAGTTTGAAGAATCGCTGTGAACAAAAGCATCCGCGATCCTTGCCAGTAAAAGAAAAATGTTTTTGAGGAATTCCGTGTGGACAGCCGTCTTGCTTGGAACCGCATGTGGTTTACAACAGCCACCACCCTTGGATTCTTCTTCTAGCACTACATCTCGGCGCAATTTACTGAATACACTGGTTAGTGGCGCCGTGGCCTTGCCATTGACATCCTTGAACGCGCCTTCTGCCAAAGCATCAGTGGAATCCACCACCAACACTGGACGAGCGCAATTGCTGGATGCCATTTCCAGAAAAGCCAGTGACGAGGAGATGTTTAGCATCATTGAAGGCTTGCAAGATCCTTCGGGAGGAAAAGGAGCCGCACTGTCGAACTGGTTGGAAGGTGAATGGGAGCTGATTTGGTCCTACAAGGCAGAAGCCTTTTCTCCCTTGCTCAAGCTACCCAAACCACTCCGACCAGAGTCTTTTCAGTACTTTGGCTCGACTGCCGCCAGTGAAGTGGGGGACGGTAGGATTGCACAAGGCCTGACGGGTGGAGTATTAGGTCAATCGCAGCTTTGGCTGTCGTCTGGATCCACCCCCCTGTCGGAGGATCCCTCCATTTTGGAAATCCAACCTCCCTTTCGATTTGAATTGGGTGGACGCATTGGTACTGGCAAACCCAAGAAAACGCTGGTAGATGCCGGAAGCGATGCGGATTTTCGAGATATCAATGCCAGAGACAAGCAGGCCCAGGCAGCTCCCAAGAATCAGTACAAGCAAATCTTTTTGGAAGACAAGGGCCCCGGATCCTTGCGAGTCTCCAGCGTCATTTCGGGCGATCCTGTCATTGTGGGGATTGTCTTTGTGCACAGAAAGGTTTGATCCACCATTATAGCCAAAAATACAAGCCAATTAATCCACCACAACGAACAACGGATGAAAACAAGCAACAACCAATGCACATATTGTGCGTACAAGGGAAGGACTTCAGAACGGTACACAATTGAAAATATACACGAATCCGGGCCCGACCAACAAGCTAACATTATTACAACAGTATATTACATTGAAATTACTTTACCCGGGGTATTTTCTAATTGATTCGCACAACATGTAGACGGAAACACGAGCAACTAACCGCTACCTTTCCGGGGCAAGGAATACAATGTCCATCGGCGATACCATGCGGCTCTTTGGACTAGTTTTCTGGTCACCATTATCTCGACCAACACAGCTCTCCTTTCGCAAACACAACGGACGACGCTTTTGCTGCCCTCTGTTTTCTTGGTTTCCATCATCGTCTCTTGTCATCAGTGTCAGTCGCTGATTGATGTGTACCTGGACATCCACAGGAGAAGGCCAACCACCCTTTTTTCCAAATTGTTGCATGATTGTCTCTACTGAAGTAGTACCGTGTTTCACCAAGTAGTCATCCAACTCATCGTCCAATTGCTCTTGTGCTTGTGCCAATTCGTGCTTGATCTTTGCTCTCTTGGCCAAGACGAGTAATTTGGACAATCCCTTGTTGGCTTGGAGAGCTTGCATCGAAATCTTGCCACTGTTGTTATTGTTGTTGCTGGTGGAGAGCAGCAAGGCTCGTTGCAGAGCCACCTTGCGACGAAACACGTGTGAGTGTTCGGGTGCTTGTTGCACCAGTGGTCCATAATCATGCCCAAAGGCATTGAATCCCACAATGACGCGTTTCTGGGTGGCAGGCTCCAATTGTTCGACACGGGTGCTGTGATGAGGCAAGTGTCCCGACTTGATAATCATTCTCTGGTATCGATATGGCACCGTGATCCAATTGTCGTCATTATTTGCTGCTAGTGGATTGTCTTCTTGCTGCTGTTTGGCACCTTTGTAACCATGCTGCGCGTAGTGCTCCAACCCTCCAAAACAAACTCCCAAATCGCCTCCCTTCATGGATGCGTTCTTGGTGCATTGCAACGTGCCCGCCAAAAAGGGTGGAACAATGATATTTTGTTCATAGCGAATTTGCTCGGCATAATCCAAATGATACGGAACATGTGCTCCCTCGGTGGATGCCAGTGCCCAAATGGCCACTCCATGCAGCACCGACGTGTGGTCCGCATGGGTCCAAATGGGGGTTGTTGTTGTTGTTTCTTTGGGCGACGTAAAGGTCTGAACGCCGGACGAGCTGCTCTGTTGTTGTTGCAATGCATGATGAAAGAAATGAGCTGCTGCTGCCACGGCAAGACTCTGGCGATTCTGAGGGTCAACAATGGGTGGTGCAGCAGCAGTGTTCTCATTGCCATCTGTAGTAGTACATGTAGTAGTACTAGTAGTGATATATTGGGTTCGATAGTCATCAAGCTGTTCTCGCGTCACATAGGTCCCCCATGGCTTGTTCTGTGGCTCCATCACAGTCACATTGTAAATGGCATCGGCCAGTGCACTCGGTACTGCCTCATCAATGACATGGACGCGGGGAATTCGATCATCCACAAAGGACGAGTAACGAACCAATTTGGTCCCTTGCGCTGTCGCCGCAAAATTCTCTGGAATATGTCCATCGTCAAAGTCAACTATAGTATTGCTACCAATGATGGGAGCGTTATTGGAGGTGTTGTTGTTGTCATCGCTTATTGGCTTCACCATGGTCGGTGGTTTGCTCTTTGTGTTGGGATCTTGTTGATGGACGCCACCGAAGAATTCGAACGGATGATTCTATTCTATTCGATTCGATTCGATTCTATCTTGCATTCGTCATTCGAACTAACTGAACAGTCCATTCGCGCAAGCGAAGGGAATCGATTCGAAGCTAACGATCGATACATTCGAATATTCGGACAGATTTTTAGTTTCTTTTACCTGGCAACTTGGTCAAAAGCTTTGGAATACAGTACATGTACATGTAAGATGGCCCCTCCCATGCAACCGCCCTATTTGGGGCACCAAATTGCAGGATAGTCTCTCTCGTGACTGCGGCAGGATTGGGATGCAATGATCCTGAACTGTAAAAGTGGCAATGGTTGGCTACACGTAGCTACCAATTACATTGTATTAATAGTTGTTTTCCAAGCCCAGAGCGATTTTAGTACCTTTACACCGTAGCTAAACTCGCCTTCCATTGCACTACTGTTTAGAAACGAATGGCTGGCTTCCAAGCAAAGTTGCCAAAATTAACCTCACAACGTGGCACTACAGTTAGTTGTCAAAGCAACTTCTCTGGAGTCGGATACAGCCTTAGCCTCTATGGCCTCATCAATCAATCCGACAGCTTCGAGACATACTCTGACATTTCCATCTCCCGCCCTCAAATTGTCCTCCCGCCCAGCAAACGGACAAGAGGATATTGCTGGCATCAAAAACACAAACATGTACCGGAGCCTTTCAAACGAAAATCTTTCGCACCGTTACTGAGAATCTGGAATGGTAGACGTCACTGAGGGGTCTGATTGGTTCTATATTTATCACTCTGAAGTAATAAGAGCTAAACCAATTCTTACTTTCCTACCATGCGTCAAGGTGGCTGGGCCAGCAACGAGAAAGAAACACGTACGTGTGTCACTACCAAAAGGGATCGAGTTTCACGATGAAAGCGTTCGTACCTCAGTCAAGAACACACGTATGAGCCAAAAACAAACGTCAGCTCCTCACATTGTTGGCCCTCCCTCCACATACGTCGAGTTGTCTTGATCTCTCTAGATATCAATGCTTCGACGAAGCCTCTTCATTGCCATCACAAATTCTCCAAGAGGCTGTCTCACAAGCAACCATCCATCCAAAATGAAGTTCTCCAATATCGCCATCGCCGCCGCATGCCTTATGGCCTCTGCTCATGGTTTCGCTGCACCCAAGCCAACCAGCTTTGGACTCAAGGTGTGTTTTCCAGACCTAAATTGAAGATTTCCAAAAGATTCGTTTCTTTTCAGCGTGTCAATGTCTATGTCAACAATCCTGTGCTCTCTGTGCTTTGACGGGTATTGAGATGCAATTACAAACCTTTAGTTCCTTGTGTCTTCTTCGAATGATAACACTTGACAATGATCCTGATTTGACTCACCTTTTAATCTCCCAATCTCTCGCAGGCCGCCCCTCTTCAGATGGCCACTGCCACCGAGACTGACAAGATGGCTGCTCTTTCTACTGCTGCCAACGAAGCTCGTGGTCTTGCTATGGACTCCATTGCTGCCGCCCACTCTGGACACATGGGTCTTCCGCTTGGTGCTGCTGAGGTTGGAGCTGTCCTTTACGGATCCCAGGTGAGTGCTGCAAGCCAAAACAATAAATACACAATCATTTTCTTTCAATAGAGATCAAGAATGAAAAATCTGACTGTTATCCTCTCATCTCTATTCTAGATGTCTTACCACGCCGCTGATCCTACCTGGATCAACCGTGACCGATTCATCCTTTCGGCTGGACACGGATCCATGTTCTTGTACTCTTGGTTGAATCTTGCTGGATTCGACCTTCCCATGGAAGAAGTCAAGAACTTCCGTCAACACCACTCCATGACCCCTGGTCACCCAGAGTTCCCCAGTTCCGAGCACAACACACCAGGAATTGAATCCACAACCGGTCCTCTTGGACAGGGTGTTTCCAATGCTGTCGGAGCCGCTGCCTCTGCTAAAATGGCTGCTGCCATCTACAACACTGAGGACCACACCCTCTTCGACCACCACATCTATGCCCTTGCTGGAGATGGTTGCTTCCAAGAGGGAGTTTCCGCCGAATCCGCTTGCTTCGCTGCCCACGAAAAGCTTGACAACTTGATTGTCTTGTACGACGCCAACGAAGTCACTCTTGACAAGATGGCCGAATACACTCAATCCGAAGACATCATCAAGCGTTACGAAGCTTACGGCTGGGAAGTCTATGACATTGATGGACATGACCTCAAGGTTGTTGAGGAGACCATCGCCGCTGCCAAGGCCAGTGACAACGGAAAGCCCAAGTTCATCAAGTGCAACACCATCATTGGAAAGGGAATGGAAGAGACTGAGGGAACCAACGCTGCTCACGGTGAAGCCGGTGTCCCATACGTTGACAACGCCAAGAAGAACATTGGCTTGCCCGAAGGCGAGAAGTGGTACGTCTCTGACGACACTCGTGACTTCTTCGCTGATGTCCAAAAGGACAACAAGGCAACCTACGATGCATGGCAAGAGACTTTCGCTGCCTGGAAGGAGGCCAACCCTGAGCTTGCCAAGCAACTCCAGGATGCCGTCGAGGACAACACTATGTCCGCTGAAGATATGATCAAGGAAATCCCTGCTATGGAGTCTGGAGCCGAGGCCACCCGTGTTTCCGGAAACAAGGTCATCCAAGAAATCTCTCGTCTTGTCCCCCACTACATTTCAGGATCTGCTGATCTTCACGGATCCACCCGTAACTACATCAACGATGGCGGAAACTTCGGTTCTGGATTCGACAAGAGCTACGCTGGAAAGAACTTGTACTTCGGTATCCGTGAGCACGCTATGGGATCCATCATGAACGGATTCGGCTTCCACGGTCTCTTCAAGGTCTCTGGATCCACTTTCCTGGTTTTCGTTGACTACATGCGTTCCACCCTTCGAGTTGCCGCCTTGTCCGAGCTCAACCGTGTCAGTTACATCCTTACCCACGACTCCATCGGTGTTGGCGAGGATGGACCAACCCATCAGCCCGTCGAGACTGTTGCCGGTCTCCGTGTCATCCCCAACCTTGATGTCATGCGCCCCGCTGATGCCGAAGAGACTGTTGCTGCTATGGTTCACTCTGTCACACGCAAGGAAGGTCCTGTTGCTTTGATCTTCTCTCGTCAAAACATTGACCAAAACGACGCTCTCAGCGCTGCTGAACGTCGTGAGGGAACTCTCAAGGGAGCCTACGTCGCCAAGAAGGAAGAAGGTGACCTTAACATGATCATCATTGCCACCGGATCCGAAGTCCCACATGCCCTTGAAGCCGCCAATGAATTCCCCGGTACTCGTGTTGTTTCCATGCCTTGCGTTGAAGCGTTCGAGCGCCAATCTGATGACTACAAGGAGAGTGTCCTGCCATCATCTTGCACCAAGCGCGTCGCTATGGAAGCCGGTGTCTCTTCCGCTTGGTACAAGTACGCTAGCAAGGTCGTTGGTGTTGACTACTTCGGTTTCTCTGCCCCAGGAGACATCGTCATGAAAGAGAAGGGAATGACAGCAGAGAACCTTATCGCTGAGATCAAGTCCATGGCATAAGTTGTAGAATTTCAAGTAAAAAGCACGTAAATAATACATCACCGCATTTTAATTAATCATGTTCCTGTAGACAACTGGAACCGTGCTGGGCAGGCAAAATCAAACGATGGACATTTCCTGGTCTAAGCCAGAGCGGCAAAAGACGCGTCCTCACCCAATGCAATAGAAAGGCAAAGATGGCGCGAATTTCGGCAATTACTCGGTCTTGCTGGGGCTGTGCGCTTCACGCTGGCTAGCTAGCTAGTAGCCGCATCAGTACACATGGGTACTTGGGTGCAAGCCGACAGCTATGGTACCCCTTCCGTTCCAATCAACTACATGCAACTATCAATTTATTCATATATTTCTTGTTCGGACTCCTTGACGGTGACACCATAGCGGTGCCTCATCACTGAAGACCCAGTAGGTTCGAAAGCCCACTAAGAGCGCTCACGCACTGGCCGCAATAGCTGTGCTCGTAAAACGCCAAGATGTCCGACTTTTCCTCTGAAACACAAAGAGTCTGATAACCGCGGAAGGAGGAATAAAGGCAGACATAGACTTTGGTGCCGTCCTCGCAGGGGAAATCACCAGATGAACAGTAGTAATCTCCGTCGTCAACTCCGTCCATGGTGGGCTCTTCAGCACCAGGACCAAACTGATGAGTCACTGTTGCGCCAGTTTGATCGATCTCCACTTCTTCCACCTGCGGCGCCTTCTCCGTTTTCGAAGATTGTTTATTGTCAATCTCTGCTTCTTCTACCTCCTTGACGTCAACGTCCGGCATTTCCTCCGTTTGCAAAGCTTGTCCATGATCCAAATCTAGAGGAGGCCCAGCAAGCAGTGAAAAGAGACTTCTCTCGAAGAGCTCCGGCCTTTTGACTCTTTCGAATCCTGCGCTTGTTCCAGACTCAGCCGTCAGGTCCCGACGCGCTGATGTGTTGATCCTTAGCAATAAAGTGAGCTGCGTGAATGGCCAACCCCAGCTATTGTAGGGTTTTGCAGTGATGTAGTAAGACCCATCCGACACATACCGATTGCAGGAAGCGTAGTCGCCTGAGGAGTCCAGGCACATGGAGAAGTAAGGAGGCGAGGCATCTTGACTGAACAAGCCATTATCAATGTAGAATTTCACAAAAGCCGTGGAATCGGAAGCGATTGCTCTGATACTCCAATTGGTAACACCTTCTTCTGCCATGTTCACCGTCTCCCCGCTGCTCAGCTTGCGAACCATAGTATCGGTGTCTGCGTTCACAAGCACCAAGTGACTCATACAGGCCGTCCATGTAGTACTAGTACATGTAGACAACTTCAGTTCAGATGAGTCGGTTGGACTTGGTGTTGGATCTGGCTGTGTGAGTAGCATTCTCGTCTCCTCGATTGTGATGGTGGCAGTATACGTAGCAAGCCACTTATTGTTGTTTCTCGCCTCAGCTTCGAGCTTGACGGGTGTACCAATCGGGATTGTATTTGAATCACAGGCTCCGTAACCACTCCCGCTGGCACCCCCGCAAAAAGTGTACGGAAACGTCTTATCATTGTTGATCTGGCTCCCGTCCACATAGAACTTCACTCTGGTAATCACGTCGGGGTTTGTTATCGCTCTGATGTCATAGTTATGTCCAAGCTCAGAAAGAACGATTGTCTCGCCATCCACAATCGGCCTTACGACCGTAGCAGTATCCGCATTTACCAGCACAAGGTAGCCCACAGCCCCACTAGGAGGAAGGGCAGCTGTAGGATAAGGTGATTGTCCTTGCGTGGGGACAGATGTGGGAGAGGTTGTTGGAGCCTTGGTCGGAAGATCGGTTGGTGCTTTGTGGGTGCTTGGTTGGCGCCTGGTTGGTGCCTTGGTTGGTGCCTTGGTTGGTGCCTTTGTTGGAGCCTTGGTTGGAGCCTTGGTTGGAGCCTTCGTTGGTGGGTCAGTTGGCGCCATAGTTGGAGTGTCTGTTGGTCTTGTACTTGGGCTTCCCGTGGGACTGCCAGAGGGGCTGCTGCTGGGGCTCACGCTTGGGGAGGCACTTGGCATGGCGGTGGGGCTGCCACTTGGGGAGGAGCCTGGGCTTTCGCTGGGGCCGGCGCTTGGCATTGCGGTGGGACTGCCAGGGGGCTGCTGGGGTCACGCTTGGGGAGGCACTTGGCAGGCGGTGGGGCTGCACTTGGGGAGGAGCTTGGGCTTTCGCTGGGGCCGGCGCTTGGCATTGCGGTGGGACTGCCAGAGGGGTGCTGCTGGGGCTCACGCTTGGGGAGGCACTTGGCATGGCGGTGGGGCTGCCACTTGGGGAGGAGCTTGGGCTTTCGCTGGGGCCGGCGCTTGGCATTGCGGTGGACTGCCAGAGGGGCTGCTGCTGGGCTCACGCTTGGGGAGGCACTTGGCAGGCGGTGGGCTGCCACTTGGGGAGGAGCTTGGGCTTTCGCTGGGGCCGCCTTGGCATTGCGGTGGGACTGCCGAGGGGCTGCTGCTGGGGCTCACGTTGGGGAGGCACTTGGCATGGCGGTGGGGCTGCCACTTGGGAGGAGCTTGGGCTTTCGCTGGGGCCGGCGCTTGGCATTGCGGTGGGACTGCCAGAGGGGCTGCTGCTGGGGCTCACGCTTGGGGAGGCACTTGGCAATGGCGGTGGGGCTGCCACTTGGGGAGGAGCTTGGGCTTTGTGCTGCACTTGGGGGTAGGAGCTTGCAGGCTTCGCTCGGGGCCGTGCTGCAAGGCTGGTTGGACTGCCAGAGGGTGCTGCTGGGCTGGTGCTTGGGGAGGCACTTGGCATGGCGGTGGGCTGCCACTGGGGAGGAGCTTGGGCTTTCGCTGGGGCGCGCTTGGAAGGTGGTGACTGCCAGAGGGGCTGTGCTGGGGCTCACGCTTGGGGAGGCACTTGGCATGGCGGTCGGGCTGCCACTTGGGGAGGAGCTTGGGCTTTCGCTGGGGCCGGCGCTGGGCATTGCGGTGGGACTGCCAGAGGGGCTGCTGCTGGGGCTCACGCTGGGGAGGCACTTGGCATCGCGGTCGGGCTGCCATACTTGGGGAGGAGCTTGGGCCAAAGCTCGGAGAAGCACTCGGATCTGATGTTGGAGGGGAACTTGGCTGTTGACTTGGGGACATGCTTGGATTGGCACTAGGTTTTCCTGTGGGATTGGTACTGGGAGCAGCACTGGGATCAGCACTGGGAGCAGCACTCGGGCTTGAACTTGGTGATACACTTGGACCTGTTGTAGGACCCAGGCTGGGTGATATGCTGGGAGCTTGACTGGGTGATATGCTGGGAGCTTGACTGGGTGATAAGCTTGGTTCTGTGGTTGGCCCAATGCTCGGAATAGCACTGGGGTAGCTGCTAGGGCTTATGCTGGGACTTGAAGTGGGACCTATGCTTGGTGCAATACTTGGGGAGTTGCTGAGTACCAAGGAAGGAGAGGTACTGGGAGTTGAGCTAGGTGGTGAAGTTGGGACCAAACTCGGAGAGGAGCTTGGAGCTTCACTTGGTCCAAAGCTTGTGGCCGTGGTGGGGCTGCTACTGGGATTTGTGCTTGGCCCACCGTTGGGACTGGAGCTTTGATCGGATGTAGGACTGCTTGAGGGTGCCAAGCTGGGGGAGACACTGGGGCTTGAACTTGGATTGGAGGTGGGTGACTCACTGGGGCTGGAGCTTGGGCTCAAACTAGGTGACTTGCTTGGTATTGTTGTTGGGTTCTTGCTGGGTTGCTCACTGGGACTGCTGCTAGGGCTTGCACTGGGAGAACCAGTTGGACTCTTACTAGGCACTGCACTCGGATTGAAGCTTGGACTGGCACTGGGTGATCCAGTAGGAAGAGAACTGGGACTGGTACTAGGTTCCATACTCGGTCCAGGACTTGGAATGCCAGTTGGGCTCTTGCTCGGTGCTGCACTCGGACTGAAGCTTGGACTGGAGATGGGGCTTCCTGTTGGACTGGAACTTGGTGTGGCACTGGGGCTTTCACTGGGACCGGCACTGGGTGCTCCTGTTGGACTGCCACTTGGAGCAGAACTTGGAATGCCACTTGGACTAGTGATGGGTGTTCCTGTTGGTCTGGAACTTGGTGTGAAACTAGGGCTTCCGCTGGGACCTACACTGGGTGTACCAGTTGGACTGGCATTGGGGCTGCTGCTGGGACGACCACTGGGGCCTGCACTTGGTGCTCCAGTGGGCATGCCACTTGGAGAGGTAGATTCAGTTGGAGTTCCAGTTGCTGAGCTTGTGGTGGGGCTGCCTGTTGCCAAATTTGCAGTAGGAGCAGCTGTTGTGGGAATGGATGTTTGGCCATTGTTGATATTTGCAGGCATACGGCTTGGATTGGATGTTTGGCTTTGATTGCTGTGACTCTTGGCTGTTGCTTCATTTGGAGTATTTCTATCGGAGCCGATCGGAACTGTTGGAGGTTTTTGCCTTTGACTTGACTGATCACCACCGGAAGGCTCTCTTGGTGACGTGCTTATTGGTTTGGCTGACATCTTGCTGGGCTCGTCTGAGGGTTCAAGTGTTGGTGTGTGGCTTGGTGGGCTGCTAGGATCCGTTGAGCTGGGTGGGTCGGAGGGTGGGCTGGATGGGACATTTGTCTTTTCCAAGCCAGCTGTTGGTTCGTTACTGGGCGTTCTACTGGGACTAGTAGTCGCAACCATGCCGGGTGGTATTGTCGGTGGCTCAATTGGATTCGCCCCGCTGGGTGGAATATTTGCTGCAGGTTGCGGATTCGAGCTCAGACCGAGCCCTGCTGCATTTGATGGTTGCTTCGAGGGTCCATCGACAGGCATTTCGCTTGGTGGACTTGCCTGGCGTTGGCCGCTAAGCTTTGGACTGGAGCTACCAATTGGCTGGTCACCGGAGCTGGCAGTGACAACGTCTGTGGGATTTGTGATGGGGTCCCCGGACGGAACGGAAGTCGTAGGCGTCTTCGTTGGATTGGCACTGGTGCTACGAGTCGGGGAAGATGTGTTACTCGCCTTAGGCTCTTTACTTGGTTGCTCGCTTGGACTGTTGCTCGGTGTTACACTCGGCGCTGTTGTTGGTAGTTGACCAGGCGCCAAACTCGGCTGATGACTTGGGTTTCCAGGCATTGACACAGGCAAAGATCCGGACGGAATACTCGATGGTTGGAAGCTCGGCTCTTGTGAGGGCGTAGCGGATGGCGAAAGTGTTGGTGGGTTACTTGGGTTTCCAGGCATTGACACAGGTGAACTTCCAGAAGGAACACTAGATCGTTTTGGGCTGGGCTCTTGTGAGGGCGTTACGGATGGCGAAAATGTCGGTGAGTTGCTTGGTGAGTTGCTCGGCGCGTTACTGGGCGCGTTACTGGGCGAGTTACTGGGCGAGTTACTCGGTGCTTTACTCGGTGTACTGCTCGGTGAGTTGCTCGGTGGGTTACTTGGCGAGTTACTCGGTGCGTAACTCGGCGCGTTACTCGGTGAGCTGCTAGCCGTGTTGCTCGGGGAGTTACTCGGGGAGTTGCTTGGCGAGCCGCTCGGTGCGTCGCTGGGGAAGCTTGTGATCACACTTTGTTCGGCGCTTGGAACAGTCGTCGTTGGCGCGCTGCTGCGTCTGTCACTTGGTGACGTCGTTGGTGGGTTACTTGCTTTGGCTGCAATGGGGGATGCAAATGGTATAGTTGCTTCGACGATAGAAGGTGTAGCCGTCTTCGAGTTTTCCGCAGAGCTCCTCGCATCAAAGCCTCCTTTTGCATTTGTGGTGTCACTCGGAGATGTGCTTGGGGCACTGCTGGGAGTTGCGCTTGGGACAATGCTCGGAGTTGCGCTTGGCGTTATGCTGGGAGATGTACTTGGTGTCTGACTAGGAGTCGATGATGGACTTGCGCTTGGGTCTGTAGGCTTCGCGCTTGGAAGCTTACTGGGGCTTTCACTAGGAGTCGGCGATGGGGCTTGACTGGGGCTCGTACTTGGTGCTGTGCTTGGTGTGCCTTCTGAACTTGGCTGAGAAGACGGGGTATGAGATGGAGGAACACTGGGTGTAATGCTTGGAGTTTTGGATGGGGTCGCGCTCAGGTTGCCACTGGGGCTTTCGCTCGGTCCAAAGCTAACAGACGTTTGTCCAGTGGCGTTCGAAGAAGGGCTTTGGGTCGTGTTTGTGCTCGTCTCGTTGAGGGCAGCATTGGTCGGGGCAGAGGTAACCGGCGAGAGAGACATGAGACTTGCAGTGCCTTCTTGAAAGGTCGTTGGCACTGTAGTGTCTTGGCCACCCGTCGCGCTAGTGCTGGAAGTAGGCTGCACAGTGCCAGGTGCTGCAACAGTACTAGTAGTTGGACTGTCAGTTGGTTGACTTCCCGTTACCGCTGCAGTTGGAGCTGAAGTGTTTTGACTGCTCGTGCTGTTATCCGGTTTAGAACTTCCCATTGCCGCTGCAGTTGGAGCTGAAGTGTTTTGACCGCTCGTGCTGTTATCCGGTTTAGAACTTGGAGCCAGGGTCGATGGTGCCAATGTCGTAGCGTTCGAGGTAGAGTTAGCAGGCAAATCGGTAGGCGATGAGCTCGGGGACAAAGACGGAGATTCTGAAGGAGCTACCGATGGCGCTTCTGTTGGACGATATCGATCTCTCTCAAGTCTCACAGAATTGTAGTAGTTGAAAGGCGATAAGGAAGGCTGACTCGACGGAGCCGTCGTCGGGTACGGTGTCGGAGGAGGTGCCAACGCGCCGCATGGTGTACAAGGAATGATCGCCCTGAAAACCATGAGAGACGCGTCGTCGCTTGGTTGCCATGGTTCGCAGATGGCAGGACCATCCCGTGACACGTCTGTGGAAAAGGTAGGATCGTAAAGGAACAACAATACGTCAACGTTGCCACCACGACATTGGCCCATATAATACTTGGTCCTCCCTGGAGGCAAATTGTTGTGACGATCACACGTGATTTCACCGTTCGTGGGTAAGTACAAGACACCACACCCATTCAATGTGCCTTCAGTTTTCCAAGTTTGGACGACAGCAAAAATGATGGACGCGCCATTCGAAGAAATGACTCGAATGGGAGGAACACGAGACCCTAGAATGGGTCTTTTCGGGACCACGACTTGCAGGTCAACTCTTGCAGCACAACCCGTTGATTTCACTGCATTGGCTTCTCCCTCCTCGTCTTCTCCCTCCTCGTCTTCCGCCTCAGCAACAATTTCTTCGAGATCAATAATGGAATCCTGTTCGTTGGCGTCTTCCAAATCTTCGATATTCAACATGTGACCAGGGAATGGCGGTGCCTCAATATCTTCGTCAGGACGTTCAATGGCTGTCTGAGGTCGGTGGCAGTCACAGGGAAGCTTGGCCTGAAAGTGAACGCTGCGTCCCCCAGTGCCTTGCCACGAGCCACAGAGCACTGGCAAACTCGACAACGACGACCCATCGGTGCTGGTTGCATCATGAATATACAAATCGACCAGAGCCTCACCATCTTCCGAACACTTTGCTTCGTAATATTTGGACCGTCCCCACGGCACGTCACTTCGTTGGTCGCAAACCAATTCCTCATTCGATGCTTTGGTGTACACGACGGCAATTCCGGCCAGGTTTCCGTCTTCCTGAAACGACTGCGCCACGGAGAATTCCACCTTTTTGGTAGCGTCTGGGTTGCTTCCTCGAGTTGGAGTCACGCGAATGGCAGGGGTCTTGGGTTCTAAACCGGCATTATTGTCCATGGCTTCAAAGGCGACTTGGCATGGATGATCGGCGCTGCCTGTGGCGCTACCAGTCATGCCGCCTTCATTGTTCTCGCCGCCACCCGTCATACCATGCTCGTTGTCCTCGCCGCCACCAGTTCCTCCATTTTGAGGCAAAAATGGATTGCCGAGAAACCCAGAGCCACCGCCCACGTCCATCGTGTCAGAATGTCTTCCTCCTCCACTTTCTTGTCCATCTTGATTATTGTCGCCGTCACCATCACCAGCATACGGACCAAAGAACATTTCGTAGGGATCCAAGGATGATTGATCTCTGGTAGTGTTGGAAGCGGAATCAGAAGAAGTATCAGTACTGGTAGTGTTGTCATCAGAAGCAGGTGGTGTACCGGTAGTATTGTTGTTGTTGTCGTCAAAATAATATTCACCGTCAATAATGCCATCCCAAAACGGATCTCCACCAGAAGTGTACGGCTTGTAAATCGGAGGCCTCTCATTACCAAAAATGCCACCTGGTGGCACATTGTCCGCCAAGGGCCCTGTAAAGTACCGATACGAGTCACGTTGTTCTTCTTCTTCGGGTTGTCGCTTGGGACGTTCGCAAAAGCGCTTGTCCATATGATGTCCCAAACAATTAAAGTAGGCTTCGTCCGTATTATCCAATTCTCCTTGTTTGGCACCCGTGGGTTTCCCACTACCACCGCTGGTCGCCGGCGCCACGACGGGTTGACACTGGGGATCGTCGGGATTGTCCAAACAGCCCACGGGCACGGTGGTCCAATTATTTGCAGTATTGTTGCGGCCTTGGACTGGCTCGGGAGTCGGAGGACAATCTGCCAACGTGTCGGGGTCGCTAAAGTTACAGCGACTGTAGTTGAGTAGAAAGGACGTGGCATTGTACTCGGCGTTTTGCTGCTGAACTAGCTTTTGATGCTTCTTCTTGTAGAGGTACCAGTAGAACCAAAAGTTGCGGCGTTCATAGCGACCCGTCATGGAACGGACAAACGACATAAAGTCGGCTTGCACAGCAGTAGGAGAGAGCAGCAACACGAGGAGGAAGGATCCCACCAAGAGGCGGCGTCTCTGTAGATGCAGATTGTTGTGGAACGTTGGCGTTCGCATGGTTTTTCTTTCTCGTAAATAATGAAGATTGTCGTCTCAACCAAAGGGGATATTACTACGGTACTTACTTGTAGAGCAATATCAGAAAAGGATTCAATACTCAGATTGGATAGAGCTATTGCTCTAGATCTAGATCTTATAGTTGACAGAAGGAAGGAAGGATGGAGTCCTTGCTGCTGAAAGAGATTGAATGAGGAGGTCGAGTTGATGAGGCCGGAAGCATTCGATGTACATTACGAAGATGAAAATGTACAGTTTCACTATCGAAAGGCTGAGCACCCAAAGTTTACGACTGTACGTCTAATGACACTGGAATGGAAGAACGGTACGATGACCCAGATTCACAAGAAAAAGGCTTCGAAGTCACCAGTTTAACCAGTTACGACTAAGGGCACTAAAGGCGTTAATGGCTAAGCCTACTTCTCCAGAAGAGGGACTTAACAAAATGGGTTCTGTACTCTGTACCCTTACAATCCCGCCCTTCCGTATCCAGCGTATTTAGCTAGCACAGCTACGTGTACGAAAACACAAAACAATCTCCAAGTGACTCGCTCGGAGATTGTTCACATCATACTGCTAGTTTTGGGCCCTAGCTAGAGTATTGGATTATTCCCTGGCATGAAAGCTGACAGGGGGCAAGCTGAAGAGAAGAGAAGGAAGAATCAAAATGCAGGACGGGGCTCCGTGGGATCAGGAGGGACAAACTGGGGACCTGTGCGAGGGCCAAGGTGCGGGAATTGATTCAATCCAAGGTCAGCCTCTTGTAACTCTTAGAAGACGAGAGCAAACCAAGGTGGGTTCAAGCTGAGGGAAAGAAACACTGGTCTTGATGGGATCCAGAATGCGCACAGAGATGAAAGCCTTTCTGAAGTCAAGATAAGGCCCTTGGAGGCTTCAGCGACGTATGATGTGTAAAACATCCTTGCTTGGATGATAAGTTTGGTTGAGATCAATATAGGTTAATAGTGCTTTTTGGTACTATTATTGGCAGTTTGACTGAGCTGA